ATAAATTTCCTGGCCAAAGTGTCACCGGGAACCAAATACTGGGGGTGGTCAAGCTGTGAGCTTTAAATACCTGGACCTTAAATCACACACACTTTGTTCTAATTAGCACCATGGTTCTTAAGCCTGTCTGTACATTGGACTCACCCGGGAGCTTAATAAAAATGGCGTTGCCTGGGCCCCACTCCTAGTCTCTCTGTCTCTGATTTAAGTGGTCTAGTTGGGCCCTGGATATCTTTTTTTTTTTTAAGAACAGTTTTAGGTTCATAGCAATATTAACAAGAGGTACAGAGGTTTCCCATTCACCCCCCTACTCCCACATATGCACAGCCTCCCCATTATCAACATCCCCCACCAGAATGAACCTACAATGAGATGTCATTATCACCCAGAGTCCCTGTGTACCTTAGGGTTCACTCTTGGTGGTGTACGTTCTATGGGTCGGGAAGATCACCTGGAGGAGGAAATGGCAACCCACTCCAGCATTCTTGCCTGGGAAATCCAGTGGACAGAGTAGGCTGGTGGACTACAGTCCATGGGGTTATAAAGAATCAGTGTGCTCAATCAAGACTGAGCACATACACACATAATAACCTGTATCCACCACTATAGTGTCACACGAAATGTTTTTACTGCCTGACATCAATAATTTTATCTATTTATTGGGTTGCTCTTGGTCTTAGTTGTGGCATGTGGGATCTAGTTCCTTAACTAGGGATCGAACCTGCTTTGGGAGCCCAGAGTCTTAGCCATTGGACTGCCAGGGATGTCCCGACATCAGTGATTTTTAAAAAGCTCTTCAGATGATTCTAATTTGTAGCCGAGCTGGAGACCAGGGGCATTCTAGAAAGCTGCAGTGACCTTTCCCCCTTCTGTCCTCACCCCAGCGTCATCCTCCAATTGCATGATTGGAGGATGGGATTTATGGGATTGTTGCTACAAGCTGAGTTGAGTCACAGCGGACTTACATAGTTTTTTTTTTTTTTTTTAATGTAATTCTTATTCTAAAAAAAAAAATTTCTTTTAGCACCTTTATTCTGAAGAGTCCTTAATTGCTGTACATAGAATGGCTCAACAGTGAACATTTGTCAAGCATTAAAATAGCAGGATGAAGGAGTCGGACCTCGGGCGGTGGGGAGAGGCTGGCGTGTCATCTCCCCCCGGCGTGTCATCTCCCATGGTTGCTGGCACGGGGAGGGCCTAAGCATCTCCCTGATTCTGGGCCCCATTAACAAGTGGCCTAGAAACACTTTTTTTGGGGTGAATAACAATGAGCTTTGTATCCACAGGGGTGCACTTCATAGTCCTCTGGAGCCTGCCCTCCACTTGTCATCAAGTCTTGAGAGCCGCCTTCCCTCCCAGCATCGTGCACCCACGCTATTGTTTTTCTCCAAGGGTGCTGGTTCAGTGCTCGGGTCTAGAGAGCTGTGACCCCTCTCGTCATCCCTGACTCATGTCAGTGCAGGTGACTTAGTGACATGTGGGTGACTCCTGATGACTGAGGGACTAAGAAGGGCCCTGTCTGTGGGTCATCCTTCCCTCCTTTGGTGGTCTGGGTCTTCTTCTCCAGCCCACCCACCAGAATGACATCAGGAAGAAATAGCAAAGTCAGCTCAAGGCCATACCTTCAAGCAACCCATTTCATCTCAGATTTTAAAAAAAAGTAAGTTTGTGTTTTGACTGGATTTAGATAGAAAATAGGCCAGTGAGAGGAGCAGAACTTGGTTAAAATTTTTAGCCCAGAGTGAGATTTAAAAAAAAAAAATTATTTCTGGATTTCAGTTCCCATTGCCTATTTGTGTAAATAATGAACATTTGTTCTAATGTGGATGATAGCATGGGGCAAATTCAGCCTGCTGAGTTTCACTGTTTCAAGCAAGGGTTTTAGGCCTGTGAGGCATGTGCAGTTCACACCGTTGCAGGGGTAGTCATGATAAAACCACAGTAATAGTAGAATGGTTGACATGTATTGAACCTCCATGAGATGTCAGGCATAGTGATAAGGACCTCCCATGGGTTATCTCACTTAAGCCTCATGAGAACTCTTGAAATTAGGTTGAGAATTATTCCCATTATTCAGATGAGGAAACTGAGGTTCAGAGAGCTCACATGGTGAGTGAGTTACGAAGTCAGATTTTGAACAGAGCTGCATGACTCTGGGTGTCAACTTACTTGGCTGCCCCAGAGTATGTACTAGGAGCTGTCACTGGGGTTTAGTGAGCCAGCACCATTATGCCAGCCCTTGTCGTCCGGCCAGGAGCTGCAGGGAGAGAGCGCTGCTGCGTTGCTGCAGGAAGCTGACCACTTTTACTTGGGAAGTAGGGTGTGGGGCTCCGGAAAGCAGAACTTTGACCTGCTGGCAAGATACCAGTGCTCACTGAAAGGCAACTCCTGCAGCCCTGTTACCAAGGCGACGTAGATGGGACAGCAGAGCAGCGGTGGGCTCTGCCACACATCCCTCAGAGTGTGAGAACCTTTGTTGGCTGCTGCTCTGGCCCTACACTTCACCAGTCTCAGTGTTTGTGCCTAGGGTGCTGACCACTGAGGGAAACCTCCCCAGATGAGAACTGTCATCTCCACCCACAAAAATTAACTGCTTTTAGGTATGAGGCAGGGTGTGTGAATTCTGTTTATGTGTGTGGGAAAGTGTGTCCTTGTGGAGAGAAGCCTTCTAGTCTGTTCTCAGGAGGCCACACTACATTATTTTTGTGATAAAATGCTGAGAGATACGTTCAGCACATCCTCAGTCTCTACCCCAGTTCTCTCCTGGGACCAACAGAAACAGTTTATTAGCTGGCAGATTACTTAGGTTCCCTGCTCATGTGGCAGGTTACTTAAGTTCAGTTTCCTCATCTATAAAATGAGGATAAGAAATTGTCTTATACAGTTGCTAGGGAGACTAAAGAGTTAAAACTAAAGAGTTAAAATGCTTTAGGACAGAACTGTGCATGTCGAGTCAGCACTTAGTAAGTGTATGAGCTGCCTGTGGCTGCTGTAACAAGTGACCACAAATTTAGAGGCTCACAACAATGCAAACGTATTACCTTATATTTTTGGAGGTCAGAAGTTCAAGATGGATTTTACTGGGCTAGAAGCAGGGTTTATGAGACTACACAGTTTGGATATCCTCTAGGAGAGAATCAGTTTCCTTGCTTTTCCCAGCTTCTAGAGGCTGCCCAGTTTCCTTGGCTCGTGGCCCCTTCTGTCTTCACAGCCGATGATGTAGCATCTTCCAGTCTCTTGCTGACTCTGACCCTATTTCTGTCATCACATTTCCTCCCTTCCTGTGCTTCCATCTTCAAAAAAAATTTTTTTTGGCCTCACTGTGCAGTATGCAGCATCTTAGTTCCCCAACCAGTGTTCAAACCTGTGCCCCCCACAGTAGAAGGGCAGAGTCTTAGCCACTGGACCACCAAGGAAGTCTCCCTCTGCTTCCATACTGAAAAGACCTTTGTGGTTACATTGGGCCCACAATGTATATCCACAAGGATATACCCACAAGGATACCCACAAGGATATGTATATATATACCCACAAGGATATCCGATAATCCAGGATATCCTTGCCATCAAAATTCTTAACATTATCACATCTGCAAAGCCCCCTTTGCCACATCTGGTAACAGATCCACAGATTCCAGAGATTAGGACATGGACACCTTGGTGGAAGGACTTTATTTAACGCGACATAGTACGTGTTCGTGCATACTCAGTCACTTCAGTCATGTCCAACTCCTTGCGACCCTATGGACTGTAGCCCACCAGGCTCCTCTGTCCAAGGGATTCTCCGGGCAAGAATCCTGGAGTGGGTTGCCATGACTTCCTCCAGGGGGATCTTCCTCATCTAGGGATCAAACCTGGGTCTCCTGCATTGCAGGCAGATTCTTTACCGCTCAGCCACCAGGGAAGCACCAGTAAGTGTTACCTGTTTGTATAAAATGAAGCAGAATCAAACTGGCTGGCTTAGGGATGGAATAGACAACAGTTTGGTCAGTATAGTTAACTGAAAACAGTGGCCACTTGCTGTGTTAACTCAATCCTGTGTCAGGACCTCTGTATCCTTTATCCCTGTTCCCTGGAGTTTGTTTCCTTCCAGAGCTTTGGAAGGCCAGCACCTTCTCATTCTTCAAGTGTCAGCTGAGATGTCACTGCTCAGAGAAACAGGCCCCTGATCCATTTCCTCTGTCATAGCACGTCACCCAGTTTCATTCTCTGGCATCATCTGTTAACCTTTTAGTGCGTGTGTCTGCCCCATGTACTCTGCATGCCCTCCATGAGTGTCAGCTTCAGGAGGGCAAGGACTGTGTCTGTCTTGACTGCTGCCATTCCAGTGCCTGGAAAGGTTTCTGGAACAGAGTAGGTGCATAGCACATATCCGTTGGATGAAAGAGTAAACGAAGCCGTGCAGGCACAATGCTATGTGTTTAATGCTCATTCTCTCCTGTCATAGTAGGGCCTTTTATTATCATTCTACCTCCTAGAAATGGAAACGGAGGCTCAGGGAGGCCGAATTATTGCCTCAGGTCAGTGGCAGCTAAATTTACACTTGGATCTTCCTGCTTCCAGTGTTCTTGGTCCTGTCTACCTCTCTGCCTCATGGTCATGATGTCATTAGAAGCTGCTTGAGCCAGCTCTTTTGATGGCCAAGGATGCTGGCAGGTCTTGGTCTCTACTATAGTTTCTTTTCTTATAACATTTATTTTATTGAAGTGTTGATTTACAGTTTGTGTTAATCTCTGCAGTACAGCAAAGTAACTCAGTGATACATACATACATATATATACACACACATACATATTCTTTTCCATCATAGTTTATCACAGGATATTGAATATATCCTGTTCCTTGTGCTTTACAGTAAGACCTTACTGTTCTTCCATTCTGTATGTAATAGTTTGCATCTGCTAATCCCAAATTCTGCTGTAGTTTCATTTTTAAAAGTTTTTATTATTATTTTTGGCCCATCCCCACCCCTCACCTTGACATTGGTTTTCTTCCATCCAGGTCTGTTGTGTCAAGTCTGGACTCCCCTGCCAAGACTAGCTCCATGGAAAAGAAACTTCTTATCAAAAGCAAAGAGCTGCAAGACTCCCAGGACAAGTGTCACAAGGTATTTATTTCCGCAGCCGGCCTCCCTCCTTGCTGCAGGATCCTCCCGTCAATATATGCCGAGGGACCTGCCCGGGGCCGCCGCTGGCGCCGAGCCACCTGATCCTTCCCGCGCCGAAGTCGCGCCTCCGGCAGCTCAGAGGGAGATGAATTCGGGCCTTGACGCTGCCGTAAATCCTTTAAATCTTAACCAGAGGAGGCCCTGGATATAAAGCGGCCCGTTCCTCAGCATGACCCACCCAGATGTCTGCGTCTTCCGGCAGGTGGCGCGGGTCCTCACCTGTGGCCGAGATGCATCCCATCTGCTTTGAGTGATGCGAAGTCTCTCTTCCTAGTCCTTAGAAACTCCTGCCTATGTAACTGCGGCCACTGTTGATTATGCTCAACGTCTCTTAACGCTCACTGTTCCTGCCCAGAGGCAGTTCTCTGGAAGCTCGTAAGAGTCACTTCTTGCCTGGGACTCCCAAGAGTGCAGACGAGTCCATATCTCCTTGCCCTGTCCTGGATTTGTCCTCTAGATCTTTGCAAGGAGATGGGGGGGATCAAGATGGATTTGGGATAAAATTAAACTGACATCTGCAAAAAAAAACCAAACCCAACCCAAAAAACAAACAGGTGAAAAAAATGGTGATTGTGGCCTCCTCGCTTACTGGGTTAGAGAAGTGATCGAGTGTGAACCCAGCCTTGCATGAGAGGAGTGACTTAGCATTGGTGACTGTCCTTGCGAAGACCGGTGTGCTCCCAGGCGAAGAAACCATGGTATTTCCATCCCAACATTTTGGCGAGTTAGTGCCAACCGGGACCACCAGGTGGTTTCGGAGGTGGCTTGAGACGCGATTACTCCTAATGAACCCCCCACGGGCCTTTTTTAACGTGTTGCTGTGTCTATTTCAGATGGAGCAGGAAATGACCCGGTTACATCGGAGAGTGTCAGAGGTGGAGGCTGTGCTTAGTCAGAAGGAGGTGGAGCTGAAGGCCTCTGAGACTCAGAGATCCCTCCTGGAGCAGGACCTTGCTACCTACATCACAGAATGCAGTGTGAGCCTTCCCCCCAAAGCCCCCTTCCCTCGGAGGTGGCACTTCCTGTTGTGTGTGTCTCATCCTGTTTCATGACAGCATCATGAGGCACGTCACAGCCAGGGCTAGAGAATAGAGAGGGAGGACGCACGAGCAGGACCTGTGATGTGCAGAGTAGCATGCGCCAGGTGTGAGGGCCTGGAGACAGGAGGTCAGGCTCAGAGAGTCCAGGTAGGAGCTTGGAGACAAGCGTAGATGGCCTTGCAGAGGGTATCACATCTCCCATCCCAACCTCTGTGGTCTACCTTGTGTCCTACATGATCAGCCTCAGGAACCAAGCTCCCAAATAAGGGCAAGACAATATGTTTTGAATTTGCCCCAAATCAACTATCGCCTAGAACCAGCATATCAACAAGAAAACTCAGGCTTTAAAACCCAGACCCTCTTGTCATTTTTTACCATGTGACTTTTTTTTTCTTTCCTTCACAAGAGTAGACTGTCTTCTCCATTGTCTCGTTAAAAATTTTCATTCAGGTGTTTCTTAATGTACAGTCTTAAGAAATTGAATCGCACATTTTTCAAGTGTTTTTTCCACAAGGGAGAGGAAATCTATAGAACGTGGCTGATTAAGAATAACTGCTATGTTTCCATTCCAGATTTGGCTGCCTTTCAGTGGTGGGTGAAGTTATTCAGCTATGTATTTCAGATATATATTTCAGTGCTACTGAAGCATTGAGGGAACCTTATGGATGAAAGGTGTCCAGGAAACGTAAGCCAGGAGGTGGGAATAGATTGCTTGGAGTCCTAAATGATACCCGGGCAGAGAATGAAGTCATTGCTACTTTGAAAAAGGGTGATATACTTGATAGTCCTCGAATCACTGATATTCCAGAAGAGATTTTGTATCCACCCCAGTGGTGGTTTCATGGCTAGGGGATCTTACTAGTTTTTAGTCCTGAACATACAAGTAAGTATCTGCTAGGCCAGGTAGGAGACAGGTGGCTGCACTTTCAGGCTGGATCCATGAGGTCCCAAGGTGTTTGAGATGATGATTTCTTGAACCAGGGGATTTTGCAGGATGAAACTTGGAATTCAGCAACCCACTGGAAGCTGTCGTCGTGGGTCCGTCACCCGAAACCGTCTTGGTGTCTGCGAAGCAGCCTGCAGCTCCCTTAATGAGTCTTTCAACTAGAGCAGGATCCACAGGGCATCCCTATTAAAAACTTTTGCTTTCCGCAGAGCTTAAAGCGAAGTTTGGAGCAAGCACGGATGGAGGTGTCCCAAGAGGACGACAAAGCACTGCAGCTCCTCCATGATATCAGAGAGCAGAGCCGGAAGCTCCAGGAAATCAAAGAGCAGGTATGACTTGCTACCCGGGAGCAGGGCACCAGCTCAGACCTCTCATTTCAGGGGAGGCATGTTTGAGGGACAGAGGAAGCGGGGGAGGAGGGGGAGAAAGAGGTATGTAGGTCATTTGGAACTTTCAGATTCCAAATGGGACTTTTTAGATTCCACATGGTTTATATAAATGCTCCAGCTCCTTTTGAAGTCTGGACCCCACAATGACTACTCTTTCAATCAAAGGTGTAGGTTTAAAGCAGTGGTGGTGGGCAGACTGCAGCCTGTGGGGGTGAATCTGGCCGACCAACCTGTTTTCCATGACCACAAGCTGAGAATGGTTTTTGCATTTTTAAATAGTTGGGGGGAGGAATTCAAAAGAATAGTTCATGATGTGTGAAAAGTATATGCAGTTCAGATTTCAATGTTTAGACAAAGTTTCATTGGAACACAGACAGACCCATTCGCTTAGGTACTGTCTGTGGCTGCTGATCATGCTTCACTGGCAGAGGTGAGTAGCTGTGACAAGAGACCACATGGCCTGCAAAGCTGAAATTGCTTCCCATCTAACTTTCTACCGAAAGAGTGCCAACTTCTGCTTTTAAGACCATTGAAATAATTTTTAAAGATGTTTTCATAGCTTTTTAGATGCACTTTATGTTTTTGAGAGAAGCCAGGATAATTCACAGTTTTGCTTATCTAAAGATGTATCCCAGGAGGGGTGTTTGAGCCATTAAGGCCGCGTCACAGTTAACACAGCAAATCCCGACTACATAAAGCCCTCCCCTCCGTGTTCAGAAAAGAAAATCCAGACCTTTAAAAAGCCTACTCTCTTTTTTTTCCCCTTTCCTTTTCTAAAACAGTTTTCTTTCTAGATGGTTCATTTCTATTTTACTTCATTGTTTCCTTTTTAGCATGGATTTTTTTTTTGTCCTTTGAAGAAACCGTAAATAGAAACTTTAATGAAGAGAATGCAGTGAGCAATTGGAGAGCTGAATTATCAGCTGCCAGGCAACTCTCATTCACTTCAGAAAATCTAATGGAAACAGTGATGGAAATGAACATTTTTGTCTCTGGGTAGCGCACACTTAGCCATCTGGGTGGTTGCTAATGCAAGAAACTCTTGCAAATAATTTGATTCATTAACTTTTTAAAGAAAGAATTACTGTTTTGGTTTTTTTTTTTTTTCATCATCTCATTATCACCTTAGTATTTTTTAAATCATTGGCCAAGATCCTCCTGCTTGATAAAAATGTTCTAAATAACGGTGCCTAGGAAATGGTGCAACCCAGTCATCAGGTTTCTGAACAGTACTAACTTAGAGATCTTGAAGGTTGTGCCTGCAGCTTGGAAAAATCCACTTCGACAGTTGACTCGTTGCCCTTTTGTCCACACCATTTTTCCTCCTAAAAGTTTCAAGAAGTAGGATTCTTTTTCTCCCATTAGTTCAATGTGTTTGGAAATTTGCTTTTGGTGGTATCCTGGGGAAATGAAAGCTGTGCTTGGCCACCAGAGGGAGCAGCTGGTGTCCCTGAAATTAAATAGAAACAGAATTTTCAGGACATTTTGAAAAGGTATATGCTGGTGCTTGAGTTCAAAGAAATGTCCTTTGTGATTCATATCACAGTTGGCATCCTTGTGGAGTTTTAGATTTAATGACTGCTAAGTGTTCCATTTTGGGGGAAGAAAGCTTCTTCGTTTCAGATTTTATTTTTCATCGGAAGGAGGACTTACTAAAAAAATGACCCTCAGTAAGCTTGGTGAGAGTGCGATGTTTCCAGTCCAGGAGAAACATATAATACTTTAAGTAAACTCCTAGTATTTGGTTTGCAGCCCGCTGATTCCTCCCAGATTTGCCATTTATTTTTCTCTCTTCCTCTCAAAGCCAATTTCTATACCTCTGTTTGTTTAAGTGTTGCTTCTACTTAGCTATTTAAGAATGTTCAAACTACCCTACAATTGCAATCATTTCACATACTAGAAGGGTAGTACTCAAAATCCTTCAAGCTAGACTTCAGCAGTACGTGAACCAAGGACTTCCAAATGTACATTCTGGGTTTAGAAAAGGCAGAGGAACCAGAGATCAATTGGCCAACATTTGTTAGATCACAGAGAAAGCAAGGGAATTCCAGAAAAACATCTACTTCTGCTTCATTGACTACGCTAAAATCTTTGTGGATCACAATAAACTGTGGAAAATTCTTAAAGAGCTGAGACTACCAGACCACCTTACTGTTTCCTGAGAAACCTGTATGTGGGTCAAGAAGTAACAAGTAGAACTGGACATGGAACAGTGGACTGGATCAAAATGAAAAGGAGTACGATAAGGCCGCATATCATCACCCTGCTTCTTTACCTTGTATGCAGAGTACATCATGTGAAATGCCGGGCTGGATGAATCACAAGCTGGATTCCAGATTGCCGGGAGAAATATCAACAACCTCAGATATGAAGATGACACCACCCTTATGGCAGAAAGTGAAGAGGAACTAAAGAGCCTCTTGATGTGGTTGTAAGAGGAGAGTGAAAAAGCTGGCTTGAAACTCATCATTTATAAAAACTAAGATCATGGCACCTGGTCCCATCACTTTATGGCCAATAGTAGACAATAAAGTGGGAGCAGTGACAGATTTTATATTCTTGAGCTCCAGAATGACTGCAACAGTGACTGCAGCCATGAAATTAAAAGATGCTTGCTTCTTGGAAGGAAAACTATGACAAACCTAGACAGTGCTTTAAAAAGCAGAGACATCACTTTGCCAACAAAAGTACATATAGTCAAAGCTATGGTTTTTCCAGTAGTCATGTATGGATGTGAGAATTGGACCATAAAGAAGGCTGAGTGCTGAGGAATTAATTGGTGCTTTTGAATTGTGGTGCTGGAGAAGACTGTTGAGAGAGTCCCTTGGACTGCAAGGAAATCAAACCAGTCAATCCTAAAAAAGATCAATACTGAATATTCATAAGAAGGACTGATGCTAAAGTTGAAGCTTCAGTACTTTGGCCACTGGTTGTGAAGAGCTGACTCATTGGAAAAGACCCTGATGTTGGAAAAGACTGAAGGTAAAAAAGAGCAGGGGGTGGCAGAGGACAGAGATGGTTGGATGGCATCACCGACTCAGTGGACTTGAATCTGAGCAAACTCCAAGAGACAGTGAAGGACAGGGAAGCCTGGCATGCTGCAGTCCATGGGGTTGCAAAGAGTCAGACATGACTTAGCAACTGATCAACAACTTAGCTAACCCCAGTGGAGTATTTGGATTTGGTTTAAAATAAAACACCTAGGGACTTTCCTGGTGGTCCAGTGACTAGAACCTGTACTTCTACTGCAAGGGGCATGGGTTCAATCCCTGGTCAGGGAGCTAAGATCCTGTGTGCCACGAGGCACAGCCAAAAACTTAAAGAATTTAGAAAACACCTAGATACTTCACATGATAGATTCATGCTCCATCACTAGCAATTGCTGGTTCCACCAACCCCCCTCCTTGGAAAGAGAGTCAGAAATTTGGGTAACATAGAAGGCATTTGAGTTTTAGGATTTCAGATTGATCCTATTCAATCAAAATTGTAAAGTTCCATTCCAAAGAGTGACTTGAGGCATGACTCAAAAGTTGTCCACATTTCCGCATTGTGATCCTGTTCAACTATGACCAGCACTGAGCCCATGCTGAGATTCGAACAGCTCTCTCTCAGCTGTCCTTGGAAACAGACTTGATCATCATCTCTGAGATTTTTCTTGAAACAGGGATTTGGTCAGCTGTTGGATGTATAGGATTTCCTTGAAGTAGCTGGCAGAATAACAGTGGCTCAATAAATGAAGTAGAATCCTTTTTGATGTCTGTAGCAGGCTGGGTGCCCTGGGAGCTCAGATTGCTGACAGAGGTGTTGCCTGGTTCATGCCTTCCTCCCCTTGGGCGCTGACAGCTCTGGACAGAGAGATGTTTAGGGCAGGGGGTGGGGGGTGTTGGAACAGTGCTCTGTCCTTGCTCCTGACAAAACACAAAGACCACATTTCCTTTTTGCTGAAAGTTTAAGTCAGACAAGGGAACTAGGGATAGAAGATGGCCAAGACTGACTCCCACCGGTCCGCTTCCTCCACAGTTTGTGTTGAGCTTGTGAGCAGCTCCGATGGTACTTTGGATTTTTAAAATCAGGAGAAAAGAAATTGAATTTTTAGGTAAAAGAAAGTGTTTTCATAGATAATGTTTTTATCTTTATATATTTTATATATATATAATTTTTTTTAACAGAGGAAGGGGTCCAGGAAGGCTTAATAATACCAGAGCTGTGCAAGTCAGAATAAGTCATCACACAGCCCTGGCCGAGGGGGCTAGAAAAACCCCAAGCAGAGGGTGTGCCGTCTCACATCGTTGACTCGAGTTCTGTTCTGTGAATTCAGATAATCCTTGAGTAGTTTATAAAGACCTTTGGTTATGTAACCCAGCACCACCCACTTAATGAGCCTCGTATAGAAAACCTGGTGCCCCATGGCTTGTAGAATTGACCCTCAGTAACAATGCAGCTGGCCCTCTGTCTCCACAGTTTCTGTATGCATGGATCAACCAACCTCAGGTCGAATTTGGTCCTGGAACCAACCCCCTGTGTATACCGAGGGACGACTGTATGCTTTTAGTGTTCTGTTTTGTGCCCCCCCCCCCCTTTTTTTTTCCTGCTTTCCTCTGTACCACTAACACAGATGTGTTTACATGAAAACTACCCATTTTCATAAGGATGTCATCTTTGCTTTAGTGTGCACATGGGGATTGCCTATTATAGTGGGATGAAGCTGTACTGTTACTGGGGGAAAAATAGCATTTTATTGGTTAAAAACATATCCTTGCTCAGTGGATCTCTCTTCAGTTACTTCTTGGGAGAACAGGTCTTAGAGATGATTACTAGATGTTGTGAAGGTCAGCAACAGTCTTAGTTCAATTCTTTATTCTTTTCATTTTATATCCTCCACCCCCACCACCTTGGATTGGATAAATTTTGCTCATTCATAAACCTTACATGTATAGTCTTTGCTTTTGCCAACAGAGAATATTTTCGTTCTCTGCCCCAAAGTTTTCAAAACCACTGTTTATTTCTCATGGTAAATCACTTTTGGAAAACCTCAATGCAGATGTTCTGATTTTAGACATTCACTTTGAGAAAGGTTGGGCTGTTGGGATTACTTAAAGGCTTCTGCTCGAGGGAGCAAGGTAATTCTTTCCTTCGAGTCTTTCTCACAAGTTACTTTGACAGAGTCAGTGTTTCCTGACTTCCAAATTTCAGGGTGACTTGCATCTCAAGAGCACTGTTAAGTTCTTCATGCAGTTTGGGGCCCAGAAAAACTAATGGTGAGAAACTGACATGATGAGTTTTACCTTCCAAGATTCTCTCCATTGAGATTTCCAATTACCCCCTTGTGTCATCTGAAAGGTTAATTTTAAAACTAGGTACCATATTTAATTATGTTAGGCGCATGTGACTTCTAAAGGACAAATCTATATAAATGATTACCCTTGGGGGAAAGCTTTGCGTAAGCAGATTATCATCGTTGTTTAAAGTACATCCCTTGCTGCTCTCCGGTGTTACAAAGGCCTTAAGGTTCTGCACTTCTTGTACGGTATTATTTGCTCAAAGGATCTAACTGTATATAATCACATGTGTTCCAAATGGTGTTACTAGTGCTACATGATCTACATGAAAACAGTTTAAAGATTTAATATTCTTTTCTGTCTACCCACTCTCTGCACACCTCACCTTCATCCGCATCTTTCACCTTTTCTCTGGGTCCATTTTCTGCTTATATCTCTTCACTGTGTCTTCTCTCTGTGGTTTTTCACCTTCATTTCCCGTCTTTCCTTTCAGGAGTTCTAAAGTCCACCTTATTTTGGTTGCCTACTGTTTAGGAGTACCAGGCTCAAGTGGAAGAAATGAGGTTGATGATGAATCAGTTGGAAGAGGACCTGGTTTCGGCGAGAAGGCGGAGTGACCTCTATGAATCGGAGCTCAGAGAGTCTCGGCTGGCTGCTGAAGAGTTTAAGCGGAAAGCAACAGAATGTCAGCATAAACTGATGAAGGTAGCCAGCTCCCCTCTGGGAGGGAGTTTTGGGGATAGAATCCTGGATGATCTTAGCAATAATAAAGGGGATCCTAGCTTAATGAGTACATTTGAGAAGCCATGGGGTGCCATACAGAGTTCTGGTGTTGATTAGAGAAAGTAACTAAATTTTTTATTATCGTCCTAATTGTTTTGGCCACAGAGACCAAGAAAGTACAGCCTGTAGTGTTGTCTTATAAGATTTTTAGGTTCTTGAGAGTTCCCAATATGTTATATCTTTTAAATTACAGGCTAAAGATCAAGGGAAGCCTGAAGTGGGAGAATATGCCAAACTGGAGAAGGTATTTTCCATTATTGGTATTGGGATTTGGGGCAGATGGTCTCTTAAATGGGCTTTCCAGGTGGCACTAGTGATAAAGAGCCCGCCTGCCAATATAGAGGTACAAGAGACAAGGGTTGGATCCCTAGGTCGTGAAGATCCCCTGAAGAGGGCATAGCAACCCACTCCAGTATTTCTGCCTGGAGAATCTCATGGACAGAGAAGCCTGGTGGACCACAGTCCCTAGGGTTGCAAAGAGTCTGACAAAACTGAAGCGACTTAGCATGCACACATGCAGTCTCTTAAATGTTGCTCTCCGTGGCCTTTCGTTGGTTAAGAATATATTTGCAGTGAATAAAGAACTCTCTTCTGGGTTTATTTTGATGATCAGTCTCTGGATGACCAGGTTTAGTTTCAGCTATGGTTCTAAAAGGGGGAGAAGACACGTCTTTTTTTTTTTTTTTGTCATGCCCTCTCACAGTAACATACAAACCCAGATACTCAGTAAAACAGATGGGAAAATCTACTGTTTTAAAGTACAGGCAATTTCAGTTCCCTTTTTTGCCATCTGTATGTGTGTCGCTGGTTCTAGAGTAATGGTCCACATGGAGGTTTATACTGAGACATTCAAAGCCTTCTCTGATAGGCTACTGTTCTTCTCCATCAGTAGGTACTGGAAAACAATAAGACCCCCACAGAAACCTCAAGAAAATAGGCTTGTAGTAAATGTAGCAAGACCTTAATACCAATGTGCCTTTTGTTTTATTTCCTGGGATTTTAATTACAGATCAATGCTGAGCAGCAGCTCAAAATTCAGGAGCTCCAAGAGAAGCTAGAAAAGGTAAGCCCAAGGGGATATTTTGGGGAACTTACCTCCCATTTCCAAGTACTTTTTCTTGCCTTATTCTAGAGGGTGAAATATCAAAGAAAGAGAATTAGTAACCCGTCACTGAGGGAGATGAAATGGGGTGGTGAGCTATTACCTGAAAATATCAGAGTTCTGAATATACTTTCTCCTTTTGGGACCTGTCAAACTGTATTTGTTTAAACAAACAAACAAACAAACAAAGCAGACACCAAGCTCTGTGAGACTGTCAGTTCAAAGTTCAAATTGTACTATGACAAATCCCAAGAGGCTGGCTCCTCTTCCTTCAGGGTACCGGGTTCACATCTTGTTCATGACCCAGACGGCTTTCCATCAGAGACCGTTGGCAGCCTTCCTGTCCACTGGGAGCCTGGAGGAGCCAGGAGTCCTGAGTGGTTGGGGAGGAGGGCGGGTGTGGTTTATGGCTTCTGACACAGTGAGTGCTAATGGCCTTGCCTTTGGGTGAACAGGGGAAACGCTAAAGAAAGGGCCAGAATGAATATGGCCTTCAGGAAGGTTTGTGAATGTGTTTAAAAGAGCCCTTTCATTTTCCTCCTCCTCCTTTGTAAAGTTGTGTTATTGAAAACATATAACATTGACTTTACCATTGTAATCATTTTGAGTGTCCAGTTCCTTAGTGTTAGATGTATTTCCATTGTACATCAAATCGTGAGAACTTTTTTGTCTCGCAAAACTTAAACTATCTGTTAGATGCTAACCACCCCTTTAGTGAATGCCCATCCTTGGCAACCCCTTCCTTCCTTCCTTCCCTCCCTTCCTGTCAGTTTATTTTATTGAAATATAGTTGATTTACAATGTTTTGTCACTATACTGCACAGTGGAGTGATTCAGTTATACACATATGCACATTCTTTTTATATTCTTTTCCTTTATGGTGTATTATAAAATACTGAATATAGTTCCCTCTGCTATTCAGTAGGACCTTGTTTATCCATCCTATATATATATATGATATATATCACTCTATATCATAATTTGCCTCTGCTAATCTACTTTACTTGTATGCTTCTGACTGCTTTAGACACTTCCCGTGGGTGGACTCATACAGTATTTGTCTTTTTGTGACTGGCTCTTTTCACTCAGCACAGTGTCCTGGAGGTTCGTCTGCGTTGCAGCATGTGGCAGGATCTCCTTTTCAGAGGCTTCATGGTATTGCATAGCTGGGATGATCCACTTTTTCTGTATCCGTTCATCTGACTCCTTCCTGCCTATTCTTGAGCTCACTTCTGAAAGCCTCTCTCAGCTAGATGTTTGTGTGAGGACTCATGTCTTCTAGTACTCTGCCCGCCTTGTAGAAGAGGGGAGCAACCTATACATGTCAGCCACAGATGTAATTCTAAGTTTTCTAGTGGCCATATTATAAAAAGGTGAAAACTCTTTGAATGATACAGTTTTCATAATGCAATATACACAAAATGTCATCACAGCATGTATTGATATTAAAACATTTATACTGCTTCAGTTTTTAAATGAATTAAACTTTAGTAAACTTTAAAATTGATTTCCTAGTCACACCAGCCGCATTCCCAGTGCTCACTGGGCACCTGTGGGGAGCAGCTCCCACACTAGCCAGCATGCAGGTCTCCAAGCTAGAGTTTCCTTGCTATTTTCACTTCTTCAAATGATAATTTAAAGTGAATGAATGTGAGGTTGGTGGTTTACAGTTTGATCTTTATCGTGATACTTGAAGAGCTGCAGTATAAAAAATAAAAAATTAACTTCAAAAGGTTAATTAAAAAAAAAAAAAAAGACTTCCCTAACATGAATTTTGAGTCACTACAAACGCTATGGTGGTTGTGCCCTCTGATAGGTATTTCTTATTATTAAAGGTTTAAATTACAGCTTTTATGTTGTATTGTTAATACATATACATACATATACATATACATACATAATACACATACACAATACATACATACATAATACATATACATATACATACATAATACATAATAGTAGAGATTCCCCATAAAGAAGTTGGCAAGTGAGATGATTAAATAAAGAGAAAATTAATGCTCTGAGGAAAATACATTAATACTTGGGCAGATAAATCCAAGACCTTTTGTTTGCATTTATTCCAAAATATTGAATCAAAGATGCTAAAGTTTGTCCAGTACTCCATTATCTTCTGTACCCCAGGAAATAAAGATAAAAGAAAAAACAGTTTTAATTGTAGGCTGCATTATTCCAAATTTAGTGATGTTAAAAAATATAAGTGCACCTTAGAATGGATGAAATATAGAATAAAATGAAAAGTTTGTTTGTTGTTTGAAGAATGGATAAAAATATCCCTTCAGTGTGACCTGATTTTTTTTTTTTTCCCCTGTTTAGAAGATGATCCTCATATTTTTCTGTGTCTAAACTGGGCCATCTCACCTGTCCCCCCCGCCCCGTTTCTTCTCCTTTCAGGCCGTGAAAGCCAGCACAGAGGCTACCGAGCTGCTACAGAACATCCGTCAGGCGAAAGAGCGGGCCGAGCGTGAGCTGGAGAAGCTGCACAACCGCGAGGACTCCTCCGAGGGCATCAAGAAGAAGCTGGTGGAGGCCGAGGTGAGCAGGGGACCTCCAGCCCCGGGTCCCTCAGCGCCTGGCCTCTGGCTGTGTGGGGACGAAATGCAGGCACCGCCTTCTCTCTGCTCGCCTTTGTTCAAACCACTTTTCCTTTCCGCCCATTCCTCTGAACCCGAGAGGCTTGGGAACGTTTTCCCCAAAGGGGAGAAGCGTTTGTCACAGAAGCTGCGAGGCGAAAGATGTTTTGATAAAAACCTTTCCTTCCTGTTTGTTTTCCTCTGACCCACTCACTTGTGTGGGTGGACTCATGTTTATCTAGGTGAACTGTGACGCCGTCCCTGAGGTCTTCTCTTCCTTCCCTCCGTATCCTTGCTTTTCCTTGACTTTTCCTCCCAGCAGTGATAATAACATAGTAAATTTCAAGGCTTCACCTGTGACCTGTGTGTGTCGATAACTCCCAGATCTGTATTTTGGGGCCTCTTCTCTCCCTTCAATTCTTTGTTGTTGTTGTTGTTGTTGTTGAAACCAATTATATAATTATGCAGGAAACACATGAGTGTCTTCTCATTGTTAAAAAAAGAAAAAAGCACAGAACTAAAGAATCTAGAATCAGAAGGGACGTTTCCTCTTACTCCCCTCCAGCTTCCCCCATGCCTGGGAATGGTTCCGTGGAACAGCTGTGCCATAGTTGACTTAACCATCCCCCTTTCCTGAGCTTTCTGCTTCTCCCTATCACTGTGCTGGTGGTGACCTACTTGTCCACGACTCTCTGGGGCCACCCTCACCCACAATCCAGGCAGTATTTCCCACTGCTCCCCTGACATCTTGCCTGGGTGTCTGGACAGTGCCTCTAACCTAGAATGAACTCACTATCTTCCCCAACAAGCTGGGTCATCTTTTCAACCTCCTCATGCCGGTCAGGGCCATCGTCATCCTTGCGGTAACTCCAGGCTTAGAACCTTGACATCATCTGCTTCTCCCTGGGCGCTGCCATTCCACAGATTCTTCAGCCCTGCCAGTGCACCCACGTGGTCCCCTCCCAGTGTCTGCCCCCCGCTGGCCTTCTCTGCGGCCTCGTAGGGCAGGCGCGGGTGCTCTTCCTCCTGGCTGAGCAAATGTCGTCATTTCTTGGCTTTCTGCTTTCAGTCTCACTTTCCTCCCAGCTAGCTCAGAAATGTCAGACTTGTGGACCTCCAGCTCCAGGCTCATCACCACCCCTTGTACCATCCCAAACCCATTAGTGCTTCCCTGTGTCTTAGATACACGAGACTATCAGCCATTTGACCCGCACATGCTCCCCTCCCCGTGTTCTCCTGCTCCCTCCAAACTCACCCTATGCAGCAGCCCCTCTGTGCTCTCCCTGGGGCCTAAACTGGCCACCCCTGTGCTGTTGCTGCTGCGCCCGTCTTTATTTGAAAGGCCTCCCCTCTCCCCTCTGGCCCTCTCCCCTCCAGTCTGATGCACCGGCCCCCTCCACAGCGCACATCTCCTTGACTCCTCCCCTCACCTGCTCAGTTCAAAGCCCTCTTTCCTGCCTGCAACCTCCCTCAGCGCCCCATACCTGTGTGCTTCATGGCTCTGCCACTTTTCACCCATTTTATGTTTACTTGTCTTTCTCTTACCTCTTCCAAGGGCAGGCATTCTGTCGACTTCCTCTGGGTATTTTCCGAGGTACCTAGTATGCTACCTTGCAGATAGTAGGTGCTTGGTAAATATTTGAATGAATGAATGCACTCTTGTAACCTACACAAGCGAGTACTACTCGGAGTCCAGAACCGTGTCTTCCTCGCCGTGGCTCTGGGTGCCTGAGACCTCTCTTTCCTGCTGCGAGTGTCCGCTTCCCGAGGGCCCCCTCCCTTGGCGCAGGCGTTGCGCCCGCAGCCGTCACCCCATTAAAACTCTCTGATTGATTCACGATCTACAGGAACGCCGCCACTCTCTGGAGAACAAGGTAAAGAGGCTAGAGACCATGGAGCGTAGAGAAAACAGACTGAAGGATGACATCCAGACAAAGTCCCAACAGATCCAGCAGATGGCTGATAAAATTCTGGTGAGCAGGAACCAAAGTTGGCAAGTTCAAAGATAACAGGTTACAGAGGGAAGGGGGTCAAAAGAAGAACCAACCACCGTCAAAGGGGAGGTTGTCGCCGAGCAGGTGAATTAAGAGGAAGTGGTCTTAGCGGATGACACATCAGAGACTAGCATGAGTAACCTTACAGGTTGGACTTTTCAGCACTGGTAACAGATCCATCAGTATGGTTTTTTTTTCGCTCTGTTTGCTACTGCCTGACCTTTAGAAATACAAACGTGCACACGCTGTCATCTCCAATACATTTCTACAGGAGGATTTACGTGCTCCTATCAGCAGAGTTTTGTATGGCTGTTAACATTGCAAATGCTCATTTAAAAAAAGGGGGGGTAGGGGTTCAGGGCTTTAAGACTAACGCTCAGATCCTCGCTTTTGCAGAGGAAAGAAGTTAGTCACGCAGAATTGTTTTTCTCCTAGTAGTATTTGTCATAGATCCATGTTCACCCACTCACTTTCTCTGCTACAGTTGGTTATTATTATTATTATTATTTTCACTTTCCTTAGATGTAGCAGATCTTTTTTTTTTAGGTTTGTAATCACAGTGATTCTGTTTTTGGCTCTGATCAAATTAACTTGATCAAGGAAGACTTGGGTGGTACTTGCCAACGTGTTGGAAGTTTTGCTCCTGCCAGGGTGGAAGGCAGGTGAACCTTTAAAGGACTCTCCTTGAATTTCAGTGCCCAAATCAAGAATTTGATGCCACTTTGGGGAGTCTGTTCATAGCCCCTTCCTTCCCTTCCCCTGGGAGAGACTCTGGAGTAGTCGACCTTCCTCTCCACCATAAAAAGGCAAGGTGGTAAGAAGGGTGCTTCCCGCCTCCCTCTCTCTGGCTCTCTCTCTCTGCATCACTTCTGGGAAATGAGTCACCAGCAACTATATGAACTCCAGAATGACCGACTTATAGGCCTATACTAAATACCAAACAAAAACCAATAAAAACCCAACGTTTCAAATCTTTACATCTCTGTCTGTATTCATGAGCATATGGGTATTCTTGAACAAATAGATGAAAAGAGAAATCAGTTAAGTTGTTTTGCTTTGACACACAGTCTTCATAGATCCGTCTACACACAAAGGCAGATGTGACTGTTAGTCTACTCTCTGTTCTCTCGTTCCGTCATCCAAGTTTCTCTTGGCGATTGTCCAGTGTGTGAATTTTACCGTGAGTCAAGTGAATTCCCACCGAGATTCCACCACTGCCACCTCTTGCTTGGTGCGAACGACGTGGTTAAGTCTCTTGTGGTTGCAAAGTGTTTCTCTGTTTAATGGTGATGTGTTCATTCATTCATTCAACAAATATTTAATGAGCTTCTACTATGTGCCAGGCACTATTCTAGGAGCTGGAAACAGAGCAGCGAACAGCCGTGTTTGCATAACAGGACGGAAGAGTCTGATCCAACACATGTAGAAAAGATAACGTTTTAAAAAATGACAACAACAACAAAAAATGCCGAAATGCCAAGAAGTCAGATTTTAGAATGTCCGCTTTTCCAAAGGTTCATTTGCAATTAAAACGTCGGAGTGTAGAGTTCTGCATTCCTGGATTATATGTTGCAAAGTCCCATTCATACATGGATCAGAAATTTGGTCTCAATGTTGTGAATCTCAGATGTCTGAGTTTTCAGCCTGTTTTCAGTTTGATTTTCATTCCTGTGCCATTTTAGGAGGACTGAAACTGAGACAATTATCAAGTGATTTCTAATGTAAAGGAAAAGTAGCAGATTTCTTTTTCCAAGTGTGTCTTATAACCTACCCTAGTACCTTTGTGGTCGTGACTTCATTTATCAGAAAGTATCTTTTGTTCAAGAACCTGGTGCTTAGGCTGTAAATAAAGTATCTGGAACAGGAGCAAAGAGGGGTCCTTAATACTGTTACATAATGATGATGCTTGGAAAGTCATCTCAAATGTCATTTGCATTAAAGTATTTGCTATTCTGATAAGAACTTTCAAAACAGATAATTGGGGTTCTCATTATAGCAGAGTCTTTTGCCTTAATAAAAAGACCTCATTTCTGGGGATCCTTTAATATACCTAAAGCCCTTAAAGTATGTTTTTATTACTTAACATCCTATTTACATTCAACTTTTCAAGATGACATCTGTTAGATTGCAATAGATCTTGTGCACCTGGTTTTAACATTGAATACTTTACTGGCCCCCAAGTCAAAGTCAGTGCTTGCAGACTTCAGAATTTCAAAAGCTTAATCAGTACCATTTCATGTGTGTGTGAATCTGAAAGTGTTTTTTCCCTCCATTTTATGGCCATATCCTGTATAATTTCCTCATTCTTCAAATTCTCATAATTATTTCCATTTCAAAGCAAATCTTCAAGGTAGTGTGAAGAGATGAGAGCTTGGAGTAATGACTTTTGATATTAGTAATTAACTAATGGGTCCATATTCATAAGAATTAATGTAGATGCAGATAGTTTCATTTAGAGACTATTTCAGTAAGTTGAATTCTGCCTTTTATATGATCCGTTTATAATATGTTGCAAATGAATTGGTATAATTTCCAAATGAATTTTGTTTAAAAGCAGAAATCTTAATAAGAGAATAAAGAGGACTTTACATTTGAGCTATTTATATTACTCCAAATTCTCTTCCTGTCTTCCATATATGTGTGCACATATTTATGTCATTTTTAGTCAGTTTTATGTTCTGCCTTCTTCCCATTAGTGTTACATCATCAACACATGATATCATGTGAACATCTCTAGATAGTCACATTCTCCATATTACCAGTCAGTTAAAATTATCATTCAAAACTCAAAGTGTTTGAATTGTCATATTAGTTTTCCTTCTTAGCTAGGGTTCCTGTGCAATCTTATTTAAAGCTGTCATTGGAGCAAAAATTGCCTGAGGCTCAAGATAGTGGTCAGGGGCTTTGCACTGTATGGAATTTTGAAATTGTATTGTCTTGTTACTCTCATTTCTCTAAGCAGAGATGAAGAGCTGCCTTTGACCTGTCACACTGATTGATTTCTGATCCCAGCCTACCAGCTGTGTGTGTATATGTGTGAATACTTGGACTTGGAAATCCCAGGGCCAAGGCTCAGTGGTGGTTTCCTTCTCAAGAGCCTTAGGGGCTAGTTGTGAGGAAACACATGCCTGTTGTCTCTGGTGCCTGTGCCAAAGCCGTGTTTCCCCTGAATGTCTGACATGCCTTGTCTCTGTCCTTGCTTCACACACCTGACCATCTCCTCTTTTTTGTCTAGGAGCTGGAGGAGAAGCACAGGGAAGCCCAGGTCTCAGCCCAGCATCTGGAGGTGCACCTGAAACAGAAAGAACAGCACTATGAAGAAAAAATTAAAGTAAAGACACTTTCTGGTTTTCTCTCCCCTTCCTCCTACAGCACCACGTAGCTCCTCTCTCTTCCCAGGTGCTTTGGGCCACTTCTTGCTAGAACAAAGGACTGTCTGGGGTAAATGCTGTCCTCAGGCCATGATGGGGGGTTTTATCCGTGGAGGGGGTTGGATATCAGAAGTTCAAAAATAGTTTATTTCAAAAAATTTGGTCATCATGTATCTTTAAGTATTTAAAGATATCTTTAATATATTAAAATATTTAAAATATTTTAAAATAATATCTTTAAAATATAAATCTTAAAAATATAAAAATAATAAATCTTTAAAATATTTTTTGACCCACTGTTACTCAGTCCATGATAATTTAGATTTAGACAGATTCATCATTTCTTGGCTTTTAATTTCCTTCTTGCATCTTAGACCTAGATGTTTGTCTTTTATATAAAGTGTATCCTTGAGGACTTTCTTCAGTGGAGATAATGCTGGTGCCAGCCTCTATGTTTTGTGTGTCTGAAAATGTCTCTGTTTCTTCCTAGTTCTTGAAAGATGTTTTGACAGGGCATAGATTTCTAGGTTGGCAGTTATTTCTTATGATACTTTTTGAAAATATCATTTCATTGATGTGTTTGGCTTTTATTATTGCAGTTGACAGTCAACTGTCAGTCTAACTGTTGCTTTCTTTGAAAGCAGTCTTTCTTTTTTCTTTTAAAACTTTGTTTTGTCTTTAATTTTCTGAAGTTTTACTGTGATAAAACTTTACATCTAGACAGATGTGGAGTTATTTGTTTATCCTTCTTGGGATATACTTGACTTTGGATTATATTAAAAAAAAAATTCCGGAAAATTATTGGTCATTATGTCTCAAATATTGCCTCTTCTCTTCTCTTTCCTTCCCTTATGGGGATTTGATTGGGCATGTGTTAGGTTATCCCTTGTCTTTTGGTGCTGCATTCTGGTTAAGCTCTAATTGATTTTCCAGTGTACTCATCCTTCCCTGTCTAATCTGCTGCTAAACCCATCCATTGAGTTTTAAATTTCAGTTAGTGTGTTTATTGGTTTCTTGTCAGTCTGTTTGGTTCTTTCCCAACTTTACTAGATTGTTTAAGACAAGAAATTCCCTGCATTCATTTGAAGCTTATCTTCTGCTTCTTTAAACTCATTAGCATAGTTCTTTTTCCATCTACAGCTGATGATTCCAGTATCCGAAGGATCTGAAGGTCTGTTTCTGCTGCTGTTTGTCCTGGTTCTTTTTTGTGGTGTCTGTCTTTTTGTGTGCCTGGTCAGCTGCTCGTTTTCCTTGGAAGATTAGTAATGGGGATTCTTTGAGACCTTAAATGAAAATGTGTGCCCACTTTGGGCGCACCCCTGGACTTTGACTTCCCTATTTCCTTACCCTTTGGGGCAATTAAAAATGGAGCTCAAGTGTGTTTCAGCAAATGCCTCAAGTTAAATACAGCTTTCTGTGCTTCTTACCTCTCTGGGTTTCTGCTTTCACTTAGATTTTAGTCTGTAATTTCTACTAGCATTTACATTTCTACTAGCATTTAAATCATTTATTGTAGAAGAGCTGGTTTAAGTAATCCAGCCCACGATATCAAATAGTGAATTAAATTATTTCACTTATTGACATTATTATTTCAATTTTTAGTAGTAAGTTCGGTGATCAGAAGTGACCACCAGCCTATTTCCTTTTAAAATCACACCATATTTTCATTGTGATTTTGGACCAAGCCTTTAATTATGTCTTATGTTCTTGAGAATCAGACATTGATTGGTCATTACATCTCAGATACTGTTAGTTTCCCTTCCAAGTCAGACATTGAAGGAGTCTTTTAATTTTTGTGATGATTGTATTACTGGTTTGGTTAGTATCCTCAAAGAGTTAGCTGTTCCTGTTTTGGGGAACAACAAGTATACATACTCACATAACATCCTCACCATCACTCTTCTGGCATCCTCTCTTTCACCCCTGGGGTTACTTTTGGTTATTTTTCATTGAAAGAAATACAAGGAAAGAACCTAGAATGGACCTTAGTTTTAGTGTGAGTGCCTGCTTTCATACATTTTCCACTTTATCTGCCAATTTTTGGTTTTCGTTCTTACTGGCTTCTAGACTTTTATCTTTGAAATAAACTACCTTTCAGAAAATTATGAGAATGTTTACAATTGTCCACTGGCCCCTTTGCATGATGAAAATAACCTTTGTAAATTTCATTCTGTAATTTGGGTGAGTATATTGACTTTTCTGTCAGAAAGGCATGTTTTATCTTAAATTGATATAAATGTCTACAGTGGAATCTCTGATTTCAAACAAATTCCTTGCTTCCCTCTCGTGCATCATCTTGTTCATCCTCCTGCCAGTTTAACCCAATCAAAACCAGGATGTGTGCCATCTTGATAAAGGCTTGTCCCTTCTGGCTCATACTTCTTTGTGTTGGTATTCATTGCTGCCAACATGGAGGTCTTATTTATTTAATATTTATTTTTATTTATTTATTTGACTGCACAGGGTCTTGGTTGTGGCATGCGGGATCTCTTAAGTTGAGGCATGCAAACTCTTAGTTGCGGCATGTGGGATCTAGTTCCCTGACCAGAGATCAAATCTGGGCACCCTGCATTGGGAGCATGGAGTCTTAACCACTGGACCACCAGGGAAGTCCTTGGGGAGGTCTTATTTTGAACAGAGTCATTCTGAAAGTGGGCTTCATTGCTTTTCACCTCATAAGCAAAAGTCTCCTGTGTAGGCATTATGTGTTCTCTGCTACCTTCTAGGTGGCAAGAACTTGGCTTTATAGATCCTAGAGAATGTTAGGTAGAGATTTGTTTTCTTCTTTCTTCCCTCCTGGCTTTATGAAACCATTTCTTTTTAGTCAGCTCTGCTTTGTGGCCCTGTTTTATCCCCTGTAAGGCCATTTTGGTAATAATTGTGATCATACCCCAGATTCGGTTCTTTACTTATTTGTAATTTTAGAATCGCATCCTGACATCCAAGAGAATGGGCCGCTTATCCTCTTGAGGTTCATCCCACCTCCCATGACCCCGTCCTCCACCTCTTATTCTTTTCTGCCAACTTTCACTGTTTTTTTCATTAGTCAGTTCTCGTTTAAAACCCTCTTTGAAATTGTCCTTTTCTTTCTTTATCACGCAGACCCCCTCCCTGCTCACTGGCTCTTTTTAGGGACGATGTCCCCATGAGCTGTGAAGGGCCCTTCACAATAGACAGTGTGGGAAAGGCTGATTTCAGCTCCCATCTGTGACCCCAATTCTTTGGGCTTTCTTCCCAGTATCAGATGTGGTGTCATTCAGAGAAGCTCAGTGATGAGAAACACAGGGTCAAAGGCTTGGCAAGTCATGATGTCGCCTTCCTTTCTTCCTCTCATTTTCGCTGGGTTGTTTTGGCAACTGGTGGTGCTCTCTGTGTCCCTCGCAGAACATTAGATCAAGCTGGTAGATGGTGACACCATTACTGTTTTATTTTTTCCTCTTGGGAACACTAGGTGCTTACAGTGGCATTTTCAGCACTGAGAACACATGATTTCTCTTCCCCTGGGAAAGGTTTCTCTTTCCAGTGACTTTTTTTTTTTTTACGCCCAGATGGATCAGAGGAAAGATCGGAGGAAAGAGTTCTTTTTCCCCCCACTTTATGCTGTCTCTTCAATCTATTGACTCCCCACCTACTTTATCAGTAGGCAGAATCCTCTTGTCCCTGGTTGTTTCTGAATGTCAGCTTGCCTTGGTCACACAGGTTTCCTCAGCCTTCTATCCCTCCACTCCCAGTCTGAAGATAACAAGATTATTTCTGTACAAATTAAGAGCAGGTGTCATTCTGAAAACTGCTGGCACATGGACTACTATAAAATTGCCCCTAGGTACTAGCTGCAAATCATAAGATCTCTAGAGAGATTCCCGCCCCGCCCCCCCGCCCCCCACCACACTGCCCCGCACCGCCCTCATACTGGTGTCCACCTGCACTTTGACTATCCCTCTCTGGTCTTTTTGGCTGCTAATTTTAAAATAAATTCTTAGTTCAGGTCCTCCAGTTACTTGCCATTTGATGATCACGCTTGACTTCTTAACCTCATCCCAGCTGATAGATCTCTGCCCTGGGGTTGGAGAAGCGTGGCTTCTCCAGTGCTTTTCTCTCCTTTCCTGCTTTCCTTCGGTACCTCTTGTTAGTCCGCTGGGCTCAGGACACTAACTTCTCCTTTTGTTTCTCCTCAGGTGTTGGACAATCAGATAAAGAAAGACCTAGCCGACAAGGAGACACTGGAGAACCTGATGCAAAGACACGAAGAGGAGGCCCATGAGAAAGGCAAAATTCTCAGCGAGCAGAAGGCGGTAGGTAGACGGAATCGCAAAGCCAGTTTTCATGGGAGGGTTTGTGAACCATGCCAGAAATCATGGGCTGGAGACGAGTCCATTTGGTCTGTTTTATTTCGTGGAGTCTGTCACTAACAGAAAGCTCTGTCTGCAAGCCCTTTCTCTGGTAAAACGTGGCGGGGGTGGCTTGTGGCCAGTTTTGCCTTTCACACCCTTCTTTAAGAACTCACGCTGACCTGCATCAACTAGAACCGTGACTTTTAAAACATCCCCCTGATAATAAGCCTGGTGGCCCTTGGCCTCCGCCAGACATCTTATTTCCTTTCTAATCCCTGCAGGCAGATGTTTTCAGAAACCTGCACCTTAAAAGATTCCCCTGTTGTGCTTGTTAATCTACTTATTATCTCAGACCCTACTGAGATTTTTCACATCAGAATCTCTAAAGGAGGGTCCTGAGAAGTGATATTTTTAACCAGCAAGCCACGTCCTGGCCAATTCTTATGATTCAAAGTTGGGGAAGCTTTGATGTAGAGAATCTAGGACAGTAAGGGCTGGGTGAGAAGGAATCATTCAGAGAACGACAAGCCCGTGGGTGATAAGAACAGGAACTCGCAGATGCAAGGTTTAGAGGCTCCTGCAGGCTCAGGTCACATGTGGACGACACAGGGATTTAAACCGAGGCCTGTTGGCTCAGGGAATGCCAGGTTCCTCAACAGGTCCTCCTGCGGGTGTTTCCTGCAGGTCCCTCAGCTACTGGGGGGATGTGCAGCCTCTGTTGATAAAGTGAATGAGTGCCGTCGCTGGGGCTGTGAGCTCTCTGCCTCTTAGGGTATAGGCTAGTTGCCTCTCTGGTCTGACTGTCCTGCCTTTCAGATGGTCCTCCTCCCTGGCCCATGTGGCCTGTGTCATTCTCCCTGCATTGGCACCGTCTGTGTGCAAGGTTCCAAAAGATACCGTGTGTTTCAGATGATCAATGCCATGGATTCCAAGATCAGATCCCTGGAACAGAGGATAGTGGAATTGTCGGAAGCCAATAAACTTGCGGCCAACAGCAGTCTTTTTACCCAGAGGAACATGTAAGTGTTCTGATTCTAACTGCGTGCCTGATTCCACTCTGGTCCTCCCTCCTGGGGTACAAACTCCGCTCTTCTGTGTGGTGAAGCCGAAGTGGATTTAATGACTCCTATTCTGGGGCCCAACCTCTGTATACTTAGGAAGTTTTGCCCCCTCTGAAGTGGTCTTGCTCTGCCCTGTCCTTTCTTTTGAGCTGGGTTTTCTCAAATGCTTCAGATTCCCATCCCATCACAGAGTGTTTTGCTCTCTCTAACGAGGCTATCTATAGCTGGCTTCTGGAGAGCTGCCATCCTCATTCCCCAGACTCGAGTCCTGTCATCAGCTGGAGGTGATCTCCAGTGCGCCCGACTGGGCCGTCTAGTTTCTGTTGTGAAGCTGGGCCCTGGGAGGTGACTTCTGGGGGATTCAGCAGGTACTCTTCTGTGATCCAGGAGCACTTTGATCTTAATCTTTTCCCCCAAAGAGTTACAATCTCCAGGATGTCCCCTCTGCTTGGATGTGTCCCTTTAGAGATCTTAAAACATTCCCACCTTAGTTTAAACCTGCCTGATAGGCCGCTGTCTGATCTTTGAGTCATTCTAGCTTCTGAGCAGCCTGTGGTTAACAGAGAAGTGGAAGGAGTATCGTTCTTTTCCCTTATGACCCCCTTTTCCCTTGGGTCCCTCTCAGTGAGTCATTAGGGTGCTCTTGTACTCAGGAGGCCCTTCCTGCTGTCCTGTACAGACTAGAAAAATAAAAAGTTCTACCAAAAGAGTGAAATGATAATATCCCTTGACCATACTTAATCCCATCAACAAGGGACTCTGAGCAGTGGGGACTAGGTGGGCCCCAGGTCCCCCTGCTGGAGTCATGCACACAAGGCCAGGTCTGAACAGCACTAGCCTGGGAACAAGTGTGGTCCACTTAACTGAGACATACCTCTCTCTCTGTTTCTGCCTGTCCTTCCAAGGGGGGACATGCTCACCTCTAACGAGACTGTGATTTTGCTTGGCTCCTCCTGCCACCCCCACCAGGAAGGCCCAGGAAGAGATGATTTCAGAACTCAGGCAACAGAAGTTTTACCTGGAGACACAAGCTGGGAAATTGGAGGCCCAGAACCGGAAGCTGGAGGAGCAGCTGGAAAAAATAAGCCACCAAGACCACAGTGACAAGAACCGTCTGCTGGAGCTGGAGACCAGGCTGAGGGAGGTAAGAGTGAAGGTGACCTCCCAAGGGCATTTGTTGGAGCACCAGAGACCCCAGCCAGCTGGGTGTCAAGCTCAAATCAGTACATACATGAACGCCATCATGGGTGGTGGTGAAGAGTGCAGTCGGGACCACAGGGGTCTGGGTTAGAATTCCACCTCCGCTTCTTAGGAGTTTGACAACCTCAGGGCTGCTCCTTTATCAGGTTACACAAGGATGACGTAAATTGATGCACCTTCAAATGGGGGCAGAGCGATTCCTCTGTCCCGGGTCATGGAGGATCACGTGCCCATGTCCTCATTTGGAGTTTAGCCCGTAGTACGGCTTAGTGACACAGGTTTCGTGGCAGTGGGAGACTAAATGAGAAATCTGAACTTTAGGTTTGTTTGATGGAAGGTGATTCTTTTCAGAGGAATAAAGTAGCTGGGAAGGATAGCCAGGTTTGGGAAGGGAAATCCCACACATTTAGTTGTGAATATTTTGAGGTTGATTTAAGCTGTGACTTGACATCACCAACTGTGTATTTATTAAATGCCTGCTGTTTGCCAGTTAGTAGCCTGATGGACAGTGGTGACAAGATAGACCCACCCCTGATCTCTGGGTTTGTCAGCCCAACAGGTTGGCTTAGTAGACACTGGCAGAGGCAGAACTGAAACTCAGGAGGGAGGTCGTTCTAAGTGGGACATCCCAACTAGGCGTGGTGACGAGGGACTCAGATATTTGTGATGGAATTCTTCCAAGAGTGTATGATCTCTGTTATGGCAAAGACTGTTAAGCAGACCATCTTTAGTTAAGGACTAAACCTTGAGGGAATTCTGACATTTAAGAATGTCTTCTTTATTTGTACTGGAGTATTAAGTGAGGCCACTTCTCTGAAGGACCGGGGTTGGCAAGGTGTGGACCCCTCTCTATTAAGACCACAGTGGCCTTTGTTTTGAAATGCAGATTCCTGGGTAGCCTCCTCCCTCAACTTTTTTAATTGAATTGAGTTGAGGGATGAGGGGGTGAGGAGCAGGGATTTGCATTTTTAACTAGCACCCTGGATGATGCTTATGCTTCTGGAGTTTGAGGACCATTGTTCTTGGTTGTCCAGAAGCCTTAGGCAGTGGTTTTACTTTTCTTATCCAGGCTATATTTTTACTCTTCAGTAACTTTAACCACACTTCCCTGTAGCGTCAGCCTTAGCGGTGTGAGTGTAAATAACTCACATTTCTCTGGTCGTGGGAACATTGGCTAACTGTCTTTTGCTTTCTCTTCCCACAAATGTCTCTCTTCTGTGTCTGCCCTGCAGCTGTTGTTCCACTGGGCATTAATCTAACCCAGGGAGGACGTGTTGCTTTATTCTTGAATCTGTATAGCTAGCCCCGCAAGGGGTGGTGTGTGAAATTTAGGACACTTCCAGAGAGGTTCAGGGCTGTATGTACTCTAGGGGAGTCTGGAGTTTAGCTTTATTGATTTATTTATTTTTTTATTGATTTATTTTTAATATTTTTATGGGATGATTTTTATAGTTGCTTCACAGTGTTGTATTAGTTTTGCCGTACAGCAGAGTGAGTGAGTTATACATATACCAGCTCTTTTGTGCTCTTTTCCCATCTGCGTCATTACCGAGTGCTGCATAGGGCTCCCCGTGCTGTGCAGTAGGCCCCTGTGCGGTACCTGTTTTATATGTAGCTGTGTGTGTGTGTCAACCCCAGTCTCACCATTTACCGCCCCCCGTTAACCATACGTCTGTTTTCTACATCTGTGAGTCTCTTTCAGTTCTGTAAATAAGTTCACTTGTACCTTTTCTTTTTGTTTTTTTTTTTTTAGATTCCACACGTAAGTGATATCATATGATATTTGTCTTTCTCTGTCTGACTCCACTCAGTATGACAGTCTTAAGTCCCTCCATGTTGCTGCAGATGCATTATTTCATTCCTTTTTAGGGGTGACTAGTATTCCAATATGTTATATGTACCACATCTTCTCTGTCCATTTCTCTGTCGATGGACATTGAGATTGCTTCCACGTCCTGGCTATTGTAAACAGTGCTGCAATGGGTTGCATGTATCTTTTCAAATTATGGTTTTCTCTGGATATATGCTGAGGAGTGGGATGTGGGGTCATATGGTAGCTCTGTTTTTAGTTTTTTAAGGAACTGCCATACTGTTCCCTATGGTGACTGTATCATCAAAATCCTGTTGGTTCTCTAGGCTACATCTCTTGTCTTTCTCCTCTTCATGCCTATGACCTCTGAGACTTGGGTGTTAACCTTTCCCAAGGAGCCTTCTCCAATCCCCTGGACCTAGATGGAATGTCCCCTTTGGGTCCCCATGGCCTTTCATGATTAGCTTATTCCCTGTGTACCCCTTGGCTGTCTTCATTAAACAGCGAACTCTCAAACAGCAGCAGGCATCTCTTATTTGCTTGGTGACCCCATGTCCAGCACAGGGTCTGGTCCTTAGAACAGCTTATCACATTGGTTATGTCAGCAGATGTGCCACGGTCTTCCACATCTCCATGCCTTTGATGTCTTGCTTCCTCTGCTTAGAGTTTTCTTTCCCCTCTTGTCTGCTTGTTTGGCTCGTGGGATTCTTCAGTACACAGATCCACAATTACTTTCTCTTCCCCTCTGCTGTGTTCCCGCTTTTCTGCATGTCTGGACCATTGCACTTGATCACAATGTATGGCAATGGTTGTTTTTTAGTTTTCTCCCCAACTTGAAGGCAGAGACTGCTTCATCTCTCTATTTCTTTATATATAGAATTTGCCAAGTAAGTATTTCTTGAATAGATGAAAGTTTGAGTAGATAGATTGGTAGACGGAGGGAGGAATGATTTGTTCACAGTGTGACCTTAATTCAGGTTACCTGATGAGAACAAATCAGAACAAGAATATTTAAAATAAGTAGAATTCAGTCTGTTGTTCCACTTGTAATCCCATTGTAAAGATGTCCTTGTTACTGTTAAGATGTTATTTATGTTTTTTGTTGTTGTTCAGTCACTAAGTTGTGTCTGACTCTTTGCAACCCCATTAACTGCAGCACGCCAGGCTCCTCTGTCCCTCACTGTCTCCTGGAGTTTTCTCAAAATCATGTCCATTGAATTGGTAATGCTATCTAACCATCTCTTCCTCTGTCGTTCTCTTCTCCTTTTGCCTTCAGTCTTTCCCAACATCAGGGTCTTTTCCAGTGAGTCGGCTCTTCTCATTAGTTGGCCAAAGTATTGGCGCTTCAGCTTCAACATCAGTCCTTTCAGTGAATATTCCAGGTTGATTTTCTTTAGGGTTGACTGGAATTGATCTCCTTGCAGTCCAAGGAACTCTCAAAAATCTTCTCCAGCACCACAACTTGAAGGCATTAATTTTTTGGTGCTCAGCCTTCTTGATGGTCCAACTCTCACATCCATATATGACTACTGGAAAAACCATAGCTTTGACTATACAGACTTTTGTCAGCAAAGTGATGTCTTTGCTTTTTAGCATGCTGTCTATGTTTGTCATAGTTTTCCTTTCAAGGAGGAAGTGTCTTTTAATTTCATTGGCTGCAGTCATCATTCACAGTGATTTTGGGGCCCCCAAAAAGAATATCTGTCACTGTTTCCACTTTTTCCCCTTCTATTTGCCATGAAGTGATGGGACTATATGCCATGATCTTAATTTTCTAATGTTGAGCTTCAAACCAGTTTTTTCACTCTCCTCTTTCACCTTCATCAAGAAGAGCTTTAGTTCCTCTTCACTTTCTGCCTTAAGAGTGGTATTATCTGCGTATCTGAGGTTGTTTATATTTCTCCTGGCAATCTTGACTCCAGCTTGTGAATCATCCAGCCTGGTATTTCGCATGATGTATTCTGCATGTAAGTTAAATAAGCAGGGTGACAATATATAGCCTTATTGTACTCCTTTCCCAATTTTGAACCGATGGTTCCATGTCCAGTTCTGTTGGTTTATGTTCACTTTTAAATATTTTTCTAATGATAATCATAATTTTCATAGGAGATTCTTGCTGTATGGATTTTTTTAGAAGCTTTATCAAGCCCTGTAATAAAGGAAAGGAAGGGATGCTCTGTATATATGTTACATATACATACTCTTATGTGTTCTCCTGTTGATTTTTGAGACTCATCGAAATCAGAGCTGTTTTATTCCATTTTTTTTTTCCTTCTCAGTTGAGTGCTGAGAATTTGATTCCATGACCAGATTTAAGATGCAGGTTGTGTCTTGGCTTTCTCTTCAGTTAAGGTCAACAAGTCTCTCTCTGTGTGTCTCAGGTCAGCCTAGAGCATGAAGAGCAGAAACTGGAGCTCAAGCGCCAGCTCACAGAGCTGCAGCTCTCCCTGCAGGAGCGTGAATCCCAGCTGGCAGCCCTGCAGGCTGCACGGGCGGCCCTGGAGAGCCAGCTCCGCCAGGCCAAGACGGAGCTGGAAGAGACGACCGCAGAAGCAGAGGAAGAGATCCAGGCGCTTACGGTAGGATGTGTGTGGAGCTGAGGGTAGTTGCTCACTTTTAAAAGTGCCAAGAGAGGAAAAAACAAGCCAGAGAAATGCTTAATAGGCAGAAAGTTGACTTACGTAGGTTGCTTCTTTTTTGGCACTGGTATACTAGATCAACTGAGCTTTCCTAAGGATCTTAAAAGTTTCCACCTTTATTTTTGTATTTCCTTCTTTATAAAATCATCATCACTATATCTTAAATTTCTGTTTAACCAGAGTCTGTTTACCTGGGTCTTCTATTTAGTTTTCACTAGTCATTTAAAAAAAAAAAGCTTATATATTATAGTAGTCTTTCTACCATATTTCTATTTTTGTTTTGATTAATCTCATTTGTATTCCTTTTTTTCCTCCCTCGCCCTTTAGATTCTGTTTTGAATCTTATTATGCATTTGGTAGATTCTGGATGGAAATGATTCTAACGAAGGAGAAATTGTTTCTGTAAAAGGGACCTGGCTTCTCTGCTCTTTCTGAGAGACTGGTTTGCTCACATGAAGAGGGTTCTCAGGAGATAGATCTTTGGTGGTGGGTAGTCTGTGGATCTAGACCTTAGTTCTTTCTGCAGGTCTCAAAATGTGACTTTGGCCATTTTCCACAATTGATCCTTCTCATAGAGTCTGACCTAGGCTAACAAGACTGATCAGAATTTTACATATGAAATGCCAACTTCCAAGCTTTGCAGAGGAAATATATCCATCTAGTTGACCTACTCTGGGTGGCTAATGTTCACCCTTTTCCCCTTCAGTGAAACCTAGTCATAAATCCCATTTCTCTTGGAAGGCTGCTTGGTGGATCTGGGCATAGAGAGCTGAATGAGTTTAATGGCTGGTATCAATCAAGTGCATACATTTCTAATGGTAACATACTGTTCTTGCCAAGCGGATGGGCACACTTATGCCTGCTGGTCAGGATACCCTCTTCGGTGGGCCAGGCACAATGCAGCTGATTGGGTTCAGTGCCTTTTTCAATACCTAAGTGAGTATCTTATCCATTGTGATTCATTTTTGGATGCTGTCCCCATGTCTGTCAGTGAGCATCTCTAAAGCATCTTTCAGAGTAGGATTACTTCTGCAGATGATCATGGACTTTTGTTGCTTATGATTTACCCTATTTAAAAGAATGTATGTGTATGTGTGTAAATAATATATATATACCTATATATATTTTTTCTTTCAAGTGATTTTCTTCTTAGACATTATCTCCCACTGTTGGGTTTGGGGACCAAATTGGGAACATGATCTGAGAGTGCCAGGGTCCTTATGGACTGGTCCAGGATACAGGGGTTTCCAGGATTCTGGGAATGCAGAGTAACTCCTTTGTAGAAGTTGTTTGAGCATCCTAGCTTTTCCAGGACTTCAGCCAAGTTCAGATATTGGTTGCAACCTTATAGTTTCTGTTGTTCTCTCTATGAAAAAACTCATTAAATGATGCCACATGCCGCCAATACTTTTTTTTTTTTAAAGAAATTAGTTACAGTATCTGTTTATACTCTGCCTTGTTTCAAAAATGGATTGGAAACAGTTTGGAAAGATATAAAACTATAACAGGATAGAATAAGAAAAGTCTGAGAGAAAGGAAATCACAGAAGAAAAAAAAAAAAGAGGTAAGAATGAAATGAATATATATGGCAAGAAGGCTTATATGCTTTCTGGAGTGGGGTGAATGCAAAGAGAGACAGCCAGAAAGCATTTCTTAGCTGCTAAACAAGACACCTAAAATCTAGCCACTATTATATTTAATGCTTTGTATATTAATATGCCGGCCCTGCCCCAACCATGAACCACCCTAGCTCTGAAAGGAGGAGACATCAGTCATTTAATCCATACTTGATGAGCCCCCACTGTGTGCTTAGCGCTGTGTCTTTAGCTTTTTCTCCCCAGGGGACTGGCCTGTAGTCTCTCAAATCCTATTAGTCAGGAGCAGAGGAGAAGGACACGTTTATCTCTCTACTCTGTTGGAACTGGGAAGGATCCGGTGGCTGTGCGTCTTACCCTCCTGTTTGGAAGCAGGAGGGTATGTTTGCATTGCTATTGTTTATCTGTGGGGAGATTAGTCTTTCAGTCCTGCCTTGCTGCCAGTTGGAAAGCGCTGTGGCTAATGGCTGCAGGACGCCTGCACAGCAGCAAGTCACGACTTAATTTAGTCAGATGAGATCACCGCCTGAGAGCATCTTCTTAAAAAAAAAAAAAGAACTTTCCTAAGTCTGCAAACTGGGGCTGTACAGTTCTCAGAGATGAAGATCCCTTGGAAAATTGGGCTTGTTCACAGTGATGGCAGGAAAGTGCCTTTGGTCCAGTGGCTATTTGTAAATGCATCGTGCAGGAATCCAAACCCCCAATCCGTTTGCTTCAGTTCAGTTTGAAGGCTATGGGTTTTTTCTCTCCCCTCCTCTTGATTATGTCCCATAAACCTGGTTACAGACCACGGGTGGCTGTTGCCTGAATGGCTTTGTTGAATTTGTCCTGAAGTATATATTTTCTGAGAGAGAACATGATCACAGATGCAGCACACCCCGCCCCCCCCACCCCGCATTGTTCCGGTTCAAGTTCAGACCCACTCTAGCATCAATCAAATTCAATCAAGTGCTTCCAAAGTGATCTTCTAGGTAGTTTGTGTGCTTCACAGCAGGCTCTTTTATCAATAAAAGGGAATAGTCATATGGGCTGTTACTGCTTTAATTCTAAGAGTTGGCCACTTTCTCACCTGGGAGGGGAGCAGTTACCCACTTTGGCCTCTGTCCCTCGATCAAGTTAGATGGAACACAGTTAAATAAGCTCTCCACTGATGAAGTTTGGCAGGGGGGGCAGTCATCTTCCTAGATTTTATTTTTTTCTCCCACTCACCCTTTCCCTAGACTTCCCTGGTAGCTCAGCTGGTAAAGAATCTTCCTGCTATGGAGAAGACCCCTGTTTGATTCCTGGGTTGGGAAGATCCCTTGGAGGAGGGCATAGCAACCTGCTCCAGTATTCTTGCCTGGAGAATTCCATGGACAGAGGAGACTGGCAGGCTACAGTTCCTGGGGTCACAAAAAGTGGACATGGCTGAGCAACTTTCACTTTCACCTTTTCCCCACCTTGTCAATTGTATTTGCATTGAAATTCACTGGCCGTTTAAAGCTAAGATTGAGTCAAGGTACAGACCAACAGGAGAGTCAAATTTATACACAAAGCCTTGCTTTTAAGACGCTTTATTGCTTATTGGGGGAAGAGAGAATTTTTCCACCTGGAATTGAAATGTAAGACTCCATGTAAGCCCTTTGTGGAAGAGAATTTGAGTGTGCACATGTCATTGCATGCAGGCATATGATGTGATGGGAATGTTACTATGAATGAGTCTGCAAAGCAGAGGAGCAGCATGGGCTCTGTGTCCACCAGCATGGCCCAGTGAACATGCTTCATGTCTCTGTCCTCACGTTCTTTTACTGATTTGGTTACATGACTTATGCTGAATAATCAAGAGTTGAAAGCTAGAGACACGCAAGAAAGGGATCCTCCCAACAGAGTGTGATGGTGGCATCCCAGGACTATCCTCTTTGATTTCTTAAAATCATTAGTCAGTGCATGCTCTTTTTCTCTTTTACATGACTGTCAATCATTGAATTGAATTAGTAAGCCATGGGCATGATAGGCAAGGCGAGATGTGAACTTGGGTCACTTAAGGTGACAGTCTTGCTTGGTACCTGCCTTCCCAAAGAACAGGGTGGATGTGTGGAAACCCGTGTTGTAGGATTCTGACCGTGGATCCCAGAAGACTGTCAGACCTCTAAACACGAGTTTCCTTTTTCACAGCTCTGCGGGTATTTTCTCTCTTCAAGGCTGCATAATAATTCTCTTTTCTTCATTCCTCTTGTAACTTTCCTTAAAGTTAAAGAAGATATAAGCCCTCCCCAAAGTAAGTACCTCTCTGATTTCCAGGCTGCAGTCTGTCCATTCTGCCTCTTGCCACCCAACCCCTAGATCAGTGGTTCTCAAGTTGGGGTCTGTGGCTCCATGGGGGTCCTCAAGTTCAGATTATTTTCATAATAATACTAAGCTGTCTTGTGGCATTTTTGATTGTGTTAACATTTGCACCAATGGTACAAAGTCAGTACTTTTATTTTAAAATAAATACTAAAGATATGTTTTAATTTCTAATGTGGTAAATATAGGTATAACTCACATAAACAAAAGCCCTTTGGGGTCCTCAGTAGTTTTTAAGGGTATAAGTCCTTATTCCCCGTAGCTCCTAATATTTAATTAATACATGGATATTTTATTGAGAGAATTCAAAGCTTGTCTTATGTATTTTATTACCTTCATAGATACTATTGTGTGACCTTTTGCTTTTTTATGCATTTTACAACTTATTTCAAAGAAACATAAAACATGTTTCTTGCTATTTTTAAACTCAGATCAGTTCGCTGTTTGTTACAGTACTTCCAGCAGTCAGAACAGTGTTGGTTCTACATTTTGTGTTTATATTTCAGTCAATAATAAAAAGTCAAAGATGGTAGTTCCCTATACTATAACCTCAGAGAAGATTGCTATTTGATGTGTCAAAACGATGCAGAGGCCTCATAATGGTAAATTATAATAGAAATATTAGTGATCAGAATTTCAGACTACTGTAGAGCAGTTAAACAAGTTTTTAATGGTGTGGTGTTATTTGGAAGCTTTGCAATTAGTCAAAAAGTGGAACAGGAACAGGGCTTCTGTTCCTCAGTCTAGGCCAGAGAGCTTTTTTTTAATGATCACTGCTTAGGCTTTGAAGAAGTTAACTCTACCTTTCTTTAGCTTCCTGTTTCTGTCTTTGAGAGATATCACACCAAATAGTCATTTAGAGTGGAAGTTGGCAAGCTACAGCCAGTGGGCTAAATTTAGTATGCTTCCTGTTTTCTGCAAATAAAGTTTTATTGACACACAATCATGCCTATTTGTGTCCATATTGTCTGTGGGTGCCTTTGTGCTATGAGAGCAGAGTTGAATAGTTGTGACAAAGACTGAGTGGCCTTCAAAACCAGAAATATTTATTATCTGGTTCTTAAAAGAAAAAAAGTTGTTCATTCCTGCTCTAGAGTTTACTAACTTAAGGACGGTATTTCTTCCTCTAGGATACCCACAGATGAAATTCATAAGTAGTACAAATAGCCATGTTCCTACTTGGGATAAACAGTAGTCTTGCCTTATTAAGTTAATAAATCTTTTATCGTTGCTGGGCAAAAAGCTGAGTTTTGGGGAAAGGTTATAATCTTTTAAATTAGTTGATGAAAATAATTATTTGAGAAGTTGATTTTAAGTGATAACTCTTGATTTAAAATGTGTTAAGTCTGCAGTTGCTGGTTTTTGTTCTAGTGTTTCTAGTCCTCTTTTGTGTAAATTTAAGACTCTGGTTGTCATCTTCTGCCTAAATTTCCTTTAACATTTATTATAGTATAGGTTTACAGGTGGCAAATTCCTTTAGCTTTGGTATATCTGAAAAGGTCTTTATTTCACCTTCATTTTAAAAATAAGTTTTTATTTATTTTATTTTTGGCTGCACTGGGTCTTCATTGCTGCCCTTGGGCTTTCCGTAGTTGCAGCAAGCTGAGGGCTACTCTCTAGTTGCAGTGCATGGGCTTCTCAGTGCAGTGGCTTCGTTTGTTGTGGAGCATGGGGTCTCGGGTGCATGGGCTTCAGTAATTGTGGTGCAAGAGCTTAAGTGCCTCATGGCATGTGGGATCCTTCAGGACCAGACATCAAACCTGTGTCCCTTGCGTTGACAGGAATATTCTTAACCACTGAACCACCAAGGAAACCCTCACCTTCATTTTTGACATTTTTTGAAAGATATTTTTGCTATAGAATTCTAGATTGACAGGTTTTTGTTTTCCTTTCAGTAAAGATGTTCCTCTGTCTTCTAGCTTCCTTCCTGCCAAACTTCCCCAACCTCACTGTGAGAAATCTTTGTTCTCTGAGTTTCTCATTAAGTAACTTGTTTATTTCTCTGGTTGGTTTTAAGCTTTTTCTCTTTATTACTGGTTTTAAGCAGTTTGCTTGTGATATGATTTATTCCTTTCATGTTTACTTCTTTTATTCCATTCCTTTCATTTATTCGTTTCATGAAAGCTTAATTCCTTTCATGTTTCCTGTGCTTAGGGATCATTTAGGGTTTTTCATCCATGGATTTATTTCTTTATTGACTTTGGTAAGTTTGTGGCCATTATTTCTTCAGATATTTTTTTTGGCCTCACCTCTGTACTCTTTCAGGGATTCTGAGTACATGTATATCAGAGTTATCTCACAGCTCATTGATGCTGCATTAATTTTTCTTTTAAGTCTTTCTTTTTTCGTTTATGTGTTTTATTTTGGATAGTCTCTCTTGCCTTGTCTACAAAGTTCACTAATCTTTTTTTCTGCAGCATCTAATCTAGTCTTTTGTTGTTATTTGGTTGCTAAGTCATGTCTGACTGTTTTGCAACCCCATGGACTATAACCTGCCAGGCTTCTCTGTCCATGGGATTTCCCAGGCAAGAATACTGGAGTGAGTTGCCATTTCCTTCTCTGAGGGATTTTCCCAACCCAGGGTTTGAACCTGCATCTCCTGCATTGGCAGGTTGATTCTTTACCACTGAGCATGTGGGAATCTTAGTTTATGGCAAAATAGAGATACTATAAAGTATATCACAACTAAATTAGGTGATGAATATTCTGACTTACTTATAGACCTTTTTGTTTTAATTGAAATGTAGTTGATTTACAATGTGGTGTTAGTTTCTGGTGTACAGCAAAGTGATTCATACTCTTTTCCTTTGTGTTTTATTACAAGGTATTATAGTTCCCTGTGCTATACAATAAGACCTTGTTTATTTTATATATAGTGGTTTGTACCTACTAATCCAAAACTCCTAATTTTTCTCCTGCTTCCCCTTTGGTAACTATAAATTTGTTTTCTATGCCTGTGAGTTTGTTTCTATTCTGTAAAGAAGTTCATTTGTGCCATATTTTAGATTCCATGTATAAGTAATATTATATGATATTTGTCATTTTCTGCCTTTACTTAGTAAGATAATCTCTAGGTTCATCTATGGTGCTGCAAATGGCATTATTTCATTCTTTTTTATGGCTGAGTAATATCCCATTGTATGTATGTACTACATCTTCTTTATTCATTCCTTTGTTGATGGACATTTAGGTTGCTTCCATGTCTTGGTTTTTTTAAATAGTGCTGGTATGAATATTGGTATGCATGTATCTTTTTGAGTTAGAGTTTTCTCCAGATATATGCCCAGGAATAGGATTGCTGGATCATATGGTAATTCTATTTTTAATTTTTAAAGGAACTTCCATACTGTTTTCTACAGTGGCTGCACAAGTTTACATTCCCACCAGCAGTTTAGGAGGGTTCCCTTTTCTCCATATCCTCTCTAGCACTTATTATTTCTAGACTTTTGAGTGATGGCCTAGATTTTCTGATAGAGGCTAATATTTCTTTTAAAGAGGAGGGCCACTTTTTCCTCTGCCTCAAACTGGATTCTTCTTTGGGCTTTCATAGCTAAGCAAATGGTGCCATAATTTACCTTGTCTCCCAAATCAAAAGTCTGTTAGGGTACCCTTGGCCTCCATGTCCATCAGCAGGTCTTATTACCTCTGCTTCCAAAAAAGATCTCACCTTCATCCATTTCTCTCCATCCTTTGCCACTATCCTGCCCTAAGCCACCATCCTCTCTTCCTTAAATGACAGCAATAACCTCCTCAGTGGTTGTTCCACTTCCTTCTATGTTTGTCCTATTTTGATGTTTTTCCTACAGTATCCACAAAACGATAGGCCGTGTGTTATCCCACATCTTAAAAACCTCTGTTGACCTTTAGTTAATTGCATTTTGAATGAAATCCAAACTCTTTTCCAGGCCTTCAAGGTTCTGGGCCTGCCTCTGTACCATCAACTTGGGCCACATTTTCCCTCTTTTGCTGTGACTTAGACAAGTGATTTTCAAAAGTCATTTGGCCACAACCTACAGAATACATTTTACCTTACAGTCTACTACAAGAGGACATGTATACTGTATTTCATTAATTTTTAAGGTAGCTAATGAGGATGTATCTTATAGCCTATATATATAGTCATAAGGACATAAACATGTCATAGTTTCATTGGCAATACTTCTGTTTCTTAATGTTACATAAAGCTGTGGTAAATTTTACAATAGATAGCAACTTACACTTGATGAATTATGTTCATAATAATAAAACAAGTTTCCAATAACAGTACTTACCCTTACTGTCCAAGGTGCATGCTGATGTTTTCTAATCTATTCTGTTTATTCCATTTCATTGGATAAAACCAAAAAACTCCATCTTGACATCCTTGCTCTCATGTCACAACTTGAAGTATAAAAAACTGTCCTAGCCACTCAGTCCTTTTTTATTTCCCATATGCACCCAACCCTTTCATGCTTTAGGGTTTTTGCAGATGCTCTTCCCTCTGCTCTTTTATGTTCTTTGCATGGCTGGCCTCTCATTGTCCTGCAGATTTCAGTTTAGATGTCACCTCTTCAGAGAAGCCCTCCTTGACTACTCCATTTAAGTCCCCCCCCCCCTTATTTTTTTTTCCCCTTAGGACCCATTTATTTCCTTCATAGCACTTCCCACTGTATGTAACCATGTGCTTATTTATTTTCTGTCTGCCCACACCAGAATGAAGGTTAGGTCATATGAGCTGTATCTTGCTATGGTGTCTGCCATGTTATATGTACTCGAAAAATCCTTGTCAGATCAAAGAATCCTACTGGTTTAGAGTACCTCAACCTTGGTGAAAGCCTGTTTATTTACTTCAAGATCTATATAGGATTTCTGAATATCCACAGCTTTGGATTTAATTTTTTTTAAAGTCCCTACTTTGTCCTGGCTGTTGTCCTGTATTTATTTATGTGTGTGTGTTCTTCCTTGGGAGAAGGCTTGGGGCAGGGGGCAGGCAGCCAATTAGAGGGAAGAGAGAAAGGTTAAGAATGGGGAGTAAGACAAATAAATGAGAATAAAACTTCCTCCTATGTTCTTTTCCGTTCTTCTGCTAAATGCTAAATGCTAGTGCGTAGTTTTAATCTGAGTGTTCTATGTGTTTGTACAGGGTATGAGTGAAGTGAAGTGAAAGTCGCTCAGTTGTGTCTGACCCTTTGTAACCCCATGGACTATACAGTCCATGGACTTCTCTAAGCCAGAATACTGGAGTGGGTAGCCTTTCCCCTCTCCAGGAGATCTTCCCAACCCAGGGATCAAACCCAGCTCTTTACCAGCTGAGACACACGGGAAGCCCATGTGTGGTCTAAATAGTTAATTGTTATCAGTAGGCATTGTGTATTTCCGTAGCTTCTCATGTTGGGCTTGATTTGACTAATTCTTTGGGAAAAAAGTTAGTGGGGCAGCTGCAACAGAGTTCTTGGCTTGTGATTTTCTTTATTTGACCCATAGCATGTAGAATTTGTATTCCACCCTATGAAAAATTTATAATCAACTTCTTACCTTTTAGGCACATAGAGATGAAATCCAGCGCAAATTTGATGCCCTTCGTAACAGCTGTACTGTGAGTATTAACCAAAGATGATGAAAATAACATGGAACTAAAACTGAGAAGGAAAGGGGGAACGTCTCTTTCTAGTATCGGTGGCTGATTTTTGATATAAACTTTCAGCTTGAAGCAGTTGATGTGGTCAAACTGATGTGGAAGTTTCTAAGCCTCAGAAAACCTTAGTGTCTTGGGTTCCTGCCAATTTTAAAAGTTTAAAACCATCCTTCATGTTTGGAGAAGGCTTGTTGGAATGGTCAAAATAATTCTCCCTGCAGAACCACTAATAAGGTCTCAGTAGCTGCAACAAAAGTCCCAAGGGAGTTCCCCCTCCTTCTCCAATCTAGAAGTTTCTATCTGAGGTGGGCCTGAGATGGTAGGGCTTCTCAGCCTGCTGGAGATGTGTCGGGCTTCTCCAGCCTGCTGCCTCTTCAGAGAGGGAAGACCAAGAAGTTCTTCTTCTGGAGAATCTAGAAGTGTTAGCTTTCTAACAGGCAAACTCTGGCTTCCTAACATGCAAATGCAGAATTTAGGACTCTTTGGGAGATGTTCTTTATATTGAGAGAAGTCAATTCCAGGAGAAGATAAGCATCATTCATAGGTTATGTAATAGGGTAAAATATCTATTTTTGATCAGAGTGAAGGACTAAAATAGGCCCCCTTCAGAAGGTAGGGATGGTGTCCTTTGTTCATGGATCTGCCTCCTTTCTCTGGTCCTTTCATCGCTTTGTTCCATCCTTAGTTCACAGTGAGCTGATCTCTATTTGTATTAGTTGCATCTGTGAATTTCCAGAAACACCCTTCTACATCCTATATACATATTTCATTTTCTGGTAATAAACTCCTTTTCTCTTTACCTACTATAAATGAGACATTAAGTCTTGATGGTATATGCCCCCTGCATCCCGCCTCCCTTCATTTAGCTATGGAATGCACACAGTAAAGTGTATGAAGTGAAACTAATCTTAAGTGTACAGCTCAGTTGATTTGTATGTGAGTAGACAACTTGTGTAACCACAACATAGACCAAGATACAGAATGTTTCAGCTCCTGGAAGGCTCCTGTTGTCCTCTTCCCATCAGCGTGCTTTGCCCGAAGGGTAACTAGTAGTATGATCTTTTATACTACACATTAGTTTTACCTGTTCTTGACTTTCATAAGAATGGGACCATCAGAGGATATGGTCTTCGGGTTTAGCCTTTTTGTTACTTAAATTGTCTGTGAGGTTCATCCATGTTGCACTGTCAAGATTTTGTTCTTTTTTATTATGGTGTCATGTTTCTAGTGTATGTTTAGATCTGAAGTTCGTTTATCTGTTCTCCTGTTGATGGGTGTTGGAGTTGTTTCTGGTAGGAACAGAGCTATTAGGAAGCGCTCTTGTACAGGTCCTTTGGTGCTTACAAGCGTTTGTTTCTGATGAGCATATATATATACCCAGGAGTGGAAGAGCTAGGTCTTGGGACATGCCTCCGCTTAACTCTGGTAGGTGCCTGACAGGTATTTAGGTCTGTATTCCCTGATGCCAGTGGCCAGATGTGGGCTGAGCCTGCCTTAGGGATATCTGTTGATTTCCTCCATTCTCACCTCCCTTCCTTGAGAAATTGATACATTCTGTTCCTGTACTCTTTTGCTTTACTTTTTAAGTTTCTTAATTGTCTTGGTTTCTTCTTTTACATGAGAGTTATCTGCTTATATACATACATGCTCATAAATGATCACTGAATAAGATATAGATGGTTTTAGCACTGTGATTGATTTTTTTTTTTTTTTTGCATTACTGTTTTTCCTAAAATAATCTTGGATGCATTTAAAATGTGTACATCAGTAATCTGTTCCATTCATCTGGAGTTTTCTTCTTTTTTAGTCTTTTCTAAAAAATCATTTATTTATTTACTTTAAAACAGCTTTATTGAGGGATAATTGGTGTACAGTAACCTAATGAGATTTCAGATGTGTGTATATCTTTAAAATGAGCAAAACAATCAAAATAACAACTATAGTCATCACCCTCAAGAGTTTCCTGTGCACTTTTGTTATCCACCCTTCCCCACCCCATTTTTAAAATCAAAATCTAGTTTTAATGGGATATGCTAATATATAGAATAAAATTGGTTACTTTCTTAACTTATGTAACTTTTATACTCTCTTTATACCTCAGATTTGCTTTTTGTGGAACAATGACTTCTAATCCCTCGTTTACTTACCCTTGGCTTTCTGAAGCCTTTGGGGATCTACCCCAGTGGGAGGGGGATCCCAAGAGAGTGATTTCCACCCACCTTTCAGCTAGGCCAGCTGGGTGGCTTGGGGGTCCAAACTATGTGCTCTGGAGTCAGATAGACCAGTTGAAATTCTAAACTGGCCTCTCAATAACCTGTGTGATGTTATACACTGGAGCCTCCATTTCTTTGTCCATAAAATGGGGGTGACATTATATGGCCTCAATTCCAGTGCACCATTGATTGTAGGATGCACAGTTCATTTAACTACTGCTCTTTGGGAACTGGGTGAGGGAAGAGAGACAGCTCTTTAGTTCTTATTCGGATTTCCAGAACAGTAAAACCTAGGAAACACTGAGTCACAGAATCAGAAACTTGATAATAATACCTGCCTCATGGAGGTTCCTGCAAAAGTTAGATAATGCATCAGCATTTGTACAGGGCCTGGTCCATAGAATGTGCTAATCAGTGATAACTATTATTATTTGCTCATACTGGGTTTAGAACAGAATCTTGTTTAGAAAACAGCTCTGCTCCTTAAAAAAAAAAGGTTGAAAACCACCACTTTAGAACAATACTTGGCAGCACTAGTGGATCTCAGTTATCCTTCCACAAGTTCAAAGGCTGCTCTGCAGACACTTGAGAAGAGCACACAGATTCTCCTTTCTTGGCGGCGCTGTCCAAGACCATCTCTGCTGGGAAATGTCATCTTCATTATCAGTGGAAACTCCTATAATAGCTCGATCGATAGGAGCTCCCATTTAGCAGCTTTTAAAAAGCTCATGAGCAGTAAGATTTTTCAGGCTCAGGCCATTTCTATATTTTGAAGAGATTTAAAAAAAGAATTTGATTCAATCTGGCACCTAAAATCCTACCTAAGTCTGTTTTGGAGAGGAGTTGGTGGGCAAACATATGACATGGTTTTAATTATGAATCAATCTGTCAGCTATAAGATTAAAAATAAATAATATGCAAATAGCCACCCTCAAGAAGGAATGAGGCATTAAAATAGGACGTCAGCCCTGTGTCTTTTCAGCCTGATGTTCATTGTCTGGCTGGTGTCCTCACCCCTGGTGTGTTCTTAGACGTTTACCAGGTAACATTCTCTCTGCTGGTTGCCCAGCAGAGGTGTTAAAGGTAACCTATATATTGCAGAACCACGAGGTTTGCTTAAAAAGCAACAGATAACCCCAAATAGAGACCTTAAAAATTTTGGGGGGGGGGTATTGAGAGTAGATACATTTTTTGTATTCCTGTTTTCTGTTGGGAGTTTTACCCAGATCTCTTATCTGTGCAAACAGCATATCAGAAAGCTCTGCTGACCCCTACATTATGTAGCTATCTCCCTCATCTTTTTTTACCACTGAGATGGAATCAGCTGTGTAGTTTATCTTTCCTGCCTTGTATCCTTGGGGTTGAACGGTTTACAGTCTACTGATACAGGACACAGATCATTTACCCTTGGTGTAGAGAGAATATACCCGCAAAGTAGACCTAAGAATTCTCCTTGCCTATATAACCTGGTTCAGAATTGCAGATTGCCTATTATCCTTTTTTTATTTTTTTCCCCAAATCATAGAGATCATTAATTTACTGCCTGTGTCTCAGATCAGCTCAATATCTCTGTGGAAGTATGTCTAACCCTTAATACCACCAGCAGCTAAATGGGCAACTCCAGCAGCTAAGTGTATTATGGCCGAGGCAGAAAGAATACATACAACTCTGGAGCAGTTAACGCACTCTAACGAGTTCTTGAATGCTTCCTGCAAACACATGATCCTCCTTTTGTCAAATAGGCAGTACAGATAATGACAAAATACAAAGCCAGCCACCACAAACTGTAACTAGAAATCAGAAACAGGAGACCCTTTGAAAATGGGATGATGACAAGGAAATAGAAGGCCCCTTCCTACTCAGTGGGTCCATTTCACTTGAAGTGAGAGTAATAATCTTGGCACCTCCCTGACTTTTTATGAGTGTTTTTTTCTTTAGCACTTTATAATCTAATTTGGGGAGGAGAAGAGGTGGCAGAAATGGGTATATAATAAATGGCTTTTTTTAATAAACAAATCAAAGAAAGCAAATAGGTGCCTAAAGGCTTAAATATGTCTTTGAATGGCAAATTATTTTGGCAGCATATGTATTCTTATATGGGTAGATTTTCTGTAGTCTCTTTGCTCCCTCTGGCTCACCGTTGATGCCTCACTAACACCTTGGTCACTCATTTTTGTCTCTTGTATTTCACATGATACGTTAAGGGAGAATATCATATAATAAAAATCCAAAATGTTAAAACCAGAGCAGCAGAGAAGGTTGTCTATATAGTATTTACCTCCACATCATAGGTGGAGAAACCAACACGACCAACTCAAGATGGCTTATCTGGGACTTCTGGGCAGTTTGCCTCATCAGTCTTGTTTTCCCTTTGGGGCAGAGGTAAAAGGAAGCACAGTGAAGACATTTGGAGTCTAGGAGAAAAACCATCTTAAGGAATGGATTTACTGCGTATAGGAAGGAGACCTGTTGAACTGTTAGGCACCATTTACTCATTGTTTCTGCTTTAGGGAGATTTAACCATATTACTCAAAGGGTGGTACAAGCATTCTTGTGAAGCACAAATGCCTGCTTGGACTAACAGACTTGCAGTTTTTACCTGTTTTTTTCTTATCCTGATAAAGAAGGAGGTTTAGCCAAGAATTGGACCGGATAACCTTTATTCCCCTTCTTGTAGCTGATAGCGTTACTCAAACCGGTACAGTAGGAATTAACAAGGCTTTTGATATTAAAGTACAAATTAGTAGACCGCTTACTGCATTAAAAGCTCATCAGCTCAGTGAACAAAATGAAAAGCTGTGTTTTCTGAACCACACTGAACAATTCTACCTAATTGACATTCTTTAATTCTATGTGCCTGGGAAGATTTTTTTTTTTTAAATTGATAATCAAAAGGGGTTAAGACAGGGAGTTAGTCATGAAAACAGTGGCAACATTTCAGAAACTAAATCTGCTTTAGGTTTGAAAATGGGAAACAATTAACCGTAGGCCCAGAAGCATTTCCTTTTAATTTACTCCTTTCTGTTATATAAAATTTAATTTAGTGCCTGTGTGCCTCATTCCAACTATTATTAGAAAATTGCCCTTAAATTTCGAAAGTATTATATGTAAAAGCTCTTTGCAAGCGCTGGTACTAAACTTCAGCAAAGAGAATAGGACAGCTAAATGTGCTGAAATTGAAATCATTCCACCATTGAGCAGGGAAATAATTTAGCAAAATCAGGTTAGATCTCGTTCAGTAAAATGACAATTTCATATGCGTACTTTCCCATTTTCTGATAGCCAGCTGTATAAGAAGAACCATTTAAAGTTATGCCATCCATACGGTATTATATTTTCGGGGTTATTCTGAACGTCCCTTAAGTTTTCCTTTTTTTCTTTTGTTGCATGAAATTAAATTTATTACCTGAGATATTATTAAAATAACTCTAAGTGTCCTTCACTCAGTCTTCCTTGATAAGAACTGTATTTTGCTTTCTAAGACCATCTCCCATGATAATGTTCTGTCGATGATGTCTTGGGCATTTCAGCTTAATTAGCTGATTGTGATACTACTCTCTACTATTCCTCCTTCCTCAGTTTGCATCCTCCACATTCTATTATGAACTTGATCTCATTTAAAGCTGCCCCTTCCATATGGCAGTCGCTTTTGATTGATTTGCTCTTGCCATGTTTTCCTGATGAATCCTGAGTCAGAAGGAATCCGAGACATTTCTTGTTCTCCCACAGCGTATGTGGGTTTGGGCGCTGAGGAGGCGGGCATGGCAGCTGGAGGCTGGCTCTCGGGGGCTGGACGGGCACACACTGGTCGTCATTACCACGTAGGTTCGAGTATATGTGGCTTTAGAAGCAATTTCTCATTTCCAACCAACTTGCTCTATGTGTAACCGGATTTTTTCCTCTTTTAGGTGATCACAGACTTGGAGGAGCAGCTAAACCAGCTGACAGAGGACAACGCCGAGCTCAACAACCAAAACTTCTACTTGTCTAAACAACTTGATGAGGCCTCTGGTGCCAACGATGAGATCGTGCAGCTGCGAAGTGAAGTGGACCACCTCCGCCGCGAGATCACCGAGAGGGAGATGCAGCTCACTAGCCAGAAGCAAGTAAGGACCAGGAGTAAACCTGGAGCCCCTTTAGATTCTGGGGCGAGTGCCAGTTACATCTCTCCCAGTGTTCTCAGACTGAGCCTGTCAGTAAAAGTAATCATGTCAGTGCTTTGGAGGTTTGCAAGTTTTAACAACAGCTTTTAGAAGTGTGTAGTTTGGGTTTTTTTGTTTCATTTTTTTTTTTTTGGCCACTCCACATGGTTTGCAGGATCTTAGTTCCCTGACCAGGGATCAAACCTGTACCCCTTGCAGTGGAATCGCAGTCTTAACCACTGGACCATCAGGGACGTTCCATGTATAGTTGTTCTTAATTTTGCTTTAAAACCATTAAAAATAGAATAGAATGCTTTTGTGAGCCACTTTATTTATTTTTTTAAAACCTTTTTTGGCCGAGCTGTGAGGCTTGTGGAATCTTTGTTCCTCACCCAGGGATTGAACCTGGACTTTCGGCAGGGAGAGCTGGGAGTCCTGGCCCTCCTCTGAGTTCTTTCTATAATATTTCGGTAGAAATGGCCCTTCATCTGTTCTTGTCTAATCCCCTTGGCCTGTAGGAGAAAAAGATAGTGACTTTCAGACTGTAGTTAGAAGCTCATGCTTTTCTGAAACTGATCTGACAAAAGTACTACCTGGGAAATCCTCATTTGCTGTGAGGCATAACTCAGTGGTGCTGATTTGCAGACGATGGAGGCGCTGAAGACCACGTGCACAATGCTGGAGGAGCAGGTCATGGACCTGGAGGCCCTGAACGACGAGCTGCTGGAGAAGGAGCGGCAGTGGGAGGCCTGGAGGAGCGTCCTTGGTGATGAGAAGTCCCAGTTTGAGTGTCGGGTTCGAGAGTTGCAGAGGATGCTGGACACCGAGAAGCAGAGCAGGTGGGACTTCATATGGGTAGAGAGCCAGCGGCAGGTGGCAGCGGCAGGGTCACCCTGAGACCTCCCAGCAAGTGCCCCAGCTTGACCAGGACTGAGCAGGTGCTGGGACGTAAGACTTAAGTGTTAAAGCTGGGGGACTCAGGCCAACCAGGATCGGTCAGTCATCCTCGAGGTAAATACGGACGGTGCCAGTGGCAGGAGATGATGGTCAGCCAGCCAGTAGTACAGGGCCCTCGGAATCAGCAGGGCAAAACGTCTCAGTGCTTCCTTTGTAGAAACTCTTTCCTTGGATTTTGTGTCATTGTGACTGTGTAGCGAGACTGGCACTCTGCTTTTTTTGTTTTTGAGTATTTATTTGGCTGCACCGGGTCTTGATTGTGGCATGTGGGATCTATTAATAGTTCCCTGACCAGGCATTGAACCTGGACCCCCTGCATTGGGAGCACAGAGTCTTAGCCCCTGGACCTCCAGGGAAATCACAAGACCGTCACTGTTTTGATCCTTGTCATGTGTGATGCAAATCAACCCTCTACACCAGCTTTGGCACTCTGGACAGTTGGGGCCGGACAGTCCTTCGTGATGGAGGCGTGTCCTGTACATGGTAAGGTGCTGAGCAGCTGCCCTGGACCTGCCCCACTAAGTCCCAGTAGCTGCTCCCTCTTCAAGTTGTGACCAGGAGAAACGTCTCCAGACATTGCCCGGTGTCCCCTGGGGGGTGGGCAGCTGCCCCCAGTTAAGAACAACTGCTCTACAAGAATAGTTTACAGGTTTTTTTTTTTCCTTTCCTGGTAGGCAGAAATAATCCTGAGTTCAGGTAGTATCTTTCTTCTACTTCCCCAGTTCTCCCAGCGTAGGATTCCCTCCTGCCAGGGTCGCAGGTGTGCAGGTTATGCACTGCATGCTGCTGGGAATAGACTTGAAGATCTACCATGACATTCTACCAGCTCATGGTGGGAAAGTGTTCGTTCTAACAAAACCAGTATATTATGACAGTTTACCAACAGGTAGAAGTGCATGGTCTTAAAGAACACACACCTTTCCTAGTTTGCAGAGAGGTACCCTGTGGGCCGGTATCTACCTTGTGCTTCATGTCTGCCCAAAAGAATCCTATTCATCCTGCATAGCCTCACTCATAGCACCTTTTGCTGAAACTTACTGTCCCGTAATACTCTGAACTCCCTGAGCAAGCTAACTATTCATGGAAGTATTTATCATTTATCTGGACTCTGTCAGACTTGTTTCAGTATTTACCACATTTGGTGGACCATAGTAGACTCACGGCTGTCTTAGATGTATAATTTGTGTTAAAGACTGGAAGCAAAGGGAACCCATAAGTTTCAAGAGAAACTGGTAGAAATATTCTCATGTTGGACATCTTCCTTTCAGGGTATTTGCTGTGAGAGGGCTGCTGGTTTAAGACTTCTTGTTACTGTTTACCCCTGAATTCTTGAGCTCCCATGTCCTAACCGTATGTTCTGACTGTTCTCACACACACCCCTCCCTCCCACTCGCAAGTCCAGCTCCTAGCTCAGCTGTTTCTAGAGTCCTTTGTAGACAGGTTCGGGGTCAGAGTCTGACCATAGCATCAAGAATGCACAACCATGTGTGAAAGTGTTCTCTGGTGGCGCTAGTGGTAAAGAACCCACTTGCCAATGCAGGTGACTTAAGAGACTTGGGTTCCATTCCTGGGTGGGGAAGATCCTATGGAGGAGGGCATGGCAACTCACTCCAATATTCTTGCCTGGAGAATCCCATGGACAGAGGAGCCTGGTGGGCTACAGTCCATAAGGTCTTAAAGAGTTGGACAGGACTGAAGCAACTTAGCACACACATAGGGAGATCTTTCGTATATTTCTTTCAGGAGCAATTGTGAGAGATCTTGGCTCTCCCCCCCACCCGCCATTTTTTCCCCTCCTTCCTCTATTTTGGTGTTATATGGGATCTGAGATGAGTAAAATATAATTCTTATTTTTTAAAAAATATTTATTTATATGTTTGGCTGTGCCTGTTGTTAGTGTTGACATGTGGGATCTAGTTCCCTAATCAGGGATTGACCTTGGCCCCCTGCATTGGGAGTGAGAAGTCTTAGCCACTGGACTACCAGGGAAGTCCCTAAAATATAATTCTTAATTCTTGTCTTCTAGAGGCCAAGAGTCTAGTGCAGGAGATAAACTATGCGTTGAACTATTTATCACCTAAAATAGAGAGTGGGTTGTGCCAGGCCAGTAGGACATTTATGCTTTGGGTCCAGAACAAGAGGTTACCTCTGAGAGGAAGACTGGGAAGGGCTTTGTGGCGGACATGGCCTTCAAGTTTAGCCTTGGAGTCTGAGTAAGACTTGGGTTTGTTGGGTCAAGAAGGAGAGCTGCTGGTGGAGGAGGCTGTGCAAGTCCAGGTGTGGAAGCAGCAAAACAGAAAGCCTGAGTTGGGGAGGGGAAGTGATGTTTTCTAGTGTGCTTCAAGTTTTTTTCTTCTGTCACCTTATTTACAGGCACACCCGGCAGATTCAAGGTTCAGTTTCCAGAACACTTCAGCTCTTGCTTTCAGGAGAGGCAGTGTTTGCTCGAATGGGGCCCCACATGGTCCCCTGCACTGTGCTCCTTCAGTGGGACCTCATTCCTTCCTGCTTCTGCAGGAGGATGTAACTAACAGTCTTGCCATTTTCAGCCCAGTTGCATTTGGAAAAATGCCTCGTCCCCTTCAGCCCTTCCAAGTGCATTTATATTCACAGGAACCTTACCTGCTAAGAGTATTTTTACCCAGGACCTAAAGTGGGTCACACCCTCACTCCACGTAATCTGGAACAAGGGATCCATCCGGCTGCGCTCTCTCCAGCCCGCAGCCTGTTTGGTTGCTCATCTGGCTCCAAGCTGGGCCAGCTTCCTTCCTGCAGGGTGGGGGTTTCTGAACGTGCCTGTGTCTCTGCGCAGGGCGAGGGCCGACCAGCGGATCACTGAGTCGCGCCAAGTGGTCGAGCTGGCAGTGAAGGAGCACAAGGCCGAGATCCTGGCCTTGCAGCAGGCTCTCAAGGAGCAGAAGCTAAAGGCTGAGAGCCTCTCCGACAAGGTCAGCCCCCCTCTCTCCTGCCTTCTAGATATACACGTACACTTCTTTCTTTCAGCAGGTATTCACACGCGCTTGATCCATGGTTGACGTGTTTCATAAACCAAGTCTCGCTGTTGTGCTGCCCCGAGGGACACCCTTGGTTTGCAGTAGTGGGGGTGGTGGGTACTTGGGGTATCAAGAGTTGGTCAGTGACTTCCTAACATCTACCCATCAGGGCCCCCGAGGTCCAGGTTTTGACCTGGGTGCACAGCACTCTTCTTTTTTGACATTTGATTTCTGAAAGCCTTCATGGATCTAATGTTGAGCATCCTTGGGAAGTGCGGAGTGGCTAGGACTCCTGCTCATTCCATTGCTGCAATGGCAGGAAGCTTCAGCGTCTCTGGGTTCTGAGTCCAAGGACACTGCAGGATCTGAGGACAGTGCAGGTCCTCATATTCCACTTTGGAAATATACACGTCCTGTCCATGACAGCACTGTATATTTACAAAGTGACATACTGGTGTTTGAAAATTTTTAATAGTCTTAAAAGAGATTTAGAATAGGTGCCTCTGTGTTATAGATAACAAGAGTGAAGGTCAGAGAAATTTCATATATATACACAGACTGTTTCATATATACACATACACACTGTTTTGTGTGCATGTGCACCCACACACAAACACACACACATAATCTGACTTCTGAATTTTGGGTAACTTAATTTCCTGATTATAGAAGTGATTATTTGGTGTCATTGTGGAAGATATAGAAACCATAGAAAAGTAAAGAAAAAATAGCTGGTAATCTGTCACCACTGTTAATGTTGGTGAATTTATATTCATTTATTTATATTGATAAATTTAGGTTCTTATTATATAAACAGGATTACATCATTTTTTTTAAAAGAAATCACGTAAATAGGGGCTTTTCCTGAATTAGTGAATATTTTTTGAATATCTAGAACTGATGTTCTAGAAACATCAGTTACACAGCGACACCTATTTTAATCATTCTGCTTGTGTTAGAAATTTGAACTTCTTCCAGTTTTTTTTTTGCTGTCATAAATAACATTGTGATGAATGTAAATCTTTATGGGCATCCACGGTTATTTTCTTACTGGAATTTCATAGAAATGACCAGATTCAAGCTAGAGCTTGCTACTCAGGAATATTCCTGAGTTCCTTGGTATTGGCTTACTAATTTTTTTAACCATGAGGAAAGTAAATATGTTACTTAACCATGAAAAAAGTAAATGTATTATTTAGAGGTAAATGAGCTTTTTGGTGTTTAGCTTGAAGGACATTTTTTTCTACCTGACTGTTCCTAAAGTATTCTATAGCAAAGTCCTGCCCATCCTTTAAGATTCCAGACTTTCTGACCCCATCTTCTCCCAGTGACAGGCCATTCAGGATGAATTTCTCTCCTCCATACCTCTTATCAAAATCATCACTTGACAGAGTAGTCACTATTTGTGTACATGTCTGCTTAAGGGCCACCCTCTGCCTTTATGACTTGATACAAGATCCTTGAGAGAGCTTGTCTGCCCTTTCATCCCAGAGTCCCTGCTATTATCCCATGCAAGTAAGCAAGCATTTGGAATATGATGATTTAATTCAGCCAAAGCATGTCAGATAGGTAAATTTTAGAGAAGTCATCTTTCTAGAACTTGTCACAGCTAGCTACACGTATGACCCATCCCTTAGAAATAACATCTTCTCCTAACAGAATAACCTACATAAGGCTTATCTCTGACATGGACGTTTGTGGTACTTTTAAAAACCTGTATTTATGTTCTGACCCTTAGAACCTGATTTTTTTTTGGCTGTGAAAGTTTGTGGATATTGGCAAAAGTCGTTAGCATATAACATTCCTAAATGTGGTTACACGGCCAATTTTTCCAAATGTCCAGCTCAATGACCTGGAGAAGAAGCACGCCATGCTTGAAATGAATGCCCGAAGTTTACAACAGAAGCTGGAGACGGAACGAGAGCTCAAACAAAGGCTTCTGGAAGAGGTGGGTGTAAGATGCCTGGTAAATAGAGCTGGGCATACTCTCAGAAGTGAACACTTGTCCTCAGCTGGGCAGGTCCAAATTAAGAAATTCAGATTTCAAGGTTGAAATTCTCAAGGAAGAGTAAGATGGTCACTGGGTACTTTCTGGAAGGTGTTTAACACATTAAAAGAACATGTCAAGAAGCCCTGGGGCCCTCTTTGTCATTGTGTCCTCCCAAATAGTGCTTAATGCACTTGATCTTAGCCAAAAGGCCGAGAAGCGATCCAAATAGTGCTTAATGGAGTGTCAAGCACATAGTGAGTATGTGCTAACCGGAAGTTTATTAAATATGAGGGCGAATAGATATTGAGTTAAATTGTTAATATCCAGAGTATATTAAGTTTGCAGCCTGATTAGCTTTGTGCACGGAACAGAGACCTGATCAGGTTATACTGAATACCCAATCTCATGAAAACTTTTGAACATCCAATTAATTCAATGCAAAAAAAATGACGCCCTGCTTTTGAGAGACAAAACAAAAAGCTCAAATTGATCTCCTAAGCCAGTCCAATCCTTATGTTATTTCCTGTACCTTTGAATAGAATTCTGAAAATCTCTGTTTAAATTGAGGACTACTCCCCCAACCAAAGCCTTGGTTTGGTTGAATCACTGATAATTTGTCTTCGTTCATTAGAATTGACCTGTCAGTACAAATGCACTTTTAGGTACTTCAGGAGAAGTTAGACTCAAGAGTGTTCTGTTTAAGCCACAAAGAGCCTGACAGTTGAATCAACCAGGTTATCTGTTCTGGTAAATTGAGGTTTTAGGGGCTCTGCTGGTAGAAGTATTGTAACTATGGTATTAAGTTTGAAAAATGTGCTGTACATTTTGCAGGGGAGCATAAAATGTTTTCTAGAATGACTTTTAAAAATATAGCTGGGAAAGTTCTGGAGATGGATCCATGATGATGCACAACCACATGGCTCTACTTAATGCCACCAAACTGTAGGATTAAAAATGATTTTTTAAAAAAAATGATTAAGGTGGAGACTTCCTGGCAGTCCAGTGGTTAAGATTCCATGCCCCCAATGCAGAGGGTGTGGGTTTGATCCCTGGTTAGGGAACTAAGATCCTACACACTGTATGGTGTGGCCAAAAATAACACAAATGATTAACATGGTGAATTTTATGTATATTTTACCACAACAAAGAAGTTTTTAAATAAAATCAATACTACGCACACATGGGTGGAAAGGTCACCAAAGGTGACTCTCAGAATATTATAACAGAAATTTTTAAATCTTTCTGATTGTCAAATAGAGAATGACAAGAGAGAGTGATAAAAGAATGGTCTTTTATCTGGAATGACTAGGCAGTGTCCCCACTTTGGACGCACATTGGAAATAGGAAGCACAGAAATAATCAGTGATCTTGCCTGTCCTCTTTTCCTTCCGAGGAAAGAGCGTTGGCCCCAACAACTCAGTGCTTTGGTCCAAGGTTACGTGGTGAGTCAGTGGCAAGACTAGGAATAGAAGGCTGGCATCCTGATTCAGTCCCCTGTTCTCACTTCTAAAACTACTGGGGAACATTTCCAGTTCCCCTGTCTGCACCTCACAGAGGGCTTTTTGAACACAGACATCTGGCTGCACTGGATTGGAGGCAGATCTCACTGAGAGCTGAGAGCACTAGGAAACGCAGCGATCTTTGCCACCAAGGCCGCGGCTGGCATCCTGGCCTGGGGTGGGCCCTGTGTCGGCAGGTGGTCAGGGCTCAGCTTGCCCGTCCTGTCCATCAGGTGCAGACGCTGGTGAGCGGGGCCGGGATCAGCCTCAGAGCCGGAGGGCGTTCCTGTGTGTCACTAGTGCACGTTCCCAGCACTTGCACCACTGTTTCTTTTACCCTTTCCCTGACAGACTTCACTGACAGAGCTTTCTCTCAAATCTTTTCTCTCGGGCCCAAAGTGGCCTCCGAAACTCTTCTGACACTGCTGTTTACAGGCATGACTAGTCCCGACTTGAAAGTACTGCCAGAGCTCCAAGTCCATTTGCTAAGCCTGTCAAATAATCCCCCTTCCGAGGTAGAGAATCCCTTCCCCAGCCTCCCTCACTGGTGGGCCTTGGGGCACCTGGGCCTCAAGACTTAAACTGACTCAAGATTGCCCAGCTCATTTTTCTGGCAACTCTTAACTCTTGGAAAGTCCTTTCTGGTTTTGAACTAAAGCCTGTAACTTCCAACCATTGGTTCTATTACAGCAAAACATTTGAAAACAGAGAGTAGAGTAGTCTCATATTTCCAACCAAAGTAGGAGGTTAATATTGATTAATGAACATATTACTTGATTAATAATAAAAATAACTTGTTTTTCTTTTTTCTTTTATTATTTTAAAAAATAACTCATGTTTAATTTAGCACATACCACATGCCAGATGTCTGAATACTTTCCGTGAATTAGCTCATACACTCCATGTGATACTTCTGTGAGAGAGCTACCTTTTATTTTATTATCCCTATGACAGTGGATTCGATATCTCTTCAGCTCTCCTGACTCCATATCACCTTTTCTTTTCTAACTGGAACATTTCAAGTCGCACCATGATTGGGATGTCCTCTTCTGGTAGGTTTATCTTCCGAACAGCTCCTAGAAGTCCTTGGGGTTCGAACAACACGGAGTAGTGGGCTGGCCCCACCACCATCCTGGGCTCTTGGGGTGGCTTATCACACCACTGACACCCATTGATCTGTTAGATCACCACCAGCCCTTCTACATGTTTTTGTTTTGTTTTTTAAAATACATCTTTATTTATTTGAAGTTTTTTTTTTTTTAATACCATCCTATTAAACCTTGTCTTGTTGGTTTGGTCCATCCTTCCAGTTACCAGGGTTGTTTCACACTCTAGTTCTGTCGTCTAGTTCCTCTGTGCTTCCTCCCAGTTTCCTGTCACCATCATAAAAGTGGTGGACAGATCTAATCATGTGGCTGGAGCCCTCCTTTCAGTCTAACACCAACTGGAATAGCCTCCATTTACTGCTCTCTGGGAAGCAGGTAAATGGTTCTGGAAAACATTTCATTGAGCACAAATGTCACTCTTACTTGTTTTCTATTGTAGTAAATAAGCAACCTATTTCTTGGAAAGCTATTGGACAGTTGATGTGTTGATTCTAGAGAAATATTTTGGACCTGGTTGTCACCAAACAGATTCTTGTCCCTAGTACTTGTTTCTCTGCTTCCTGCCTAGTAATTAGTGTTGTCCTAAAATAGCGGAAGGAAACTAAAGAGGGTAATTTGCAGAAGTAATCATTTGTGCTACAGGGGACAGATAGCTCCCTGGAAGCGATTATCTTAGCTGTTTTCTCTCTTTTCTTTCTCTGTATTTAAGGGTGTTCTGTGGTTTGATTCAGAAATTCTAGGTCATGCACCCAGGACAGGTGATTCTGAGTTAGTATCAGTACCTCTTGCTTTACAGAGGATGGATGGAGAGGGGCTGGTGGAGTAGGTTGTGGTAGGAAGGGCAGATGGAAAAGTGATAGTCCACACCTGGACTGGATTGAGAGAAGAAAGAAGGATGAACGAGGCAGTGCTGAAATTCATCAAGCATCTACTGTATGCTGGGCACTGGGCTTGGTGTGTGACCCAGAGAAGGGGGTTGTTACCCCCACTTGCAGATGAAGAGACTGAGGGTCTGAGAGGCAGTGAGCCACCCCTGGTCATAGGACTGATAAGAGTTAGGCAGGGGACTTCCCAGTTGATCCAGTGGCCAAGACTCCGTGTTCCCAATACTGGGCTCGAGTTTGATCCCTGGTCAGAGAACTGGATCCCACTTGCCAAAGCTAAGACCCAGCATAGCCAAATAAATACTTTTTTAAAAAGTCAGGATTTGAACCAGGGTCTGGAATGTTCTAAAGTCCAGGTTCTTTTCCATGACACCATGATGCCTCAGAATCAGCTGCCTCTCAAGAGGAAGGGCATTCAGCAATCCCACTCCTGGGCTTACACACCAAGGAAACCAGAAATGAAAGAGACACGTGCACCCCAATGTTCATCACAGCACTGTTTATAATAGCCAGGACATGGAAGCAACCTAGATGCCCATCAGCAGACGAATGGATAAGAAAGCTGTGGTACATATACACCATGGAATATTACTCAGCCATTAAAAAGAATACATTTGAATCAGTTCTAATGAGATGGATGAAACTGGAGCCCATTATACAAGTGAAGTAAGCCAGAAAGATAAACACCAATACAGTATACTAACGCATATATATGGAATTTAGAAAAATGGTAACGATAACCCTATATGCAGGACAGAAAAAGAGACACAGATGTATAGAACAGACTTGGACTCTATGGGAGAAGGCAGGGTGGGATGATCTGAGAGAACAGCATCAAAACATGTATATCATCAAGTGTGAAACAGATCGCCAGTCCAGGTTGGATGCATGAGACAAGTGCTCGGGGCTGGTGCACTGGAATGACCCAGAGGGATGGGATGGGGAGGGAGGTGGGAGGGGGGGTTCAGGATGGGGAACACATGTAAATCCATGGCTGATTCATGTCAATGTATGGCAAAAACCACTACAATATTGTAAAGTAATTAGCCTCCAACTAATAAAAATAAATGAAAAAAAAAAAAGAGGAAGGGCATTGAGGAGTAGAAATGGACATGCAAATGTCAGTGGAGGGAAGAGAAATATGGTGTGAGGTTTCTGTGATTTCCGAGGTCGTCTGTAGCTCTCGTCCTGCTGGGGCAGAGAGCACTGAGGTTTGCCCTCGCCTGTTGGGAAAGCCCCATGGTGATGGGGAGCAGCTGTTTACCGCTCTCTGTCCTTCCGTCTGCAAATGGTCTAGGCCCCTGGGGAAGGGAGTGTTTGGGCCACTGCTACTATAGTTAGACTGGACGCCAGGGGTTGGGTTAAACCAAGCAATATCCTGTCAGGATAGCTGTTCTCTTCTGCTTTTTAGAAACAGAAGCATTTTAGGTAGAGAGCCATAAAGCCAGTATCTTTATCGCCTGCCCTATTTTCTGGTTGACTTCCACTGTAGAAAAGAATTGGAGAGAGAGTTCTCGCACAAAACTATTTGCAATATTCTAAACAGAATTTTGTTCTCTATGGGTTTTACTGACACTCGTACTGACTCTGGGATCATCCCCCTTCCCCTTGTGGGAGCACCCTCTCCTTCCACTGTGGCTGTTGGTACGCTTGTTGGTCTCTCACTGATGCCGTGACCTTTGAGTTAAAGGTGCTATGACTCCCTTTTGTGTATGCCACACGGAGAATCACAAAGTGAGTTCTCTCAACAGTGGTTGAGATAACTGCTCATGCATCATTGTGGAATATAGGACCATTGGTCATCCTGGAATGAGCTGAAATTTTGGTGCCACATATGAAATGAGTCTGAGTGGGGACAGTGAGGGAGCGTGTTGCATTGTGTGTGGTCTGAAGCTTCTCCCTCCGGCCTCTCCCCCCACCAGCAAGCCAAGTTACAGCAGCAGATGGACCTGCAGAAGAATCATATTTTCCGTCTGACTCAAGGGCTGCAAGAAGCTCTGGATCGGGCTGATCTGCTGAAGACAGAAAGGAGTGACCTGGAATATCAGCTGGAAAATATTCAGGTGAGAACCAGCACTGGGGGCTTACTGAAAAACTGTCCACAGAGGCAGAGTGTGATGGCTCAAAGCCACCTGGCAAGATGAGCAGTCTCTTTGTGTTGTGTATTTTCACCAGTATTTTATTACGATAACTTTTCAAATGTTAAGAGAAGCTGGGAAATTTCTATCATGACCACCCTCTAGATTCTTCTACTCACCATTTGCTATTTTTGCTTTTTCACTTATCTTTGTACTTGAGTCTGTCTTTGTTGGGGGGGGCGGGTGGGGATGGTGGGCAGTAAGATCAGGACTAAGTAAATAACAATTGGCTCAGTGTGCCCATTATACAGAGTGAAGTAAGCCAGAAAGATAAATACCAATACAGTATACTAACGCATATATATGGAATTTAGAAAGATGGTAACAATAACCCTATATGCAAAACATAAAAAGAGACACAGAAGTACAGAACAGACTCTTAGACTCTGTGGGAGAAGGCGAGGGTGGGATGTTCTGAGAGAACAGCATTGAAACAAGTATACTATCAAGGGTGAAACAGATCACCAGCCCAGGTTGGATGCATGAGACAAGTGCTCAGGGCTGGTGCACTGGGAAGACCCAGAGGGATGGGATGGAGAGGGAGGCGGGAGGGGGGATCGGGATGGGGAACACATGTAAATCCATGGCTGATTCATGTCAATGTATGGCAAAAATCACTACAATATTGTAAAGTAATTAGCCTCCAACTAATAAAGACAAAAATGGAAAAAAAAAATAAAATATTTGATAAAAAAAGAAAAAAAATAAGAGAATGATATTAATAATATTTACAACAATAATAAAGGAAGATATTTTGTGTGAAAAAAAAACAATTGGCTCAATGTGGCTTTTGCTGAATATTTCATTTGTTAGTGTGGTAATGACCTTATTTCTTATTAAAGTATAAAATTTAAAAATATACTTCTTTCGGCATCTGAGGTGCTTTTTGTTTTCATAATTCTTAGGTTCTCTATTCTCATGAGAAGGTGAAAATGGAAGGCACTATTTCCCAACAAACCAAACTCATCGATTTTCTGCAAGCCAAAATGGACCAACCCGCCAAAAAGAAAAAGGTGGGTCAGAGGGTTTGTAAAGCAGGGAGTGGACGGTTTTGCTCAGTCATGATGACTCCGTGAAGGTCATTGGGGTAGATAATCCTAGGAACATCGGAGGAAACAAAATGCACAATTTCTTTGTTTTGGGTTGAAAAAAGAGGCTTTGAGATCATCAGAAAGGCTCTTTAAGAGAGGCTGTCACTCTGGAATCTGTGACACACTATCTGTGTTCATGGCCTTTAAAGCTGTGCTGCCTTCCTCTGTGAAGGAGTGAGATTTTTTTCCCCCAAGCAGCTGGGGAGGAGGAGGCAGCAGAGAGGAAGGCCAAGTGTTCAGGTTGGCATCCCAGATTCCAGAGGGGGTTCACTGCTCGTGTGTAAGGGACTCTATAGAGAGATTAGAGGTCACTTGTGTGCCATTCTGGGACTTCCCAGGTGGTGCTAGTGGTTAAGAACCCACCTGCCAATGCAGGTAGATGTCAGAGAAGCGGGTTTGATCCCTGGATTGGGAAGATCCCCTGGAGGAGGGCACAGCAACCCACTCCAGGATTCTTGCCTGGAGAATCCCATGGACAGAGGAGCCTGGCGGGCTACAGTCCACAGGGTCACACACAGTCGGACACGACTGGAGAGACTGAGCACGCACACACATGGGATCTAGACAGAGAGGGGCTCTTAGGTCACAGGGACCGGACTCCAGAGGTGTTCATAGATCATCTGTGTGGGGCCTGAGAAGGAACCTCAGGTCATGCACAAGGGACTCCAGAAAAACTAGACATCATCTACTCAGTCCCTCTGATTGGGTCAGTAGGAGACTGGGGCCCAGAGTACTGCTGTGACCTGCCTAAAGTGTTGGACTGGATAGCTGGCCCCTCCATGGGGTGCTGGCCCCATCCCTCCCTTTAAAATGGTAACAATTTAAAACAATGACCAGGAGACACGGATGGACAGGCTGATAGATACACATTTAATTTTTTGAAAATTTTTAATAAAGCCCAAAGCATGCTTCCCTGAACCACTGCAGCCTTCACGGTAATTTTGGCCAGGTGTTCTCAGTTCAAGAAGGTCTCTAAGGAGCTAGAAACTTCCCGAGGCACTCAGATGTCAGCATAGCATTGGTGATGGTACAGGAAGACCTCTGAAGACAGGCTACCGGGAGATGGGCTGAAGGCGAGGCTGATGTTCGCCTTCCGGAGAACAGAGCAGCAGGAGGAAAGAACAGCAGTGGTGGCTGTAGGACGAGGACGTCCCTGTGTGCTGTGTGACTGTGCTTGTATGTGCTGATGATGTTGAATCTTTTTTATTTTAGCAGTGGACTGTTATCTGATTATGTCATTTGATGTAGTCAGGGTGTTCCCATGTGTTTTTTGGTTGTTAATTTTGTTTTCAGTCTCATTATCCTATGTTTTACTTTTTTCCCCCATACACAATACATATTCCATTTGCATTTTTTTTCTTGGCATAAGCCCCTTGTGTTGACATCATTTTAGTATCTTTTTTTTTTTTTTAAAGCAACCACTCATCTCTGTGTCATATAACTAAGCATCATGAGACAAATTCAAGGCAAGATTTCTGAACCATCTCTCCTGATTCCATCCTCCACTTCCATTTTTTTTGAGGGTAAAGTCTCAGGAAATGGCTCTCCTTGGGATTGCTAAAGGAAGAGGTGGTGGCAATTCAAGCATCTTTAACCCTCTCGGTAAAAACTTCCGCAGCCCCATTTTTTTCCAGCCAGCTGGGAAGGGCTGTGGCTCAGTCCCCCCACCCCTTCACATGCCATTTTTACTAAACCCGCTTGCAGTGAGTATGCGCCCGGCTCTCATGGTCTGCTCGTCCCGAGGCAGAGTTCCTTTAGTTAGTTCCCAGTGCCAGTTTCCAGGAGTTAGGAGATATCTCTGTTTCCATTGCTAGGGTTTATTTAGTCGACGGAAAGAGGACCCTGCTTTGCCCACACAGGTTCCTCTGCAGTACAATGAGCTGAAGGTGGCTCTGGAGAAGGAGAAAGCTCGCTGCGCAGAGCTCGAGGAAGCCCTGCAGAAGACGCGCATCGAGCTCCGCTCCGCCCGGGAGGAAGGTACGGGCGCTCTGGACAGTGAGGGCGGTGCGCCAGGCCGAGGGCGCGTCTCGAGGAGATGAGCGGAGACTAGCTCAGCCTGGTGGTGACGGCACCCTCGGCGTGGCCCATATGGCACCCCGGGTGTCCTTGTGGTCTCAGGCCTTTGAGAGCCAGCCCCTGGGCAGTCCACTTGGTTGGGGCCTCTCGGGGACCCCACTAACCTAAAGGCGCTGGACTGGTCTCTCCCCAGCTGCCCACCGGAAAGCCGCGGACCACCCACACCCATCTACGCCGGCTACCGCCAGGCAGCAGATCGCCATGTCCGCCATTGTGCGGTCACCCGAGCACCAGCCCAGCGCCCTGAGCCTGCTCGCCCCACCGTCCAGCCGCAGGAAGGAGTCTTCCACCCCAGAGGGTATGTTCTCAAGGGGCCACTGGACCTGCAGTGACATTTTTTTTTTTTTAATGGACTGAGAAATGCAGACCTAGGGTGAAAATGACAAGTCATAATGTGGAGGACTAAAGAATAAGTAGTGAGCCTTCTCCCCACCCCAGTTCCCTTACCCAGAGTCAACCATTGTATTCTGCCAGCCATAGCTCATGAACTAATTGCATGTCCGTATTATTTAGGTGTCATGTAATCATATTTAAGGGATATGAGAAAATAATAATCCTCTTTGCTTTCATAAATATCAGCCCACAGTACTCTACACTGCAGAACATCTTTCTTCTTTAATTAAAACGTCATCTTAGCAGGTTTTATATTAGCCCATATGGATTGACCCCATCTTTTTAGAGGATTGTGTGGTATTCCATGGTGGGGGTTTATAATTCACCTGTTAATCCAGATCCCAGTTGACAAGCATTTAGGTTATTTCCAGTTCCTTGTTTCCATACACACCCTGCAGTGAACACTCTGCACAGCTATGGGTGCTATGACTTTTAGATAAGTTGTTGAGAAATGAATCACTGGGTTAAAGGTTGTGTGTATTCTGAAGGTTGGTTTTGCCAGTTTATACCAGTGGTGTGAGGAGTTTTCTTTGTGGTTTCAAATGTACTCTGTTTACCTAGAGATGGGATGGACTTTAAAAAAAGCCAAGGAAATTGGTTTGGAAAGTCATAGGGAGAGCAGAGTAGCTGTGGTTTAATATCAGGGTATCACCATCAACCCACTTCAGCTGCCAGTCTCGATGGAATTTTGTTGTCATTTCTTCTTTAGTAATGATGTTATCTTGTTTCCCATGTTTACATAACACCTTGAATCAAAGAGTTTCACTCTTAAAGTCATCAAAGTGGTGCTGGTAACACAGAGGAAAATCATTCTGGCCCCTGTGTTCTTGCATGAGGTTGCACAGAGCGGCTCCCTGAGTAGTCTGTAACACTCCAAACATCTCCTTTGTGTGCATGGCATGTTCAGAGTGCATTTATGTTATTTATTCCTCACGACTTTTCTGTTAAAGGAAGAAGACAATGTTGTTCGCAGAATTCAGTTTGAATTCAGAAATTTGGATCCTGAGCTCTTCTATTTAAAGTTGCCTTTACCTAGTTAGGTCAGTATTGAGAAGGGAGCCTTCTAAACAGAAAAAAATCAATCTTGTTAGTTTTAACTGACTGGAATTTAAATGCAAGAATCAGTTCTTTGAGACTTAAAACTTGGATTTTTTAAAAAGAATGTTATTCATGGAAGAACTGGGCATGAAGGGGGACTTCTTCAGTCAGTCTATGTATTTAATAGTCAGAAAGTCTGTATTTCAGAATAGTAATTTTTTTTTTAACCATAGTATAAACATACTTTAATTCTCATCAGTTACAGGCTTGCAAATTTCATGTTTTACATTAATAATTAATGCAAAACCATGGTTGGTACATCTGGAACTTAGTTCAGTTCATTTGCTGTGTTTGTTTACTCACACTTTGGTTATGAAAATATTATAACACATTATTGGTCTTGTATTGAACAGAAATTCTCTATGAAATAATCTGAAGCAAGAAGCTAAAATGAAGTCTTTAAAATTATTTAAATATGTTCAAGAATGGTGATTTTTAAGCTGGATTCTGGAAAGCTCTCCATGGAAAACATGGAAAACATTCTGGAAAACATACCTTTCACAACTAAAATATTTACAAACAGCTGATTTAGAAGCGTATGTTTCTTTATGCTCACAAACAGCTATGCCATCGTATTAACCATCTCCTACTGGGAATGCGTTTTTAAATAAAACCTAATTCCTAATAACCACATAATGGCGATCTTAATTTGATTCATATAAATCTAGACACATCTGTTAGTGTTAAAATAGTTTCACAGTCTGTCACTAAGATGCTCTATTTTTTTTTAACAGCTTTATTGAGATATAATTCACATACCATACAATCCATGTTTGAAATGTATAATTCAGTGATTTTTTTTAAAGTAAGTTCACAAGGTTGTGTAATAATCACACTTTAATTTTTAAAACATTTTTGGTCCCTCCACTCGACCACCAAAAAAAACCCCCCTAAACTCATTGGCAGTTACTTGCCATTTCCCCCTTCACGGAACCTCTGACAGCCACCAGTCTGCTTTCTGTCTCCATGGATTTGCTGTCCTGGACATTTCCCGTAAAGGAAGCACCTTGTATAACTTTCTGTGTCTGGCTTCTTGCATGCAACATAATGTTTTTCCAATTCATCCATCTTGTAGGATTTATCAGTTCTTCCCTTTTTTTATGGTAGAATAACATTCTGTGGTGTGATTATCACATCTTGTTTATGTATTAATCTGTTGATGGTCATTTGGGTTGTTTCCATTTATGGCTATCATAAATAAAACTGCCATGAACGTCTGTGCACAAATTTTGTGGCTACATGTGTTTTTAGTTCTCTTGGGTATAGACCTAGGAGTAGAATTGCTGGGTCATCTGGTAATTCTGGACTCCACAGTGGCTGTACCATTTGCTTTTCCACCAGCAGTGTATGAGGACCTTCATTTCTCCACATCTTATCATCAACACCCATTTCCCATATTTTTGAGTCTAGATAATCCAGTGACCATGAACTAACATCTCACTGTGGTGTTCATTTGCGTTTCCCTAATGAAGAATGATGTCAAGCATCTTTTCCTGTGCATCTTGGCCATTTATTTATCTTCTTCAGAGAGACATTTGTTCACATTCTTTGCCCACTTTTTAATTGGGTTGTCTTTTTATTATTGCATCATAAGAGTTCTTTCTACACCCTATCTATAGGCTCCTTGCCAGAGAGATGATTTGCAAATGTTTCTCCCATCCTGTGGGTGTCTTTTCACTTTCTTGATGGTATTATTTTGCAGCACTCTGATTTTTTAAAATAAAATTTCCCTCCAGAATTCAGCCGGCGTCTTAAGGAGCGCATGCACCACAACATCCCTCACCGGTTCAACGTGGGACTGAACATGCGAGCCACGAAGTGTGCCGTGTGTCTGGATACCGTGCACTTCGGACGCCAGGCATCCAAGTGTCTCGGTAAGAGTAGCCGCTGTGCATTTGTGGTGGGCCACCTGTGTATCTCCACTAAAGTTCTGTCCAGCAGTGTTTTTTTTTTTATTTAAACATTCCTCATCATATAGTCACTCAGTCATGTCTGACTCTTTGCAACCATGGACTGTATAGTCCATGGAATTCTCTAGGCCAGAATACTGGAGTGGGTAGCCTTGCCCTTCTCCAGGAGGATCTTCCCAACCCAGGTCTCCTGCATTGCAGGTGATTTCTTTACCACCTGAGCCACAAGGGAAGCCCAAGAATACTGGAGTGGGTAGCCTATCCCTTCTCCAGGGGATCTTCGCAACCCAGGAATCGAACCCAGGTCTCCTGCTTTGCAGGTGGATTCTTTACCAACTGAGCTATCAGGGAAGCCCATCATATAGTGCATTCATTTTCACATGTTTAGTCTTAGGGGGAGGACACTATTTTCCCCATGTTCAAGGAGGGAATTTATACGTGTTTTCAGCCCATGTCTTCAATCACCTGTGCAAAATGCCTTGGGCTTTGTAAACTTACAGGCTCCTTTCCCTCAGGGTGGTCTCTCCTTGCCTTTAAGCTGTGTCCTGGCTTCAAGAGGGATGTGCAGATGTGTCCAAAGGACATGCAGATGTGTCCTCTGCACACCTGTCTGTGGCAGCCTGGGAGGAGCCAGGAAGACTGGATTGAGAGAGCTTGGCTGTCTCCGTAGGGGCCTGGCTCCTGGGAAGGCTTAGGGAGGCCCTGGGTGGCAGGGCCAGGCCGGGTGTGGGCTGGGGCTTGGCTGGCGGAGTCAGGGAATGGCCCAGCGTCAGTCAGGCGTGTTTTCAGGTTGCTCACTGCTTTTCCCTAGAATGTCAGGTCATGTGCCATCCCAAGTGCTCCACGTGCTTGCCAGCTACCTGTGGCCTGCCAGCTGAATATGCCACACACTTCACCGAGGCCTTCTGCCGTGACAAGATGAACTCCCCAGGCCTTCAGTCCAAGGAACCCAGCAGCAGCTTGCACCTGGAAGGGTGGATGAAGGTGCCCAGGTATTGCTGCAGGAAGGTTTGGCCTGGCAGTGGGTGGGGAAGCTGATGAAGGGCAGCAGGATGTGCCGGTCTGGAAAAGGCCACTTTGGGGTAAAGGATTGTTTTGAGCTAAAGGCACTTAGAAAACGGCGGGTGCAAGAGGGACACTCTGACCTCCCCGATTTCTCCTGGAAAGTAGGATATAAAACTCCCATGTCAAAGCTGTTCTTCCTGCATCAGGAGGAAAGAAGCATTCTTATCTTCAGATCAGGGGCAAGGCCGGCAGGGAGAAACCTAAGCGCACAGACCGTGTTACTTTTCCACAGTTAACTGTTCTTCGTTTGACTTAGGATATAAGCACTTGGGCCCATCTGCTTTGGGGGCTTTATTTGCTTGTTGGAGACTCCCATGTACACACAAAATTAAACGTGTGTGCGAGTCTCTCCTGCTCATGTGTCTTACATCAGTTGAATTCAGGGCCAGCCCCACAAGCCAGAGGGTAGAAGGAAGCTTTCCCTCCCCACCCTGGCATGTCATTCCTGTTGTTTTCCAGGGAAGCATCTTTACTGGGATTTCCTCTCCTCCCCACTCTTGCCTCCCACCTGATTCTTCCAAGTTCAAACAGCTCTTTCCCACGTCTGTCTTCCCAGGAATAACAAGCGAGGACAGCAAGGCTGGGACAGGAAGTACATTGTCCTGGAGGGCTCCAAAGTCCTCATTTATGACAACGAAGCCAGAGAAGGTAAATTAATGAGTCGGGGAACCTCGTTGCACGTGGTTGGCCCAGGTCTCCCAGTCTTGGCGTGAAGGCTCTTGTTTTCCGGACTGCGTTGCAAGCCTTCTACGAATTTTCCATTTTTGAAAATTAAAACCCAAATGACTCCGCTAAAGGTTATTGGTACGATACTCACATCTATAGGTCTCCCCTCTGAAGACCCTGCAGGGTGCTGCCCTGAAGATTCCACCTGCTAATACACCTTCCAAGAACTTCCGCCTCAGCCAACTAACCCCTAAATCTGCATCGTCATCCGAAATTTGACTGTGCTCTTCATCTGACACACTTTACTTTTGTTTTTATCTTCCCTCTCTGCCTTCTCCGCACATCTTCTCCCTTCTCTGTTCTCGTGCGCCTCTCTTTCCACGCATACTCCGTCTCTCTCTCTTCCTCTCGTCTCCCCTTGTTCTTGTTCCTGTTCTTTTGTTTTTCTTTCTGCCCTTCCTCTTTGCACCAAGCTGGACAGAGGCCGGTGGAAGAATTTGAGCTGTGCCTTCCCGACGGGGACGTGTCTATTCATGGCGCCGTTGGTGCTTCTGAACTTGCAAACACAGCCAAAGCAGGTGAGGGGCGGCGGGCCCTTCCCCACCCCCTGAGGAGGTGGGCTGGGCTGCAGCCTTTGGCGCGGGTGGGAGGGGGCCTGTGCAGGATCAGCCCCCCAGCCCCCGCCTCCGCTTCTGCTAAGTAACTGGGACTTGGGTGGCTTGGCCCCCCCTCCTGGTGGGGGTGGGCGAGCTCCACCCTGCGCTCTCTGCCCAATCTCCTAGATGTCCCCTATGTCCTGAAGATGGAGTCTCACCCCCACACCACCTGCTGGCCCGGGAGGACCCTCTACTTGCTGGCTCCCAGCTTTCCCGACAAGCAGCGCTGGGTCACCGCCTTAGAGTCAGTTGTGGCAGGTGGGAGAGTGTCTAGGGAAAAGGCAGAAGCTGACGCTGTGAGTATGCACGCAGGCCAGAGCCTGTGTTTGTAGAAGGGGCTGGCTGGGTGGGGGTCCCCTCAGCCTCCCCCTCTGAAGGGTGATGGGATTGTGTGCCCCTAGAGATCCAGGCTTCCAGGCAGGCTCTGGCCTCACAGGTCCCCCCGCCTGAACCCTCTAGAATGAGGGAATCGGCACCGTTAGCTGGATCTTCAGGGCGTACTAGGTCTCAGTTCTGGCAGCACAGCTGCAAATTACTTACAAGGAAACACTCGCTCTCCTTTACCCGAATGCGTTTACGTGGTTCAAAGGTTTGTGTTACAAGTAGCACAAAGGGCTGCCGAAAGCCATGTCTCTTTCAGGAAGCTTTTTCATAACCTGCTCAATTGCTTTTACGTGATGTGCTCTTCTGAAGGCAGGTCTGAAATCCTACTTCTCCTGAAGATGTTAGAGACGTGGGTGGGCCTTGATTGGCATGACTCCTCCTGGAACATTCCAGGATACAAACAGTGCTCATCACGCACTTGCATTTCCACCACCAAAGCCCCAACAGCTCTTTTTAAACACTTGGCTCCTAATAAACACTTTAAGTGTTAGCAGTTGGAAGTCCTTAGCCACCAGCCTCCCTCTCATGAGAAAGCCCTGTGTTGATGACCCATCTCCCACGTTAGCCTTTAACTGAACGCCCCATCCATGTGTGTACAATAGGGCCGTGACTGTACCTCCTACGAGCCTCTGTCCGCGTGGGCTCAGGTAAAGAGACTCAGGAGCGGGTTGGTTCGCCGCTGACACTGGGCTTTGCACTTGTGCTGCCGCCTGGAGGGGCAGGAGCGTCTCCGTGGCTTATTAACCCTTTGCAGTGACACCCTTCAGCTTTGGCTTGTTTTGTGTGACAGAATCTATGTCTCCTGTGCTTGTTTAGTTCTGCATCTAAACCAAGTTATGGCCCTGACGCTAATTAACCACCACCCAGAGACACCAATAACATTCAGGTCCTGCCTTTTGAGCTCAGATCAAAGTAGGGGGCAAGTCAGGAGCAGGTGTGTGCTTCTGAGTGTCTGCAGGAGTAACTTGCCCTTCTCCCTGGCATCACACTTTCTTCTGTTCTTGCTTTCTCTCTCTGGACAGTCCAGTCACGAACAGTTCAGCCTCACTGTGGCCTCCTTTTTTCTCTCTCTTCTCTTTCACATGTGAAAAGAAATTGCTCGGAAACTCCCTGCTGAAACTGGAAGGTGATGACCGACTGGACATGAACTGCACGCTGCCCTTCAGCGACCAGGTGACGATGCTTTTTTTGGGCAACATCTGCCAGGATCTGGCCATAGCCACGCATGCATTATAGGACCATGTCAAGGGGTGGTAATGGGGACATGGCCCCACTCACACTCTTCCTGGGGACTTGCACCCTGGCAGGTGGTGCTGGTGGGCACCGAGGAAGGGTTGTATGCGCTGAATGTCTTGAAGAACTCCCTCACCCACGTCCCAGGAATTGGAGCAGTCTTCCAGATTTACATCATCAAGGACCTGGAGAAGCTCCTCATGATCGCAGGTGGGAGGCCAAGGACACGGCACTTTGCCTTCACTTGTAAGGGAAACGATTTAAAACTCACATGTCATGTTTGTCAAACTCGGGGGCAGGCTGGAGCAGGAGTGGCTCTTCCCTCTGGGTCTCTGAAGGGGCCCGAGCCCCTGTGCTCTGAGAGCCTGCTCACCCTGCTGTGTGCATTGCCCATTCTCCCTGGTTTCAGACCCTTCCTTTGCATACAGCACTCACGAACAGTTCGACACATATTTATTTCTCTCTCTTGCTACACACACACACACACACACGAACAGTTCGACACATATTTATTTCTCTCTCTTGCTACACACACACACACACACACTTTCTCACTTATTCTGAACCGCATGACAGTCAGTTGCAGCTCTGACTCCAGATTCTTCAGCCAGTCAGCTAAGAACAAGGGCATTCTCTTACATACCCAGGGCAGAAAGGCTTTATTCTCCTCTCTTTATTGGTAGTATTTTTTTTTTTTTTAAAGGAAGACAATAATGCATTGGCTCCATGTGCAAAACATTCACAGTCAAATCTTAGCTCAGGCTTGGCCGGCTGGGTCCGTGTGGTCAGGAGCTAGCTTTCCTTGACCCCTCGGTGCTTTTCCTCGGTTGGCTTGTTTCCTCGCTTGCTTTCCTTTCTTTCTCCCCACTTCCATCTTGACATTTTCCCTGGGCACAGTTTTAGGTTCATAGCAGAAGGTGGAGAGAATCCCTGTATACTTCTGCTGTCACACAACGCGCGGCTGCCTCCTTCATCGGCACCCGAGTGGGACGTGCAGTGACCCTGCACTGACATGTCACTGCACCCCAAGTCCACAGTTCACGTTTGGGTTCACTCCTATACATTCAGTATATCTGCCACTATAACATCATACAGAATAGTGTCACATAGTACATTTTTTTAATTTCCAGGAATTTGATTGTTGCTTCTCCTGTTTTCTAATGTACTGTCTGTTGATAGTTGGCTTTTACCTGTGGCTCCAAAAATGTCCCTTATTTTTGTCCCTGCTCGTGATCCAGTCCAGGACTGTGCCCTTCATTCACTCAGCTCTCTCTCTTGCCTCCTCTAACTGTATATATATATATAAAACTGTGTCGCAGCACCCAGTTAAAACTGTAATTTCTTTTTTCTTTTCTTTTGTCACATGGCATGTGGGATCTTAGTTCCCTGACCAGGGATTGAAGCTTTGTCTCTGCAGTTGTAGTGCGGAGTCCTAACCACTGGACTGCCACGGAACTCCCATGTCCACTGTTTTTTATAAAAGTCCCGTCACTGTTTCCCAGCACAAACGTTCTTGCCTTTGGTGGGGAACACATTTGAACGTTCAGTTCACATTCTCCGATTTTTTGTCTGCGGAATTTTTGTTTCCTCCCACAGTCTTGACCAAGAGGCTAGATGTTTTCCTTTTAGATCTAAGACTTGGACCTAAACTGTGTTAATGGGGATTTGTGGAAAGTAATGCATCCGTGTGGCCTGGGGTAGCTTTTGCTCAAGGTTAGAATGCGGCCCGCCATTGCGCTCTGCTGTCCCGTCCCCGCAGGAGAGGAGCGGGCCCTGTGTCTCGTGGATGTGAAGAAGGTGAAGCAGTCCCTTGCGCAGTCTCACCTCCCCGCCCAGCCAGACATCTCGCCCAACATCTTTGAAGCGGTCAAGGGCTGCCACTTGTTTGCTGCTGGCAAGGTAAGTGGTCCTCTGGGCCCCAGCTGACGACTCTTCTGGGAGTTGTTGTGGCTCCCTGCTTAATAATTTGACCTTGAAAACCCTTTCCTTAAACTGGGTTAAATTTCTGTTGCTTCTTTCCAACACAACTGGTAGTGGTACCACTGGCATCACATGAGCAGAGCCAGGGTTGTTCCTAAACACCCAGCGGTGCCCAGCACGGCCCCTCCCCATGGGGGACAACCTGATCTTGTGTCCATGGTGGCAGTTTGAGAGACCCTGCTCCTAACCAGCTTTTGCCATGGAGCTGGTACACTCACTGGTGATGCTCTTCTTTTCCCACCCTCCACCCCAACTGTTTTTCAGATTGAGAGCGGGCTCTGCATCTGTGCAGCCATGCCCAGCAAAGTTGTCATTCTCCGCTACAATGAAAACCTCAGCAAGTACTGCATTCGGAAAGTAAGTCCTGGGCCTGCTTTCCTGGCGAGCTGGTGGGAAGGTGCCTGTGTCTGTCCCCTTCATCCTGGGTGACCTCCTTAGAGAGGGAACAAGAGGGTGCCCTGCTCCCTAGAGGATGCTCCAGAGTGGCCTTCAGTTTTCTCCCTGCCTTTCCTCCTCCCAGGGGTGAGCAGCCTCTCCTGCCAGCCCTGCAAATTCAGCTTTTTGTGAAGGGAGAGAGGAAGGTGGTTGATGGAGGAGACTCCCCTTCTGAAACAGTAGAAAATAGGAAGCTCTGAGGAGCAAGCAGCCCTGGAGGCCCCTACCAGAATCCTTCTCAGATCATAGAAGTTTCTAATAATAACCTTTAGAAAAGCCAGTGCTGGCTGTGTTTTGGTACCCGTTTTGGGAACTGGTTCTCCTTGGAGCAGTGTGTATTGTGATGTTGCCTGGGGTGCAGACAGGCTTCTGCTGGATCACTGCGTTTGCTTTCCTTCCCGAGAAGGCCATCTCATGTCCCTGGACAGGAATGTCCCACCCATCGTGAGCCTGATGTAGGTGCTTTTATAGTTGGTCTCAAAAAGTAGGAGGGATGAATACATAAGGGTCAGTACCTGTTAGAGAAACTGTCTTATCTGGGGTGGGCTGTTGTTAGTGTTTCAGTTGAGCACATGTTCTGAACAGATTGAACTGGCTGTTTCACATACTTTTCACAACAGTTGTGAGAAGCAGAAATGGCCATCCCCACTTCTCAGGTAAGATAACTGAGGCTGACGAAGATACTAGGTTACAGAGTTGAGACCAAAACTGAAGTCTGACTTTCCCAGCACCTCACTACATTTCCCCTGCTGTGTAGTTTCCTCATACTTAGTCAGTGATCAGTAAATATTTAATGGTGAGGATAATGCTGATTAAAGTTTGCACTGTTAGCTTCAGGAAGATTCTCAGAAATCATTGTTTATTTATAATTCCTGGCCACCATTTGGAGTAAACATAACTAGGTTTTTTGCAGCCCTTCCTTAGGATTGGCCCATAAACAAGTGGAAGTAATTAGGAAGCAGATAATTCAGACAGTGAGGACAGCAGTGATGATATTAATCAAATACATAATGCAGATTCAAGATAGAAACTGAGAAGCTTGGAAAGGAAGGAAACTAAAACCACTTCCTCCAGCCACCACCGATGGTGTATTTCTCCAGGCTTTTCCTTCTGATCAGAATGTTGTATTTTTAAAGCTCTCTTTGAACGCTACTCCTTTTCCTTAAAATGGTGTCTGACTTTGTCAGTTGCAATTTGACCTTTTTAGTCTGGGGTTGCAAAGAACCCAAAGGTAGCAAAGGGACCATGGGTCCTTATGAGGAGCGTGAAGGGACTTGCTTGGTGTGAAGACCACAGGGAAAGTTGGGTGGCGAACCCTGCATGGCCTGGTTGGAGAGCGGGGGCTGCTCCAAGTCAGCGCTCACATCTTCCTCTCTGCTGCCTCCCCCTGCACCCCCGTCCCAGGAGATCGAGACCTCGGAGCCCTGCAGCTGTATCCACTTCACCAACTACAGTATCCTCATCGGAACCAATAAATTCTACGAAATCGACATGAAGCAGTACACGCTGGAGGGTAGGGCCCGGGTGCATCCCCTGCTGGCGTGTTTCTGGCCCTGCCGCCACGTTGGGCTCCTCCTTGGTCCTGAGGCCCCGCGTCTCGCCTGCCTTTACAGAATTCCTGGATAAGAACGACCATTCCTTGGCGCCTGCCGTGTTTGCCTCCTCTTCCAACAGTTTCCCCGTGTCCATCATGCAGGTGAACGGCGCGGGGCAGCGGGAGGAGTTCCTGCTGTGTTTCCACGGTGAGTCCACCAGTGGCTGATGGGGGTGCTCAGGGCACCCACAGCCCCAGACAGGGGCCTTGGGGCGGGGCGGGGGTGCTGCTCTTGGAGTACAGGGGACATTGGTCTTGCTCCACCAGCGCCCTTGGGGTGCCCCCACCAGGCTCTAGCCAGGTCCATTCACAGTTTCTTCCAGACCGGTCCGCTCTGTCCTTCTTTGTCTCTCACTCCTCTCTCTCCCCCTTTCCTCTCCCTAAATCTCTGGGTCTGTTTCTCCCCTTCCTCCCCCTAACTCTTCCTCCATCACCCCCCTCTTGTCTCTCCCCTTTCACTTGAACCCTCTTTAGTAAACCCCAAGAAATGTGGCTCAGCAGAGCTCCCGAGGGTTTTCACGACCCAGGTCCCCCGGGCTGGATTCCTCACTCTTCTGTCAGTGTGTGTCTTTGATACTCCCTGTCTTTGGCCATGCTCAAGCCCTGGACTCTGCCTCCTTCCAGAATTCGGGGTGTTCGTGGATTCTTACGGAAGACGCAGCCGCACAGATGATCTCAAGTGGAGTCGCTTACCTCTGGCCTTCGGTAGGTGAGGCAAGGTGTGGGGCTCAGTACTTGGGGTCCCTGGAAGGAACTGCTGGTGGAATTCCTTTTGGCTTATGCACTGTGCTTGGGGGCTCCCTTAGACACCAGGCACCACATGTAGCATCTCCCTTGTTAAGTGTCCAGGGCAGAGCTCCTGGGGCATGATGCATAAACCAAACCCACCAGCCTCTCATGACAGAAAGGAGATCATTCCTTGTGAGTTTGTTTAAATCATGTCACCAGGCTGCATAGCGTCTCACGACCCAGCTGATCACCCATCAATTTAACCAGTTCTAAACAGGCTCAAGTGTGAACAACGCTGTGATGAACTTATGGTATTTGCACACTGGTTAAGTAATAGCCCCAGCTCAGAAATTCTAAAAGTGGAGGTGCTGTGTCAAGGGTAAACACACACACACGATGACTGTGTGAATGTTCTGAAATAGCATTACGGCTGAAATACCCTTCAAGGCTATTTCATTTATCTGTTGCTCCATAACACGTTCCAAAATCTAGTGACTTAGAATAACTGCTTATTATTGCCTGAGACTCTGGGGCTTGACTGGACAGCTTTGCTTCATGTGGTGTCAACAGAGGCACCGGGACATCCAGAAAGTCCAAAGTGGCTTCACAGAGTGGCCGTCAGTTAGAGCGGCTGTCGGACTGGGGCTTAGCAGGGGCCAGCGGGTGAAGGTCTCACCCTTCGCAGCAGGGCTGCCTCTACAAGTGCAAAAGCCGAGGCTCCCAGGCCTTCTTGCTTCTACCGCATCCTACCGGCTTAGCTGGGATTCCAGGCGGAGGGAGTCCACGGGGGCCTGAGTAGTAGGAGGTGTGACTAATACTGAAATAACAGTTCAGCACAAGGAATAACAATGATAATCTGTTTCCCTTTAAGACCAAAACCAGCTCACATTATATCCTAGAGTTTGACATTTTGATAGAGAAATATACAGTATTAGGACCACAAATACTTGACTGTCTATGAACCCAGTCATTTTCTATTAAGCGTTTTGGACAATCTGTCCGATGAAGCGGTTCTAAAAGGTTACAATCAAAGTCTCACCCATGTTACTCATCTCTCAAACTTCTCCATCCCCACTCCCCTCAGGGAAAAAAAAAAACTTAGTTCTGCGTTTCTTATCCTTCCAGTGCCTTATGCAGACACGGGCACATAGAAATTTATTCTCATCCCTCTCCCTTTTTAAAAAGCCAGTGTGGCAGCACAGCGGACACAGTATTCTGAAGCTTTGCACCTTGGGTGTTTTCTACGTCAGCATGTAGAGAGCGCTGCTTTGTGCATTCTCACGGCTCTGCAGGCTCCCATAGTTGCGCCGTGATTTACATAACTGATCCCACACGATGTTCCCTGAGTGGGCTCCCAGCGTCTGCCCCAGCAGCAGTGGCAGGGGATAAACTTAAACATGCCCGTTACGCAGGCACGCGGTGCATGTGGAGGATACGCTGAGGTGGGACTGCTGGGTCCAAGGCTGCACTGCAGCCAGGCTTTGATTTTCTGTCTTTTAACCCTTCCCTGCCCCGTGCTTTTCCTCCGTGGTGGCCACGCAGCCTACAGAGAACCCTATCTGTTTGTGACTCACTTCAACTCACTCGAAGTAATTGAGATCCAGGCCCGCTCCTCTCTGGGGTAAGAACTGGGTTTCCTTGGTGCCTCAGCAGTGAAGAACTCCCTGCCAATGCAGGAAACGTGGGTTCGATCCCTGGGTTGGGAAGATCCCCTGAAGAAGGGATAGGCTACCCGCTCCATCCTGGTGGGCTTCCCTGGTGGCTCAGCAGTAAAGAATCTGCCTGCAGTGTGGGAGGCCTGGGTTCCATCCCTGGGCTGGGAAGATCCCTTGGAGGAGGGCATGGCAACCCACTCTAGTATTCTTGCCTGGATGGACAGAGGAGCCTGGTGGGCTGTAGTCCATGGGGTTGCAGGGTTGGACATGACTTAGCGACTAAACAACTGTGAAAAGTTCAGCGGCTGGGTGTCGGGGCCGGGTCCTGACAGTGGAGGTGACCAGCTGTGCAGACTGTCCTCTGGAACCCCACAGGACCCCCGCCCGCGCATATCTGGAAATCCCCAACCCACGCTACCTGGGCCCTGCCATCTCCTCAGGAGCCATCTACCTGGCATCCTCATACCAGGATAAGTTAAGGGTCATCTGCTGCAAAGGAAACCTGGTGAAGGAGACCGGCACTGACCACCACCGTGGCCCGTCCACCTCCCGCAGGTAACGTGCCTTCTCCGGTTCCTCATCACAGAGGGGCAAAGCAGGACATCTTGCTAAACTGGTTGACAGTTTGCCAGTCTTCAAGCTCAAGCCACTTATTTCTTTGAAACCAACAGCATTTAAACGACAGTCCTTTATAAGCGACAGGAGAATTTTTTAGTGCCTCCTTAGAGAAGGTGGAAGGAAATGTCCGGCCTTTTCTCTGGTGGCTGTTTCCTGTGGCTGTGTTTGTAATGCATTCATTACATTAGTGTAATAGTGTGCTACGCTCACTGGGCTTGCTGAGGGAGACCAAGTGTGAGTAAGTTGGAATCTTGCCCCTCCCTGAGGAGGCCCAGTGGGCGAGACAAGCACTCATGTGCTAACAGCACAGCCAAGGAGAATGGGGCTCATACTTGGGTCCCCAGCTTGGACTTGGGGGCTAAGAAGGATTTCCTAGAAGAAATGAGGCCTTGAGGACAGGCTATACTTTATTCTTGAAAACCAAACATTTCAATTACTACCATGTAATGACTCTGAAAATCAGATCCCCCTTCCCCTCCCCCTCCCAGGGTATGTTGCTGCTGTTGCTATTTGTTGAGTGACTCTCTGGACTAATTATATAGTCTGCATTCTTTGTTATGTGTGGCCACTGAAGTTTCTGTTTGGTTAGGGTAGTGGGCAGATGAATAACTAGAGAGGATTTCCTTAAATGGTGTGTGTGTGTGTGTGTGTGTGTGTGTGTGTGTGTGTAGGTGTAGGTGTAGGTGTAGTTTAGGGTACACCTTCAGCACTCGCGTGTGTGTGTGTGTGTAGGTGTAGGTGTAGTTTAGGGCACACCTTCAGCACTCGAGTCAGCTGCCAAGACTGAGGCCTTCCTAGGTTTTTTCTGGATTTTCTGGGTTTGGGTACAGGCTTACTTGTGTGTGTGGCCTTACAGATCCCTAGGAACATGCAGGAGGACGTCCTTCTGAGTGTTCTGGCTAGCCTCTTGTTTTCCCCAACTTGGTCTCACTGCCTCAGACACTTGCCATGTGAAACAGTCACCAATTTGTTTTTCAGTAACCGTCCAGAGATAGGGCACTTCTGTTGTGCAAGACCTGCATCAGGTCAACTAAAACAAACCCTGAGAAGAGAGGAAGAGCAGGCGAGAAAGGAAATGAAAGGAGAGCAACGGGGTTGGATGAGGATTCCTGTTTGACTCTTGGCCCTTCTTCCTACAGTGCAGATAGGATGCTCATACTGTTTATGATTGCTGTCAGTTCCCTCCATGAAAGCAGACTGAACTGGACACCCACAACCTCTCAACACAAAGGAAGTTACGTTGTTAGTTCCTTATCGGATTTTTGCCTAAGTGAAGTACATATGGTTGGGGATCCAGGGGACTCAGAGACACAAGAAAGTCTACTGGTATTGAGTCTGGGAAAGATACTTCTCTCCTTGTCGTGAAGACTGGGGCCACCTCTTCTTCAGACACTAATAAAGAATCTTAGGTCCTCTGTGGGCCCGTCCCCCCAAATTATTATGAAATAAAGCTAAGTATTTAAACTCTGGTCTTTTCCCAGGAGGACCAAGACAGATCAGATAGTGACACCAGTGTGCTTGTTTTTAAGGGAGAAACCTGTCTTTGGGTGTTCTTACCCTGCTGGTCCCCAAGCATGCATCCCCTTCTTAATACAGGTGACAGCACACCGTGCACACTCATCTGTATCTTGGAAACTGCTTCCTGTGGGTACACAAAGTATTTCTCTTTTTTTAATGCCTGCATAGCATTCCTTCGTATGACTATACCTTATTTAACTGCTCCTTTATCAGTGGATGTTTGGGTGTTTCCAGTTCGTTGCTGTAGTAAAGGACTTGGTATATCTTCACTTCGAATGCTTGGAATCTACCTGTAGGCTGAATTCCTAGAAAAGGAATTGTTGGTGATTCTGATAGATGTCCCTGAGTTTTCCTCCCTGGAGGCTGTACTCTTTTGTTATCCCACCAGCAGTGGGTGGAAGGGGGATTGGCTTTGTCTTGACCCCTAGGGTGAGGAGCCAGATTCAGTTCCAAGTGGGGATTTGAGACACAGAATTTTAAGATCTTGGCCACAAAGAAGATGAGCTTTCTCAACCTAGAAGAATATCTAATTGACCGAGGACTTGACTTTGTGGACTGGTTTACAAAGCCCACATATCTACCCTATACAGTTATGTGGGCCCTCTACCATGTGTCAGACCCAGTATTGGGGATACACAGATGAAGACAGTTTTTATCCTCAAGGGACTCAGTTTGGTGGACACCTCTAAGGTTACAAAATACTTAGAAAAGAAAGTTGTCAACTTAATATTCTGAGGCTATGTCCTAATGAAGAGTCTCTGTTTTGTTAAAATACAAGTGTTAGTCAGAAATGTCTGTCAGTGTGATTTCAATTCCAGAACTTGCTAGAAAACTGGAAGTGCTAAATAGTCAGCTGCTCTTCACTCTTTTGGCCTCTGCTTCAGGGGTGACTGCTCAAAGGTCTGTAGTCCCCTCCTGAAAATGTCTAGATTTTATTTAGCCTCTAGGTCATGCAAGAAAAAACCCAAGTTCTGTAACTAGGTAATTTTTTTCTCCACTGCCTCACTAGTTAGATGGTCAGGTACCTTCCTTTTGAGATGATGTGGTGTGTCTGTGAGAAGTGACTTACTCTGTGGTGAAAATGGTTCTAGTTCCTGCTGTTCTTTCCTGCTGCCACCAGGCCTCTCGGGAAAGCCAGCAGCTAGCCTCTGTCTCTTGGCTTATAAAACCGTCTTTTTGCTGCTGGACTGCTTTGGGCAGGTCCAGGATGTAGAAGGCCAGCCTGGGAGGCTGATTCACTGCAGGCTACACCACCCTGGTCTCTTCAGCGGAGCAGGAAATGTAACTCTGCAAGAAACATAAGATTGATGTGGTAGATCATTGGTTATTAACGGATATGGAGATGTAAGATGGCCAGCTTGGCCTACAATGATGAGTGTGTTCTTCATCCCATTAATCTCAGCTGACTTCTCAAATGGCCTTCCTTGAACCACTTTTCTTCCTCTGGGCAGTGAGCACCCTCTCACTTGCTTTATGATGGGCACATTTTATAATTTTTCTTCCGTCACAAATAGGTTTAATATAATTCTCCTGAATTTTTTTGTCTTCCATATCACAAAGCCACATGACTGGAGATGAAACCTTGATTTCAAGATGTTGAAATCAAAAGTTACCTCAAATTTTACTGCTGCAAACATAGCACAAGAAAAGTGTGGCTTTCTGAGCACTGGTTAGAATTGCCACAGTTTGAGCTGCATAGGGAAGAAAATATGAAACTACAATAGACTGACTGACCACTTTAGAGTTATTTCTGTTCTGTTCACCAATCTGTTTAGATAGTATTTTAGGGTTTGCTGACCATACAGTCCCTGTCTCAACTGCTCAACTTTGTTGTTAGACCATGAAAGCAACCTCAGTGCATCACCAGATGGGCGTGGCCATGGTCCAGTGAAACTTTATTAAAACAGGCGTCTGTCTGGGTTTGGCCCTCAAGCTTGCTCTAGAGAGTTTCCTCTCCCGAACCAGTCATTGTCTTTGCTGCTCAGTTGCTTTCTGTAATGGGCATTGACAGAAGAGGTTCCCTAGAGTTAGGCCAATAATTAAAGAAAATCAAGTTTGATCCCTTCCAAAGGGAAAGATTTAAATATCAAAGGGTTAAGAGAGGCCTCTGGTGACACTGTCAAATATTTAAATGACTTTACGATTTCACTGCACAAAATCCAACATCACTGGTGGAAGATGTCACCCAGCATGTTAGCATACAATTTTCTTGAGAAAATTAGAGCATAATAAATCAGTAAGTGATTCATACTTGGTTCATTCTTAGCATGTAATTATAATTGTAATTTATATTTTTAAAATATCTAGGATAAAATATATTTTCCTGATTTAGACTTTTATTTTTTCTAAGATAAAGCCCCAATCAATCAAAATATGTCTTCAAGTAATATTCTCTGTGAAATGGCATTCCCATTTTAAGTAGGCTGCCTTTCCCCAGCACTAATTATGCTCAGATAACAAGGGCCCCAGTACCTTTTCTGATCGAGGGTGGGAAGGAACTGACTTTGAAAGCTATGTGTCAGTTCTGTGTTTCTGGATCTTACTTCTTCAGAGGGGTGGTAAGGGCCATGCCTGGTGAAATCTTCATTTGAAACATGAAAATTTCTCTGCAGGGCAGGCCAGGGCTGGATGGAGGGTTAGATCGTTCGTAAGAAAAGGTCCCACTACTTTCAATGGCTCATGTTTTTTGAGCCTGGTCTGCTGTTTGCATTGGCCCTGCTCTGTCTCCTAACTGGTTGGATCAGGTTTGATTTCTGCACCTCTGGCACAAAGGCTCTTGGAAAGCCAGCTAGAGAGGTGACCAGCAGAGGCCCGAAAGTGGGACAGATTTGGCAACTGACGGTAATGATACAGGCTTAATCCCTAAAGGGGGCTTCCTGTGAAGTTGGTGGGGGTGGAGCATGGGGATTATGGTGTCAGACTGACCTGTGCTGGAATCCTGGCCTCTCTGCATCTCCATCCTCTTGTCTGTACGACGAGTGTCATCTGTTCCTAACGTACAGAGCTGTTAGGAGGATTTGACGAGCCTAGTACAGCGCCTGACACATGGTAGGTGCTCAGCAGAAAGCCTGCCCTGAGACTGGGAAGCTTGCCTTTTCTATGCCGTGACCTCTGCCTTCTTTCTCTCCTCACTCTCGAGGTAAACACGGAGCCTGAAGGGCTCCAGGTGGGGTCTGTTTCTAATAACCTGTGGTGAGATGGGCATGGGGTGACTCAGCTCCCCACCTCCCTGCCCTGTTGTCACAGCCCCAACAAGCGCGGCCCGCCGACCTACAACGAGCACATCACCAAGCGCGTGGCCTCAAGCCCGGCGCCTCCCGAAGGCCCCAGCCACCCTCGAGAGCCAAGCACACCCCACCGCTACCGCGAGGGGCGGACCGAGCTGCGCAGGGACAAGTCTCCGGGCCGCCCCTTGGAGCGCGAGAAGTCCCCCGGCCGGATGCTGAGCACGCGGAGGGAGCGCTCCCCCGGGCGGCTGTTTGAGGACAGCAGCAGGGGCCGGCTGCCCGTGGGGGCCGTGAGGACCCCGCTGTCCCAGGTCAACAAGGTAAGGGAGGTGTCCTTCTCAGCCCCTCGCCCTCCTCAGCCCCCACGGCTGTAGGGAAGAGGCTCCACAACTGTAATTAGGGTTTTCTGGGATTTGTAAGACGTTTAGGAAGAAAATAGCTTGAGAAGGGGCCTCCTCTACAAATGGATCGTGTGTGGCCCTCAAACTGCAAGAGCCACCAAGGGTATACAGCATTCCCTTCCCCAGACGCAACGAGTGTTTGCAGTTTCTGTGCAGACAAGCAAATTCTTACACACACAGAACACGCCAGCCATTCAGAAGGTTTCATGCTTTACTTTTTTCAAACATATACATGTGTACAAAGACACAAACATCAAGAATTTCTCTGCAAGGCTACATTGAAATCTGGTAACAGTGGTTGCCTTCTAGAAGAACTCTGCACCTTTTGAAATTCTAAAATCATGTGCATTTATTACCTGTGTAGCTTTCATGTTACCAACTGAAGAGTTGGAGGGATGTGCTGATAACCAGGGGCCCTCAAGTGGGGGTGGGGCGCGAAAGCTTGCGGATGCCTTGGCAGGCCAACCAGTTCCAGGTGCTGGCTTTCTGGACCATGCTCTCCTAATGCCATCTATTGGCACTCCAGCCACTAGAGAGAGGAGGAAATGCTGTTTCACTGTTGTCCTTGAAAATGAAAGTTGCCTAGTCATGTCCGACTCTTTGCCATCCCATGGACTGTACAGAATGCTGGAGTGGGTAGCCGTTCCCTTCTCCAAGGGACTCTTCCCAACCCAGGGATCGAGTCCAGGTCTCCTGCATTGCAGGCAGGTTCTTTACCAGCTAAGCCACCAGGGAATCCTTACCTCCTCTGATTTCTGGATAAAATGGTATGTGCAAACCACAGAAGTACTTCTAGAGCACTGGGGACTTCTCAGCGAGTTTCACAAGCTCTGGGGGGGGCTCTGCCTGTCCCTCACTGTTGACCACAGGAGGGAGAGACCGGGTGCTCCTGCAGTATCCCAGTGTGGGCCTCCTGTTTACAAAGTGAGCATGGTGATTTCCGGCTTCTGATGGCTAAATCCCCTCTTCCTCTTGTTCTCAGGTCTGGGACCAGTCTTCAGTATAAATCTCAGCCAGAAAAACCAACTCCTCATGTTGATCTGCAGGAAAACACCAAACACTATGGAACTCTGCTGAAGGGGACCCCAGCGCCCATCTGCTCAGCCAGCCCCTGGCGCAGCTGGACCCAGGCCCGCCTCAGCACGGACTCCCTGCAGCCAGGAGGGGCAGGGGCTGGGGCTCCTGGGAGCTGCCGGCACCTCCCTGCAGCCGCCCTCTTTGCACTTTGTTACTCTTTCAGAGCGTTCATAAACTTTTGTACCTAGCTCTAGCCTGTACCAGTTCATCACAGGAAACCAACCTGGGGCTAACTACAACTACAGCGTGGTTAGAATCCTAATTAATAGCTACTTTAAGATCTTAGGGTTGGTTGGGTATTTTTGTTTCTTTTTTTTTTTTAAAGACAACAGACTTCTTAATAGATTTGAATAGCACCGTATTTCCTGTTGCAGTCGTTCGTAGCGAGGTCACGCCATCAGGTCTCTGCTACTGAAACGTACGTAGACGAGCCCCTGCCGTCGGCCAGCCTCCCGCCCTCGCCTCAGTCCGTCCTCGTCCAGTCCGTCCTCGCAGGCGGCCCTGTCTCACCTGGGGCGACGTCTTAGCCAAATGTTTACCGTCCTCATTGCCTTTTAAGGCCTTGATGACTTCCCCCCCGCCCTCCCACCAGCTGAGAATGTACAGAGGTCATCAGGCCTTGCTTGGAGGCAGTGACTTGGGGCCAAGGGACCTCGAGGAGTTTTCCCTCCCTGCCCCTCAGCGTCACCCCTGGCCTGCTGTCCCTGCTTTCCATGTCGCTTTGGCCAGGAAAGCATGTACTGGACTTGCTCTGAGCCCAGCCCCGAGAGGGCCCTGGGTCCAGGGGCACTCATATCCTGTCCATGACGGTGTGCTGTTCCCACCTCCCTGGGGTGGGAAGAGATGCCGGAGCTCTGCATGGCGGTTCACTGCATGCGCTGCCCCCCCGCCCCGACCTGGCTGCCCACCTTGGGTTGCTCTGCTGATGCACTAGGTCCATCCATCCCATAGCTCCCGCCAAACCGAGACCCTCTGGGACTTGCCAGCTCACCGGCCACAAGCTGCAGTCTGTAGCAGTGAACAAACGAAAACCAAACGCTCAAGCCTTATGACCAGAGAAGAATTTCAGCAAACCACACCTCACACTTCCACGTCTCCCTGCCGACTCCCTCGCGGATGACTCTGTTCACACACAACCCAGCAGGTTCTACCCCACGAAAACTGTGACTCCCCTGACAAGCCTCTCCCTAGGGCTAGACTAAAACCAGGAAGTTGGAGAAAGAAACCACCCTCAACTCGCCCACCCCGGCTAGGCGGGGAAACCCTCCCTTAGGTGCCCCCTTTCTCTCCTCCGGCTGTGTGAGGTTCCTGGCAACTGGTTATAAAGAACCAACCAGAGGCTTCGCTGTTGGCAAGCTAACTAGCGGCCTTATTTCTGCCTTTAATCTCCCACCAGGCCTCTCTTGCTTCTCCACGCCTCGAACTACCAAGGCACATCCTAGGTAGGCTGACAGATAGACCTGTTCCCACTGCAGTCAGTGAACATGACCGCGTTTCAATCCCCCGTCCATGGTTCAGCTCACTTTCCAGATTGCAACCTGGCCCGAGTCCCAGCTCCTTCCTGCTCGTCCCTTAACCGAAGTGCTTTCTTGTCTGAAATGCCCACGGCCCTTCCTCCGTGTCGTCGCATCCTTGGCCATTGTCACACTGTCGTGTTCCGTGTGTCACTCTGTCTTCGGGGTCAGATGGCATCCCTTCCCTTTTCCAGGGCAGATCTGACTGAATGTTTGCTGAAGATTTTTTGTCTCTTGGTCCACAAGTATTTGGAGAGGTCACTGGAAATGGTGTTCAGTCTTGGCATTTCATTTAGGATCTCCATAAGAAATGGGCTTCTTAGCCCTCAAAGTGTATATCGTGTGTCTCATTTGTGAAATGCTTCCTGCTATAGAACTAGCTCAAAGACTGTACATATTTACAAGAAACTTTATATTCGTAAAAAAAAAAAGGAAATTGAATTGGTTTCTACTTTTTTATTGTAAAAGGTGCATTTTTCAACTCTTACTTTCGGTTTCAACGGTGGTGGTTGTGGACAGCCATCTTCACTGGAGGGTGGGGAGCTCCGTGTGGCCACCGAGATGCCAGCAGGAAATATAGTTAAAACGAAACTGCAGTCAAAAGCTTATTAGCATAAGTAAGATTCTAGGTCTCCAAAAGTACAGGCTTTTTCTTCATTACCTTTTTTATTCAGAAAGAGGAAAAGATCACAAGATCCACCTTGAAAGGAATGAACTCTGTTGAATAAATAGTCAAATAAAGCAATGATCTAAAATGTTTGCTTTAGTGCACGACCTCTTCTTAAAGACAGTGTGTAAGACTTCGAAGTACCGCTGCTGTCAGCCTGAGCTTGTGAGCATGGCATGGTGCCGTCTTTCCTTTCGAGGATGCTTCTTCAGGGGCTGGGGGGTGGTGTGTGTGGAGAGCCACACAGGGTTAGAGCAGACCACACTCTTGGAATTGACACGCAGGCGAAGTTCTCTTCCAGAAGTGTGGTGTTTGGGCATTACTTCCAATGAATCATGAACTGGCTATTAAGGTCACAGTATAGGACTGCAGAACTGGAAAGCTCCTTAAGGCAGTCAGGCCACTTTGAAAGGATTACTGGGGAATGGATTACCCAGCTCTCCTATAATGCAGTTAATAAAAACAAACAACAACAGGTCACCTTTCATTTCAATTCTTCTTATCCATTACGATCAAGTCACAGGGATTTCTTGGAGGGAGGAATTCGGATCTAGGTAATTTAAAATGTAAATTCTTTTAACTATGTAAAGTTCTACAGTCTGCAAGGTAAATTTTTCTAAGATGCTTTAATTTGTTGGTATAAAATTTGTTGAGCTAGACAAGCATTGCTTCTGGCAAATGGTACTTTTCTCGTGGTTCCTGTTACTTTCGGTCTTCAACTTTTATTTTCCAATGAAGTAATCTGACCACAGTCAAATTCTGACTTGCAGGGTTGTGGCTGACATGCCCTGCAACAGGAATTGGGCTTGCAATTCTATTCCTCCTTTCTGTTTTACCACTGGGGATAAAAATCTGGCACTTCTAAGAATGAAAATTCAGAATGAACAAGTAAAATGTTAGAACCTATCCTTCCTTATAAAATGAGAAGAAGTCCACTGAATACCAAACAGCCATTTTAGTCACTGTCCTGAGGATTCTTGGCATCCACATACCACTTCAGAAACAAGGTAAATGTGGTGTAGTTCCAAAAGAAATGTGCCATAAAGATTCTCTGGACCCTAAGCAAGGACCTCAAAGAAACAACCAACAAATTACTCAGCCACACCACAAACTTAGGCCCAGCTGTCCATGTTGCAGTTCCTGCTTAAACACAAAATTGGACGTCACATATTCTGCTCTTACAACTTAATTTTTATGAGAATAAAGAAGCTGCCTGCAAAGCAAATTTTCTAACTATGAAATTTTAAGGCTCTGGAGACTTAGGCCTAAAAGAGAATGATACACTTACCAGGACAGACGAGCGTTTGTCTTTAGAATCGGGCCTCATGAGTGTGACTTGCGTCAGCAAACATTCATGCAGATTTAAGTATAAAGCAATAATGCTAGGCCTACGGGGGTGGGACTGGCTAAGCTTTACAAACTAGCCTGTTCAGCAGTTCTAAACTTTACTCCCTGGCCCGTTCCAGCAGTTCTAAACTAGGGGTGACTTAGCCCCCTTCCCTTGAGGACACCTGACAGGATCTGTAGACTTTTGACTGTCACAACTGGGGTTACTTCTGGCGACCTTGTGGGCAGAGGCCAGAGATGCTGCTAAATATCCTACAAAGCACAAGGTGGCCCACATGCCCACCTTCCACAAAAACTTCTCAGGCCTAACATATCAATTAGTGCCATGGTTGAGGAAGATTAGCCTATTCTGGCCCAATTTCTTTCTTGGCAGTTTAAATATTGCTCACGATGTCTAAAGCATGGAGACTGTGGCCCTAGGCACAGTGTTTACATGAGAAAATGTTTTATCACTTGCCTAGTCAAAACGCCAAGGCTCTCATCTTCCGAGGCTGGGGGAGGGCTGAGCAGTAGGAATCTGGAACTGCACATGCAGCTTGACTTTCTCTCTAGGCTGTCAATGACTAACGGGACTCCTGTTGGTCCTGGAGGGACTGTGAGAGGAAAGAACTCTGGAAACGACTTTACTGCTGTATACAACTCAGCATGTGCTTTCAGAGAATCACAAAAAGTGAATACACAGTTGATCCGGGGTACACACAACTGGAGCTATCTCTTGTTCTCACTTGCTGTTGAGTCTCACAGATGACATGGGTGAATTCACTCCCAGCAGGTAGAGACGGCTGGCCTCCTCACTCAGGCTTGGGCCCCCTCTGTCTTCAGGACAGAAAAAGATGAGGTGGCTGTGGGAGCTGAGCTCAGCGACTGATCCCAGAGACAGGGCACTGGTTCCCTGAGGCTCTGACTCACAGGATCTGTAGACTTTTGATTGTTGCAACTGGGGTTACTTCTGGCGACCTTGTGGGCAGAGGCCAGAGATACTGCTAAATATCCTACAATGCACAAGGTGGCCCACATGCTCACCTTACACAAAGAATTATCAGGCCTAACATATCAATTAGTGCCATGGTTAAGCAAGATTAGCCAATGGCGACAACTCTTAGAAGGGCCCTTCTGGATGTTTTCACCATTACCTGGGATGACTTGTACATATATTCAGAGCTTCCTATTTCCTCCTAAAGACGATTATAACTGGCATTCCAGAGCAGATGGCTCTAGCTTCTTTTCTTCACTAATCTGCTGATCAAGTGAGGTGCTGAAGGCTGGATGGAGGGCTGAGTGGTCCAGAGACTTGGGTCTTCATCAATTCACTCAAACCGTTTGTAAACAATGGAGGAGGGTCATGATTCAGGAGAACGGAGTTCATGCTCAGAAATGAAATCATGCTCATCTAGAAGTAATTGAGTTAAACAAAATGAAATTGTGCTTTTCTCCAAAATGGTTTAGCCTCTGACCTCAGCCATGTATGGAATCACTTTGATGTTCTGGGTTTTGCAAGTTGGCCCTTGGCATCTTGGAGGTTTCCTAATTGAGCTCATGGTGCTCATACTTTTTTTCTGACCCCCTGGACTTCTTTCCTGTTTGTGGCCATAACCCATTCATGTAAAAGGCTTTGTGGCTCCCAGTGTGAAATGAAAGGAGCCCTAGGGATCACCTAGTGTCTGTCCAACTCCTTCCATTTTTCAGGAGAGGAAACTGGGTTGAGAGAGGTCATATGATCACCCAAGGTCACACAGCTAGTCAGGCAGTGAACTGGATCGACATCCCTATTCTCAGTCTAGTGTCCACACTCTGGGACAGTGGAGGAATGGCCGACTCCAAGGTGAAGCCAGGCTGTGACCTGGTCTTACAGCTATCATCTACACCTTTAAGTGGAACCAGAGGGAAGGAAAAGGCAAGCCTGGATCCTTTGATCTTTGGTTTCAGTATGTGGACATATGGCTGGTTCTGTTTACCTTGAAATACCCATCAACACATTAGGAACTTAAAGACCTTACCCTGGGCTCTGTAACTTCCTCTGTATATACATTTCCGGTGGGAAAAATGTATCTCATTCAAAAGCAACTGGAGTTACCCTTTAATTTTAACCATGTAACCAGTCCTCACCCCTAACAGAGAAAGTGTTACCTGGGTCATAGGACATCTCAATATGGCTTTGCTCCTGTGATTTGGATAAAGCAGGGTATCATGTTCCATCTCCATTAAACAGTCTCCATTACTTTTAGCTTCTTGGGTGTACAAACTTTCATCCAGGTCTGTGGGCAGTCTTCTGGACCACGGGGAACTTCGTTTTGTGTTGTTTTTTTTAAAGAAAATGGAATGTTTTAGACAAGTGGCTCTGGGGAATGCTGACACCCATTTCCCACTGTTCTGCAGTTTTGCCTACATTCCCCCAACCTGAACAGTCAACTCCTCTGGGGGTCCCCTGGGGCTGCAGGGGAGTCTTACTGGGCTTACTGGCTCTGAATTAGTTTTTCCATTGGATTTCCAGCTTGGCGTCTTCTGAACTTTGTGAGTAGAGCTGATTTGTGGGCTAGATTTTTCAATATGATGTTTCCTCCTGCAGCCTGGAGCTGATGGCTCCCTCTGAGCCCTAATTCAGGGTAGCAACCAGATGCTCTAACCCTTCTTACGGAAAAGGCAGTGCTTTTCTGGGCCATCTCAGGCAGTGAGCTTCCTTTCCAGGTGGCCTGGAAGCCCATGGCTGGGTCCTGCCTCCCGCCACCCACCTTCCCCAGTCACCACCAACAGCGCACCAACACAGCAACAGTTTCTTCAGTTCTGGTACTTCAGTATATCCCTTTTATACCTATAAGCTTAGTTAGGTATTTTCAGTTATATTTTGAAGATATGTGATCCATAAAAATAAACTCAAAATGGCTCAAAGACCCAAATGTAAGCCGTAACACCATAAAACTAGAAGAGAACACAGGTGAAACACCCTGACATAAATCATAGCAGTATTTCCTTAGGTCAGTCTCCCAAGGCAAAATAAATAAAAGCAAATATAGACAAATGGGACCTAATTAAACTTAAGCTTTTTGCCCAGCAAAGGAAACCATCAACAAAACAAAAAGACAGCTGGCAGAACGGGAGAAAATATCTGCAAATGACATAACCAATGAGTTAATTTCCAAAATATACAAACAGCCCATACAACACATATCAAAAAAACAAACAACCCAGTCAAAAAACAGGCAGATGACTTGAATAGATGTTTTTTTCCCCAAAGATGACATATGCAAAGATGCTCAACATCGCTAATTATCAGAGAAATGCAAATCCAAACCATAACGAGGTATCACTTCACACAAGTCAGAATGGCCACCATCAGTAAACATAACAAATGCTCCAGAGGGTGTGCAGAAATGGGAACCTTCCAACACTGCTGATGGGAATGTAAATTGGTGCAGCCAGTATGGAGAACAGAATGGGGGGCTCATTAAAAAAAAAAAAAATAGAGCTACCACATGATCCAGCAATTCCACTCCTGGGTATATATCCAGAAAAAGACGAAAACACTAATTAGAAAAGAACACGTACCTGTGTTCATACTAGCACTACTTAAAATAGCCACAACATGGAAGCAACCCAAGTGTCCACCAACAGGTGACTGACTTAAGACGAGGGGTGTGTGTGTGTCCCCAGTGGAACATACTAAAACATAAAAACAAATGAAACAGTCATTTGCAGCAGCATGGATGGACCTAGAGATTCTTATGTTTAGTGAAATGAGTCAGAAACACAAGTACTATAGGCTAGGTGGAACCTAAGAACAATACAAATGAATGCATAGACAAAACAGAAACAGACTCAGACATGGAAAACAAAATTATGGTCACCAAAGAAAGGGGGCAAACCAATTAGGGGTATAGGATTAACAGATGCAAACTACTACACAGAAAATGGATAGGCAACAGGTATTTACTGCATAGGATAGAGAACTATACCCAGAGTCTTATAATAATATACAATAAAACACAATCCACAAAAATACTGAATCACCATACTGTAGACCTGAAACTTAACACAACACTATAAAAGCAACTGTGCATGCATACCCAGTCATGCCCAATTCTTTGCGACCCTATGGACTGTAACTAGCCAGGCTTCTCTATGAGATTCTCCAGGCAAGAATACTGGAGTGGGTTGCCTTTTCCTATTCCAGCGGATCTTCCCGACCCAGGGATCGAACCCAAATCTCTTGTGTCACCTGTATTGGCAGGAGGATTCTTTACTGCTGAGCCACTTGGGAAGCCTATAAAATCAACTATACTTATATGGGGCTTCCCTGATAGCTCAGTTGGTAAAGAATCCGCGTGCAATGGAGGAGACCCTGGTTTGATACCTGGGTTGGGAGGATCTGCTGAAGAAGGGATAGGCTACCCACTCCAGTATTCTTGGGCTTCTCTTGTGGCTCAGCTGGTAAAGAATCTGCCCATAACGCAGAAGACCTGGGTTCAATCCCTGGGTTGGGAAGATCCCCTGAAGGGAATGGCTACCCACTGCAGTATTCTGGCCTGGAGAATTCCATGGAATATGCAGTCCATGGGGTCACAAAGAGTCAGACACAACTGAGTGACTTTCACTTTCAATAATTAAAAAAAAAAAATCCAGTTTTGGAAAGAGGATTTTTGCATTATTTCCTCAGTCTACTTATATAACCCCTCCATTCCCTAAATCTAGGGTTCCCACATCACTTGGATATTCAGGGTGAGATGGCTAAGTACCCAGGTAGGGATGTTTTGTAAGCTACTGTCCACCTCAAGTGACCAGATGACCTCGGGGATTCCCTTATCTCCTAAATTTACTTCCATGTTTCCTGATGGCTGAGAAGAAAAGCCTTATTAAAGAGACACTGTAACCTTCCATCTTTTTGGTAGAAGGGACAGAGACCCTTCTGGCTGGTGAGAGTAGCTGACTCCAGAACATCCTATGGTCTTCCAAGCAGAGGGTCATGATCCCAGGCTCCCCTGTGGTGCTTGTTAATGAGCAAGACCTCTGAGCTGGGGATGCTGCCAACTCGGGCAAGCCAGGGACTTTCACTACTGCCTCTCCTCAGCTCCTGCTGTGAGCAGCTCCAAGGGGCTCAACTTTACAGCCTCTTAATAGCCTTCTAACCTGTGTGCAGAACAGGTGGGTCAGGGAAAGGCCCCCAGCCCTGCAGAGAGCCGAGCTGCCCGGCTTCTCATCCCAGAATGCCAAAAGGACGGCACCATTTTCAATGTGTGCCAAGGTGGGAAAAAGACTGAATAGCACTGCACCGAATAGACCTCGGGGAGAGCACCAGTCTCCTCCAGATGAAAGCGTGAAATCAGAGCTTCCCCTAAGTGCACGTCCATTATCTTTACAAAGCTTTATTGGAACCTGTACATCAGGGTGACAGCTGTCCAGTGCTTTGAAAACAGCGGTACAGAAGGGCACGAGTCCTGGACACCAGGGAGCTGGCTCCTCCGTCTCCCGGCAGGAACACAGGCCGGGTGACAGCTTCTGCTGACCCGGGCATGGGAGCCTCGGTCACAGGCACATCTCCGGCTCTGTAGAGAGGTTTGCTTTGGTCCAAAGGATGTCTTCCTGATACAAAATCAGAAGGCGGCCACGACTGCTAACTCAGAATAAGCAACACCAGTTGCTGCAGCCCTCTTTGCTGAGTAGGGATCAGGGGTCCCAAGCAAGGTGGCGCAGGGTAGGGCAGGCTGCCTCTCCACAATTTTCTGGGTGATGGTGCCACCTCGTTACAGTTCGCCGAAAAAGCCGGACACCCTTCTGGCTAGCAGTGGTCAGTCCGCAGGATTACCCAGCTTAAAGGAGGAATCCGGCCATGGTTTTCTGAGTCTGTTCTGAGAACAGATTATTGCTGAGCACAGGTCACATGATTGAGTCTAGTTGGGGTGATTTAAAAATTGCCCTAAGGCTGTATAGTCAGCCACTGCTGGTTTAAAAAAACAAAAACCACTTGATGCGCATAAGCGTAAGAAACAATTGTAAAACTTCATCTGGAAATCAGACAAGGTCTAATTTCTACAGAAATCACACCTCCCTGCAGTAGGAGTGGAGGACGAGCTATTGCTTGATTTCAGGAGACAGGCAGGACCAGCACCCACTTGCTGGCGGGTCTGCGGCCAGGCCTTGGCAGGGACACGTCAACACCAACACACCACTGATGAGAGATTCTCTGCGGCCTTGGGACCTGCTCCCCAGATTTTCACTAGCACAGCTTTCATCAGCTAATGCTCATTTTTGGCTTAAGAAAAATCTCCACATTCATGGGGTTTAAATTTAGGCCTGCACCATCCTTCACACTGCAGGGTGGGAGCTGCAGACCGTCTGCTCCCCCTACTCCACCCTCAGCCTCGAGGAGCCCCGGGGCTCACAGCCACTGGGTGCTGAGGGCACTGTTACAGACCGAGACGCTTCAGGAGCTGCTGTGTCTGGAACAAACCTTCAGGCAGGTGTAGGGCGGGTATGAAATGCCTTATAAAGAGTGTGAAATGGGAAATTTACAGTCCGTTCCGTCTAGCGAAGAGCATGCATGCGTGGAGCCTGGAGGTGCACGCTGCGCCTGGGCCCCTGGCGGCTCCCACCTCTTCATATGGGTTTGTATAACAAGGTGGTGACGTATTTTTTCTTGTACCGGTGGGTCGCGCTGAGCACCATCACTCCATCCTGAGGAAGATGGTAGAAATCATCAAAGGCAGGGCTAAGTCAGGATGCTCAGATTTTAGGGAACATGAGAATAATCAAGAGGGCGGCATAAATACAAGTTCCTGGGCCCGGGCCGGAAGCTGCCCTCCAGGTAAGGACTTCAGGCCATTCCATCACTGGGGGCGGGGGGCCCTCAGGGCAAGAAACACAGGGGCTCAGATAGTAACAACAGTAACAAACGGGTCCTTACCTTGATGGAGAGTGCATAGAGGTGGTTCAACATGACGTGGTTGGGCTCAGGGAGCAAAGCTGGATCACACTGCGGGGGAGCAAAAGCAGACATGTGAACTTGGATCTAGAAATCACGAAGATTCTCCTGTGTTTCATGGGACTGGATTTCAAAGGAAAGGAGGTAGGCTCTCAGGCCCCTTTCTTCCTAAGTCAGGCAGTGAAAGGGGAGTGAGGGGTGACTAAGTGGAGCTCTTGGGGTGCCTGCTGGGCACACCAGTGTGCGTCTCTGATCAGGCTTCATCTTGGTCTCTAGAGCGTGGGCCATGGCTCTGCCCTCTTCTTGGAGGAGCAGAAAGAAAACTGCACTGCAGGTGCTTTTAAGGAAAGCTGGAAAATAAAAACTACACTCCAGGCTCCTGAGCACTGGGTTGCAAGTCTCTGAGGCTCAGACGGTGAGCCTGAAGAAAGCAGTGGGTGACTGGGGGCGGGGAAGATGCACTATTGCTTCACACAAGCTCATATACTGGACCCAAAATGTTGCCACATCTTCCTATTTTTAAAGAGAAGTCAGAATCCAGGGTATTTTCAACGTACACGCCCCAGTTTTATAAATGCTAAAGTACCTGACAAAAGCTGGCTCAGCTATCAGATGTGTGCATGGGGCTGCTCTCCACACAGGGGTGGGGTGGGACCTGGTGCCCAAGGACAGTGAGCCCTCGGGGAATAGCCGTGATCTCTGCAGCAGATGCCGGCACGTGTAGGCCTCCAAGTCCTGCACCTTAGCACACGTGCACCCTCTCTGTGTGGCACCCAAAACAGCAGCATGATTACCTTATCACCTAACAGGCATGTGTGTTTTAGGTGGTGGCTTGGACCAAGCAGAACAACTAGATTCCCAAGAATTATGGCTACGCTGCTCAGTCCAGAGCTGGGGAAACCAGACAGTTCAGGTTAAATGGGATGGAAAGTTAGGGTGCTCTTAACTTTAACAAAGTGCTCTTCAGGATCCAGGAGAAGGCATGCTTCCTTTCAGCAGTAACATCAATTACCAGGGGCCATATGCATTACCCACAGACCCCAAATTTTGATCCAGGAGCAATGATGCTTCTGGAAGCAATTTGGTGATTAAAACAAGATTCTAAAATTTAAGGACCAGAGGAAGAATTCCATCATCACGTAGCTTACTGAGAAGAGGAGGTTACATATTTTTGTCATGAAATTAAAAAGGAACGGGGCTCAGGCTAGATGGGGGTGGAACACAAGAGGAAGAGCTCAGAAAGGCAGTGTGGGACAGGGAGGCGGCGTCCGCTCTGAGAGCATTTTGTGAGCAGCCCTTTCCCATATCAGAGGAGGACCTGGCATGAACACTGATGGGTGACACTGAACATTTTCACCAGCTGCTTTGCCAGAGGTGGCCAGAGGGGAGAGGCGGAACATAACCATGGAGGATGGCCTGGGAAACGTCTGGGTAATACTCACGGAAATGCCCGTGTCCTTGTTTAGGATGACTTGGAGGAGATGCGGTGGGAGGATGGGAGGCGCTTTAAACCGCTCCTCTGGTTTCGAGATGTAGGGCTCCTGATGGTAGGGTCCCGGCGGGGAACTGGACAACTCTGGGGGGAGATGGCCACAGGACATTTACTTGAGAAACTGGAGTTCTGGGTCAGAGTCACAGGAAGCTATTCACAGTGACCTGACCCGACAGCCACACGGGGTAACACTTCCTCCTCGCTGCAGGTGGGGCCAGCAAACACCTCAAAGAAGCTCAAGGCTTCTAGTGAGGCTTATGTGGCGGCTAGGACCAAGTTAGGAGCACTGCCAGCCAGAATAAAAACAAAGATAGGCAACCTGTTGACACAGGGGCAAGGGCACATTTCAAAACTAAAACAAGAAGTTAAAAACCTGACCTCTAAAGGCTCTCTGCTTCTACTGCTCTCAGGTTGTTTTCTTTTTTTTTTGCATTCCAGCTAGTATTTTTTTTTTTTTATTGTAGTGGTTTTTGCCATACATGGACATGAATCAGCCTCAGGTTCTTTTCAAACTCATGCTCGAGTATATCACTTATACAGATATATTAAGCTTCTAGCAGTGTGGTATTTTGAAAACAGAAGCCGCTCACTCAGTGATCTCTGGCCAGCTTGCAGGCACTAAGCTGTGATCCAAAGGACACTGGGATGCATGTGGCCACCTGAGACTTGTGCTGTTCACGTAAAGCTGAGATGGCCTGGCTCCGCCAACTCCTCCCTCGTCGCTTTCCAGGGGACAGACTCCCTTCACACAACCCAGCCCCACCACAGCAGGAAACAGAAAGGCACTGAGGGCAGGAAACCGAGCCATTGGGAATTAATATGTATTTTAAGTAAGGGAGTATCTGAGTATTAGAAGAGCATGGAGAGTCTGAAGCTGGTTTACCACCCCCCCCCTCCCCCCGGTGACCTCTGCTGCAGAACCTTGACTAAAACCTTTGGTATGTAGCCTAAAATTTCATTTATCAGCAAGTAAAGGTATCTGGGCATTCCCCCAATTCCCACTTATCCGAGTAAGAAATGACTTCTCTCAAAAAAAAAAAAAAAACACACAAAAAGAAATGACTTCTCTCAAAGATCAATTAGCTATGGATAGTGGAGAATGCTATTTTTTGATGTCTGAGTCCTGTTCAATGACCTGACTTGTCAGCCACGTGGTCCACCTGCTGGTGAGAATTCTGAGCTGATAAACAGTAAGAGATCTCGGGGCCAAATCTCTGGGCCCAGGCAGGTAAGGGAAGACTCAACCTTCAAACTGAACTGAACCTGTTTTCTTAGACAGTCAGGCACACTCCTGGGGGATCTCTGCCCCACCTCCCACAAGGGTCCTGGAACTGTGTAAAGCCCTGCTGGAGGGGGCAGAGCATCTGGTGATGACACTGCACATGCCAACACATTCTTCTCCCTGCCTTCACGTGCTGTTTCCAAGTAGTTTCTTCCTGTGGGTCTGGATGGAAAGCAACTTACTGAATGACTGATGACTGGATGACTCTTGGAAGAAGGGCATGTTTTACTAGGACCCTAACCCAGCAGGCTGTGCTGTGCAGCCTGTTTTGTGGTGAGACTCCTCCTCTGAAGGGATTCTGACAAGGTGCAAATGGAATATGCGAGTGACAGCCAAGGTCACTGAGGGGTCCATTTATCACCTGGCAGGCTAAAACTCTCTAGGAGCCCCAAGTGGACAGGCGCCCCCCAGTGCTGGCCCCTCACCAACCCAATGCTACTCTCTAGGGCCTTATGGGCCTGCTGCTGGCACAAGAGCAAACTCTGGTTCCATTTCCAGTGTCTGCTTTCTGTGGACAAGCAGGCCTGCTAAATCCTAGAGATGACCACCCCCCCCGCCCCGCCCCCAAATGACTTACTGCTCCCTGAGAGATAGATTTCAGCAAGTTGGCCAAACACAGAGTTAGAAATTAGTTTTGTGGCTCTTTGGGGAGATATTCATGTCCACTGATTGGGTGGCTCCCGCTCAAGAGGGAGAGGCAAGGAAAACAAGCCTAATTCAAAATGACACGGCCCCCACCTGCACACACGTGGTATAAAATAACTGTTCATACCAGACACGTCGGAGCACTTTTGGGAATCCACCATTAAAGCATCAAACACTTCAAAGTCAGTTTTCTTCACTTGAATGATGTTGTTGACTGTGCCAAGCTGGCTGGTGACTACTGGCTGGGAAGAGACAGACAGGTAGAAATCATAATGCGAAAGGTCTCCAAAAGTATTCCTTAGAGGATTTAGCATTCCTGGTGGGAAGGCTTCATCTCCTGGCCCGCTCATCCAAGTCAAGGATGTCAACAGGCTGACAGTGAGCACTGCTATCTAGCTCAGTCACACACGGGACTTCTACCAGCAAGACAGAGGGACCTGGCAACTGTCTCTGAGGGTAGGCCACGTGCTTGAATTGTGTGGGCAGCCAGAGGACCAAGGGCGGGAGGAAGAGTACCTCGGAAGGGTCGTGTGTCCACTGACCATCCACAAAGAACTTGTACTGATGCTCTCCTTCCGGCAGATCCAGGATGGCTACAAAGTTATTGTGGCTGCAAGAGAAAAAGGAAGCAGAGGGTGCCAACAGGGTGAGCTGTACTCTGAGCTGACTTGCAAAACCAGCCATGGAACAAAACAAAGCTTCCAGGTAAAATCAAGAGTTCAGCCACAGAAGAAATAAACATTTTTTAACCAACTGAGACAATTCATTATAATGATCTCAATACAGAAAAGCTACCAGGAAGTAGCAACATAAGAGGTTTCCTGGAAAACTCACTTTGCCCAAATACCAGGAATCTACATTCCTACCATCAAAAACTCAACAAACAGGCATTTGTCCTCCTGCTATGTGCAAAGTAACACCTGGCAGTCTGGATGCCAAGGAGGACAGCAACACAAGATAAGCAGCAGGCTGCCTGCCAAGTTCTACCCTTTGTCAGGTTGCCTAGCGCAGGACAGGGGATCAATTTCACAGGATGTACAAAGTTCCCTACAGAAACTTGTACAACTACTAACAAAAAAAAGGTTCCAGGAAAACCTCTCACATTTGACTGTTTTCTTCCCTTGACGGGCATGACTTATAACTGGGCTGAGTGGCTCCCTCCTACGCCATCTGGACTCCTGGAAAAGCAGGCAGCTCCCTGTCAAGAATCAGGCCCAGCCTGGTTCTGTGTGAAACAGAAAGGTGTCTATGAAAACACTCATAACTCAGAAACTCTCATAACCGAGTGATGTTTTCTTCTAAGTGTGTTTTTTGGGTGTGAGATTTTAACCCTGTGAATTATTAAGCATGACTATTTTTCCATTCAGCATCTACTTTATAAAAACATCCTCTTCTGTTCACCCACAGGGATCATTCGGAAACCAGAGTATCCCTGGGTTAAGACAAATATGTGAACATGTCCAGGCGAATACCTTCTTGTGAGGGGAAGTTTACTCCAGTTGTTAAAGGACCCAGACAAGTAAACTTCCTTTCCACCCCCTGTCCATCGAAAAACAGTTGGCCGAGCCTGGGCGGGAGCTTTGTCGTTCACTTCCAGATCGTGCTGCCAGGCCAGGAACTCTTCCTTCTCTGGAGCCTAGAAACAGAGCAGTTTACTCAGGAATAGGGAGCCATTAGTAAGAGACCGTCACCTTAATACTGACAGTTCATTCTGAAGAGGCAGCTGTTACTACCCAGGTTTATATTCCAGCCCATTAACTCACCAGCTATACCTCAGTTTTCCCACTTGCAAAATGGAGAGAATAAAAGTAATTCTTAAGGTTGTGAAGCCTGAGACAGTCCATGTAAAATGCTCTGCATAGGGTCAGACCCAGGGTAGGTGCTTCACAATTAATAGCTATTGTTATTGCTGTTATTCAAGGGGTTTACATTAAAACTTGAGAAATGATAAAACTCACTTGGAAGAAGGCAGCAATGAATTTGAGACTAGCTTAATAAATGTCATTTTCTTCCCTTAATTAAGCAAGATTTAAAATACATGAAAATTTATCAGGGACAATTCCAGAGCTTTCAACTTGACAACTGGCAGATCCAGGCACTGAGGAAGGGAAAAGCTATCCACTGAGTGCCATCCAGGTGCCACAGAGGAAAAGGTGAGAAAGACAGACTGACCCCCATGAAACAATAACTTCCTGTGTGGGAAGCGCTGTGTAATGGAAGCATTCTGGGATGAGAGAAATAACCACGTTTGACTCTCCGTGAAAGATAGGTAGTTTTGGATCTCTTACATTTTTCCTTAGTCAGGAGCCAGAGTAGGAGTTCTAGGCTGTGACAGACTCTTAAAAGGTCTAAAGCAAGCTTCTAGCACTTTCATTTCAAATACTGCATTCTTTGCTACAGATTAAAGAATAACAGACTGGTATCACTTTCCACTGAGGGTGTGATAACTAACCACTGCCAAAACAGTGACCTAGTATAGTTAAAAAGAATCCATGACTTTTTTTTTTTTTTTTGTACCTAGGCATTTAATCCAATGTGTCTGCTATATCTTTCAATGACTTCTATGGAAATGAGAGGGGGCGTTATTTAAAATAACTCTGTACAGATCACTTGTTATGTTAAACATCTCTTGTAAAGAGTTTTAATTCGGCAAAAGAACAGATACTTCTTAAAGAAAGTAGTCTGATAGTTTGATTCTTATGGTGTCTTTCTTAAACAGCCACCTTTGGGTCAAAATTATTTCCTGGGGAAGAGATATCAAATTGCTGGGAAAAGGATTTCAAAGTTCACTTTGCACACAGCCTCAGGAATGTGACAAACTCAGAAAGCAAGTTGAAATGACAGGCTGGAGGGCTAAGGAAAAGCAGACTCTTCATAGTTAGCCTCAAAGCTAAGCTTCAGGTGAGGAAATAAGATAATAACGTGGTCACCCATTCCAACATCTGAGGAAACACGAGCACAACTGGAATGACCTGCCAGACAATTAGCCTAATGGACAGTGATGATTAACAGGCAGCTAGAAACTAACAGGACTTTGGTGGGAGGAGGGGTATTTGTCATCTTTCCTTAACTGACTGTCCCTTAAGCATTTAGTTCATTTCTTTAGGCTATACCACATACATATCAGTTTCCAGAATCACTGAGTATTCTTGGACTGGGCTCTGTCCCTAGAAACAGACCACAAGAGGTGGTTAGCAGGAGAGCGGCTAGAGCAAAAATCGAGAATTATCTTCAGTTTATTACGAGTTAAAGCAGATAGGAGCAGGACATCTAAGTTTGGCCTGCAAAAATGTTTGCTTTGGCTTGTTTAAAATATTAAGTCATATATTAACAACAGGAGAGAGAAGCTGATTAGCAGTTGGCTGCCTCCTTTAGACTGATGTTTCACTTACTCACTGACCTCCAGAAGTCAAATTACTCTTCTGTGCCTGCTCTCAAGGGTGAACCACAAATCTTCTGCATAACTAAAGACCTCTGGCAGCTATAGTCAGCTGTTCAACTCTTATGTTCACTTTACACGTGTTCTCCAAAACTGAAAATAAACTGTAAAACTACAACAAAAGGCTCCATCAGCCTACTTAAAAGTGGCAGAAGATTCCTGAGAGCTGTGAAATTAATTATACCTAAGAGAAAAGCAGAGACTGGGGCTCAATTACTGCTAGTGCCACGATCTTAATTAATCAAGAATTTGAGCCTGTCTCAGCGCTGCCTTTTCCTTAATGATGTTAAACGAAGTAAATTCCTTCCCCCTCGGGGAGACTTTCTCATATCAGTAATTAGACACAAGTTACTGAGCTAAGAGGGCTCTTCCACTTCTTAATTAGAAGGAATAGGACGGGCTGGGGGGGGGGGCGGGTGTGGAATCTAGTAGATTTCAACAACAGTTAAGGGGAATCAGATTGTCCCACTCGCCATTACCTTGATTTCCTCAGAGTGAAAGAGGTCGGCGTCCTCGGGACTGTCCATCAGGATCTTGGGCCTGTCTCCATCCTTGGAGCCCCCCGAGCTGTCCCTTCGGGGTGTCTTGTGGCCGCCCTGCCGGTCCAGCGCAGCGCGCTCGCTGCTCGTGTTGCCCATGGCGAGGGTCTACGGGGACACTGTCAAGCGGAAGGGGCCTCACTCCAGGGGAGAGACAAGGGACACCCAGGATCTCCACCAGGACCCTAGGGAAGAGTCAGATCACTAAGTACCAGAGCCCGCAGGCTAAGGTTCGGGGTCGGAATCCTGACTGAGCCGGGACGGCAAGATTTTGAAGAGGTCTCACAAAGGCGCTTCACCTGCTCAGACAGCCGGCGACGCGAACCCACCTACAACTAAGATAATCCGACAGTCCCCAAACAACTCCCCAACCTCTTAGAAACTTCCGCTTCCGGCACTTCCTCAAAGGGACCTGACCCACAGAGTTGGGGGTGGTTGAAGCTGGAGAAGCGCGCGAGGCCAACTCGACCTCACTTCCGCTTCCGGTCCAGGTCTGCGCACGGGCAGGCTCCCCACACAGTCCCGCGGGGTTCGGAGAGCGCAGTCGCAGTCGGCCGCTCAGGCCAGCACTGGACGAAGCTGCTGACGGCCGGCAGGCGGCGCAGAAGCGCGCAGGCCATCTGGGCTTCGGTCCCGCGCTGGCATGAGTGACAGTGTTATCTTGGTTATCTTTGCTTACTTCCAGTTGATTCTACACTTTACAGCCAAAGGGATCGTCCTAAAGGGTAAATCTAATTAAAAGACTCCTTAAAGCCCTTTAATGCGCTAGCTCTCATGCCTTTGAGTGCCTTAGAATCATGTGGAGTGCCTGTTCAAAATGCATACTCACATGTCCCTAATCTCCTGAAATTATGATTCGGAAGCTCTGGCGTGGGGTCTGCATTTCAATAAGCACTCTAGGTGATTCTGATGCAGGTAGTCTTGTAGGTGTTTGAGAAAATCACAGACCATTAAGCTCCCTGGAAAAATTTCACGTCCAGTAGCTTGGGAGTTGTAAAATTTTGAAATTATTAGTGTGTTTTCAAAAAATTGAGTGCACAGCCTTTTGATAGGTAATTCTGCAAGCTATTTTAAAATCACTTTGAACATCATTCTGCATAAAATGCATTTACTTATTAATTTTGTCTTTTACTATGGCAGGTGCTTCAGCAAGAAGAATGGACATATGTGGGACTAAAATATTCTAATCTTCTCACTTGTTAGTCACTGTGAGGACTATGGTGGTGGTGGTGGTAGGGGTGTGTGTGTGTGTGTGTGTTGTATTGTTTTTGCATGTGAGTATCTCAAAATGCTTTGCATTTGCTGGGCCTGAGCATGCACTTTTTCCATTGAACATGTAGTACCTACATAGTGCTGGACATTGCATGAAGTAAATAGGAAACACAGATGACTAAGATATGGGGAATTTGGCAGTATCAAAAAAAAAAAATAAAGGGACTTCCCTGGTGGTCCAGTAGTTAAGAATGTGCCTTGCAATGCAGGAGACTAGGGTTCAATCCCTGGGTCTGGGAACTAAGATCCCACATGCCATGGAGCAACTATTGAACTTGCTCACCTTGGAGCCTGTGCACAACTAGAGAGTCTGTGTGCCACAAATGCTGAACCTGCACACCACAACTAGAGAGTCTGTTTGCCACAATGAAAAGATCCTGCCAGTCACAAGGAAGATCCTGTGTGCCACAACTAAGACCTGATGCAATCAAATAAATAATAATAGAAATAAATAAAATATGTATCTTCATTTTGGTACACAATTTTACTTCTAAGAAATTTCTACAGGAAAACACATGTTAAGATTGTATGCAAGCAAGTTCATTGGAGCATTGTTTCTAATGCTTTAAAACATTAATTCCAAGATCCCCATTTTATTTTACATTTTAATCTCTCTAAAACGGTGTGTCTTACAGTCAGTGGAATCTTAGATTTGATGAAATAAGGAAATGTGGCTTTGCCATGTAAGAACTGTCACTTGGTTTCCTCTTTTGCGAAATGGGGAATAAAAATAACACCTTATCTCACAGGTTTGCCTTGTAAATTAATTGAGAACATGCAGGAAAAGTGCTCTGCATAGCACCTGACTCTTAGTAAGCAACCAGTAAACATTAGCACTTTTATTAGTATCATTATGCTTGCAAATGGAAAGTTCTGGGAAGATTTACAACATGCTGTTAATACTGGTCCCCTCTTGGGAGAGAACTTGGATTGGAAACATGAGCAGACAGAAATGGGATTTTCACTTTTTAGATTACTGTTTGAAAATGCTTCTACTGCAAGGATGTATTACTTTTGTAATTTGAAAACATTTTTTAGGACCTTCCCTGATGGTCCAGTGGTTAAAACTCCGTGCTTCCAATGCAGGGGGCCTGGGTTCAATCCCTGGTCAGGGAACTAGATCCCACACGCTGCAAGTAAGGGTTTGCATGTCACAACTAAAGATCCTGAGTGCTGCAACTAAGATGTGGCACAGCCCAAATTAAATAAATAAATAATTAATTAAAAATCAAAAGTGGAAACTTTTAATAAATCTAAACATCCATCAATATAAGAACAATATAAGAGCTTCTAGGAATTTATCCTACAGATACACTCGTGCATCTGAAAAATGATGGACAAAGTCATCCATTGCAATATTTGAATATCTGCAAGAGAAAAGTACTGGACACAGCCTATGTGTCCACCAGTAGAAAACTGGTTAAATAAATCATGACTTATCTATGTAATGGCAAGCTATGCAGCCTTAAAAATGAGAAAATGCTACATGTTGACATGGATCAATATCCAAGGTATATCAATCAATAAGAAGGAAAAACAAGTAAGGTACAGAACAGGGCATCAAAGTATGTAACATTTAAGGGAGGAGGGAGAAAAAATATACACATTTGCCAGTAGAAGTACAGGAAATCTGAAGAATATATATGAAAATATATAGGAAACTGAAACTATTTGCTTCTAAGGAAGGCAACTGGGCTTCTGGGAGACTTTTCACTTTATTCCATTTTATACTTTTTGAATTTAGTGCCAGGTGAATGTTAACTATTTAAGAAATAAATATAATTTTCAGAAAAAAGAAGAGAGCAGTGCTTAGCTCTGGAAAAGGGAACCCTGCCTCATTTCTGGACTCTATAGGGCTCAGCACTGAAATCCCTCAATTGTGAGAATAAGAGCTCCACCCTCCTTCCTCATATTCCTTCTAGGAAAATATATCTGGCTCAAGCCATGACCCCTAGATGATAACCTTACAAAGGTCTCCTGGGCAGGGGCATGTATTTAGTAACTATGGAAACTTCCAGTCCAATCCCTTGACTATTGGCCATTTGGGGTCTGAGGTTTTGGACTCAGTCAACTAGGTGGTACGGAGTTTAGAGCTGATGAAGAGACCTGGGGGAAGAAAAGCATCTTTTGTTATGGACTGAATGCTTGTGTTCCCCCCAAATTCATGACCTCACTGTGACTGTATTGGGAGAGAGGCTCTTTAGGAAGTGACTAAAGTTAGGGGAGCTCATAAAGGTGGGGCCCTGATCTGATATAATTAGTGTCCTTAAGAGGAGTGGGAAAGATACCAGTTCACACCGCGCCCCTCACCCTGGCCATTCTTCCTCTCCACGGACACTCAGAGGAAAGGCTGTGTGTGGATAAAGTAGCCATATGCAAACCAGGAAGAGAGCGTCTCACCAGAAACCAAACCCTGACGGAACTTTGTTCTTGGACTTTCCAGCCTCTGGAACTATGGAAAAATAAATTTCTGTTGTTTCAGCCACCCAGTCTGTGATACTTTTTTGTGGCAGTCTGAGCTGACTAAGACAGACTACGATGTGTGTAAACTGTTGGGATAGAATTATAAGCTTGCTTTTAGTTGGCCTACTTGGATTTCCACTAGGCTTTCTGAAATTCATCTAGGCAATGTAAATAACACTGACAATGTTTGGCAGATATGTCCATCTTTTCTTACTAGGCATCCCTGTATTCTCTCCCCACTGAGATGCAACTGTCATTGTGAAAGAGAGACAGTCATTGGCAGAGAAGTAAATGGAGCTCAGTATCCAGTCCACAGATATTTATGGAGAACCAAAATGTGCTTGGCTTTGTTTTCGGTTCTGGGATAAAGAATAACAGGACTGACAATGTTTATCTCTTTGCAAAGCTGAATGGCCCCTGGTGGCAGGCAGATTTATAAACAGGCAAACAAGCCAGATAATTTCAGAGTGACTGCTACTATGAAGGAGACAAAATGGAATAATGTGAGAGGAGGACAGGATACTACTTTAAATGAGATGGTCAAGGAGGAAGTGACAGTTGAGATCTCAATGACAAGAAAATGTCAGATGGGAGAAGAGTTTGGGAGGACCATTTCAAGACAGGAAAAATGCAAGTGCAAAGGCCCTGGGGGTACATATGAGCTTTACATGCTACAGAAATACAGAGGCAACCTTGTGGCTCAGCTTGTAAAGAATCTGCCTGCAATGCAGGAGACCTGAGTTTGATCCCTGGGTTAGGAAGATCCCCTGGAAAAAGGCCACCCACTCCAGTATTCTGACTTGGAGAATTCCGTGGACTGTACAGTCCATGGAGTTGCAAAAAGTCAGACATGACTGAGCAACTTTCACTTTTCATTTGGCATGTATTGGTGAACAGGAGGAAAAGCTTGATCCTTTTGAACTTCACTGGTCACAGTGAACATTCTGGATATTATTCTAGGACAGTGGTATTTCATGGGAGAGTTTACATTTGGGAGTAATGTTATCTGAGCCATGTGATGATGGATATACATTTTATAATATCATAGAATTTTTTGAGGGCTGGCTAAATCTAAGAAGTCAGCTCATTATAAAAAAAAGATTTCTAAATTTCAGGAATCAAAACTCCCCTGGAAGAGTCCTTAATTGGCAAATAGCCTCATTTTGTGACTTGTGGGGCTTCTGGCAAATCCTACTGCTTGACCTAGGTTGTAATTATTAAAGCATTTGCCTTATAATAATTCACTAAGCCACACATTTCTTTTGTGTGGTTTCCTGTATCTTTGTTTTACTCTCAATGAAAAGAATTTCTTTTTTTCTTTTTAAGAAAAAGCTTCGGGACTTCCCTGGTGGCTCAGTGATAAA